TTTTTTTGTCCCTCACTTTCTTGGAGTCTTTCTTGATATATTTGCATGTGACACATCTGCCACATCCAAATGTTCCAATCGGGGTTCCGAAGCCACATTGTGGGAGGAGATTGTCTAGCTTGTAGGTGGCTTGGGGCCAACTGGTCTCACAGATTTATTTTTTTCCTCTGAGAGCTGTGATGGTCACATTGGGGGCCACCACCTCTTGTAGGTGTTCATCACTAGTCAGCAAAAGCCAGAACCGCTTTAAAGATCTTTTTACATTTTCCCAGCCAGCGTCATAGGTGGCTATTAGTCTAATGATTTTTTTGTGAGTCTTTTGTTACTCTAATAGGGGCAGTCTCACCTAACAGTGTATTGCTATCTGATTCCAGAGCCCTCTTATAGGCGTGTTTTAGACATCTATTGGGATAACCTTTTGTCTTCGAAGTGACTTCTAAGATCACTTGCTTTGATGTTGAATTCTTCTATGGTACTGCAATTCCTTCTCACTCTCAGGTATTGCACTTAGAGATACCTTGTTTCAGAGGTGTTGGGTGAAAAAAGTCCCATGTTAAAAGGTTGTTAGAGGTTTAATGTTTTCTATACAGGGTGGTATGCATGGTGTTTGTATCTGTAATAGAAATTGTCAGATCTAAAAAGTTAAGACAGAGGCCACCAAATTTGCTAGGGAATCTTACATTTTCTTCATTGATGTTGAGAATCTTCACAAACTCGTTGAACGCCTCAAGGTTACCACCCCACTCAATGAGGACGTGGTCTATAGAGTGACGCCATAGAAAGATGAGAGGAAGATATTTAGAGATTGTTTCAAGAAGAATTAAGTTCTCCTCCCACCATCTTAAGTAGAGATTGCCATACGATGGGGCACAAGCCGTCCCCATCACAGTGTCTCTTGTCTGATGATAAAATTTGTTCTTGAACGTAAAATAATTATGTGTGAGTGTGTATTCAAGGAGTTCGAGACAAAACTTAGTGTGTGAGATATGCTGCTCACCCTTTTGTTTAAGAAAGTGGCCGGTGTGTTTTTATACCAATTGAATGAGGAATCTGAGAATAAAGTGCCTACATATCTAGGCTGCAGAGTTTAGCTGATGGAGGTACTAGATTTGAGAGGAGAGTGAGGTTTGTTTTGTATCATGAAGATACGCTGGGAGCCTTTCGACAAATGGTCTCAAAATCTTGTCGATTATAGATGCTCCCATTCTGGGTCAAATTGTCTATTCCTGATACAATCTGACGACCTGGAGGGGACATTGGGCTCTTATGGAGTTTGGGCAGGCAGTAAAAGGTTGCTATCTTTGGGTGACGTTTAAGAACAAATTCATACTAGTCACCCGATAGCAACCCTTCACTGCGGCCCCTGTCAAGAATCTCCTTGTATTGTTGAAGGAAATCATTAGTAGGGTCTGACTTCAAAACCCTTTATGTCTCCCCGTCCTCTAATACTTTCAACACCATTACCACAATATTGCCCCCCTTGTCTGCTGGTTTCACAATTACTTCATTGTTATTTCTAAGAGACTTAAGGGGTAGTGGTTCTTTTTTAAAACAAGTTCATATTTGGGTAAAAATCCAAAGACCTGATGTCAATCTTTTCAATATCACTTTTCATTGTCTCTAGGAATAAGTCAATGTTACGGTAATTTCCACGGTAAGGGGTAAACCGTCCTTTTTGTTTAAGATCGGTATAATTTAGGGGGGCAGTCTCGTTATTTTCCTCCCAGAGTTCCATAAGATAGTCGTATTCGGTATTGGTCATGCCATGAGATCTTGCTTTCTTTTCTTTATTAATCTGATGGAATTTATGGAGTGTCAATTTACGTACAAAGAGATGAAGGTCTTTGACCCACAAAAATGTATTAAAAGAAGGTACAGGTACAAAGGACAATCATTTTTTCCAATAATGAAAGATGGTTCTTACTAAGGACACAATTCGAAAGATTAATGACTTAAATTAGATGTAGAGTCCTGGTTATGAGTCAAAATCTTCTCCTTCCTCCCCTTCTGTTTCCTACTCTGTTTCTGCGTGTCTGGATCCCCTCTTGGGGATCCAGCTCTAAAAAAATCACCCTTTTAGGGTTATTTTGTGCAGATGTGGTGGAGGTATGTGACTGAGATCCAGACTGCTGTTGTCTCACAGACTCTTCGTTATCTGTGTCAGAGGACTCTTAACCCCTTGACGACCGATGACGGTTCAGGACCGTCGTCGGAAAAATCCCCTTGGGGACCGATGACGGCCCTGAACCGTCATAACAGTCTGGGGTCACTTACCTGATCGCCGTCGGTCCCCCGGCGGCGATCAGCGCTCCTCCCGGTCCAGGGGGACTGCCTGTCTGCCCGGGCAGTCTCTCCTCGGCAGATCAGGACCCCGCGGCCATGTGATCACTCGATCACGTGGCCGCAATAGGTGCCTGTGTATCTGCCTGCAGGGGGACTGTCTGTGCTGACAGGTAGTCTCCCTGCAAGTGAAAAATCAAAAATAAAGTTAAAAAATAAAGCAATCAGTGTAAAAAAATAATAATATGTATATATATATGATATATATACATGTATTATATCTATATATAATATATGTATATATGTCATATATATATAATGTCATACTAAGTGTATTTTTATATTTATATATACATAAATTAAATTACACACGTATATATACAATATATATAATAACTATATATATTGTGTATATAAATATATTATAAATTATAAATGATATGTTAAAAAAATTATAACAAAAAGTAAAAATAATTTTTAATAATTATAAAAAATTACATATATATATGTAATTTTATTCTAACAGTGTTTTGATATTAATATATATATATTTATATCAAAATACACTTAGAATATAATGATCTATATATCTATGTATAAATAAATAAAAATAATACGAAATATACATATGTCCATATACATAATTACATAAATAATTTCATAAATATACATGACGTCAAATATATAAATATGTATATATATTAAAATTCTAAGTGCGTATTTATGTAATATTTTTACCTAATTAAGTAATTTTAGTGATTGCAATTTGAGGGACCTGTCTGCCAACCCAGGCCGAAAGTCCAGAGAATTTAATTAGCTAGCACTGTGTTTAACCCTGTAACTTTCTATGACACTCTAAAACCTGTACATGGGGGGAACTGTTTTACTCGGGAGACTTCGCTGAACACAAATATTAGTGTTTCAAAACAGTAAAACATATCACAGCGATGATATTGTCAGTGAAAGTGACGTCTTTTGCATTTTTCTCACACAAACGGCACTTTTACTGATGATATTATTGCTGTGATACATTTTACTGTTCTGATACACTAATATTTGTGTTCAGCAAAGTCTCCTGAGTATATCAGTACCCCACATGTAGAGGTTTTATAGTGTATGTGAAAGTTACAGGGTCAAATCTAAGGCTTGATTTTACTTTTTTTTTTTTTATTATTGAAATTTGTCAGATTGGTTAGGTTGCCTTTGAGAGCGTATGGTAGCCCAAGAATGAGAATTAGCCCCATGATGGTATACCATTTGCAAAAGAAGACAACCCAAGGTATTGCAAATGGCGTATGTTTAGCCTTTTTTAGTAGCCACTTAGTCACAAACATTGGCCAAAGTTAGCGTTTTTTGCATTTTTAACACACAAACAAATATAAATGCTAACTTTGGCCAGTGTTTGTGACTAGGTGGCTACTAAAAAAGACTGGACATACCCCATTTTGAATACCCTGGGTTGTCTACTTTAAAAAAAATATGTACATGTGAGGTGTGATTCAGGGATTTATGACAGATAACGGTGTTACAATGTCACTATTGATAAATTTAAAATATATAAATATTGAAACAGCAATTTCCTGCTTGTATTTATAGGCCTATAACGTGCAAAAAAAAGCAATAAAGCATGTAAACACTGGGTGTTTTTAAACTCGGGACAAAATTTTGAATCTAGTTAGCAGTTTTTTTCATTAGCTTTCATAGGTAAGTAAAAGATTTTTCAAGTAAAAGTCCAAAAACATGTTTTTTTTTCTTCAATTTTTCACCATATTTTATTATTTTTTTAAAATAAAATATATGACATGATACAAATAATGGTATGTAAAGAAAGCCCTTCTTGTCCTGAAAAAAACAATATATAACTTGTATGGGAACTGTAAATGAGAGAGAGGAAAATTACAGCTAAACACAAACACCACAAAAGTGTCAAAACTGCTCTGGTCCTTAACGTACAACATCGCAAAAACAAGCCGGTCCTTAAGGGGTTAATCGGATGTTAAATAATTTTCAGAATTTGTTCTTATTTTGCGAGTAAACTGTCTGATAGTCCTTAGAGTCCCTGATAAATTTGTGATGTTTTCTCATTTTGATGTATCTATTTTGAATACATACAGGATGCATTTACTAAAGGTCATATACACAGATCCTCTTCCCCAGCAGGAGCAGGGTTTTTCTTTGTTTCTAAAAAAAAAAAAAAAAGGGGGGAGGGGGGGGGATGATCACATATTGATTACAGGCCACTTAAAGGGAAACTCCAGTGCCAGGAAAACAATCCGTCTGTATTGTAAACTAGAAAAATGCCTATTTGATAAGAAAGCGGTACAATTTCTTGGCTATACAATATCTGCCTCAGGATTCAAAATGGATCCCAAGAAAGTAGAGGCAGTGGTGCAGTGGCCTCTATCTCAGGGTTTAAAGGCTATCCAAAGGTTTATTGGGTTTTCCAATTATTATCGCAGATTTATTAAAGGACCGCTATAGTGCCAGGAAAACACACTTTTTCCTGGCACTATAGTACCCTGAGGGTGCCTCCTCCCTCTGGGCTCCCTCCCTTACCTCTTACTCCAGCGCCGGGCGGGGGACTCTCCTCCTCGGCTGCATGTGCAGCAAGAGCCGCAAGTGCATTCAGCCAGTCTCATAGGAAAGCATTCACAATGCTTTCCTATGGACGCTGGTGTCTTCTCACTGTGATTTTCAGAGTGAGAAGCACGCAAGCGCCTCTAGCGGCTGTCAATGAGACAGCCACTAGAGGCTGGATTAACCCTAATATAAACATAGCAGCTGAAGTGGTCTGGGTGCCTATAGTGCTTTAAAAACCTTTCTACGATAATCGCCCCAATCACCAATTTGACACATAAGGCAATTAAAAGTACATTATGGCCAAAAGAAGTCATGCCTTTCAACAACTCATTTGCTTCAGCCCCTATACTTGTTAATCTTAATCCCACCAGCTCTTTCATATTAGAAGTGGATGCCTCTGAACCAGGGGTTGGTGCTATACTGTCCCAGAGAGAAAGTCATGACAAACCCCTGCACCCATGTGGCTTCTTTTCTAAAAAGCTATCACCAGCGGACAGAAATTATGACATGGATAACAGAGAGCTCTTGGCTATCGTATTGGCACTTAAAGAGTGGAGACATCTAGTGGAAGGATCCAAAGACCCCCTGATCATAACTGATCATGAAAATCTGGAATATATGGCAGGCTCGATGGTCTGTTTCTTTCTCGTTTCAGTTATATCACCACTTATATGCCTGGTACTAGGAACATAAAGGCTGATGCATTACCTAGACCGTATGAGACCGAGGAGGAACAGGAGCAAGAGAGCACTCCTATTATTCCTCCTGAATGCATTTTGGCTTCCACTGTCCTTGCTTTGTTCACACATCTTCTTGGTGTCATAATCGCGGATCAACCTCAGGCACCTAGTAATAAACCTTCAGGTCTCCTGTTCGTTCCAGAAACTGAAAGGACGACTCTTGCTAGGTTTCATAATAACGTTACAGCTGGGCATCCAGGTACACACAAAACCATTTCAGCGGTAACCAAAAAGTTCTGGTGGCCCACTCTTAAGGTTGATGTTATCATTTAAGTCAATACTTGCTAGACTTGTGCTGTCTCGAAGGTTCCGCACAAATTGAAATGTGGGTTGTTACAACCTCTGCCTGTGCCACTCATTCCATGGTCTCCTATAGCCATGGACTTAATTGTGGAGTTGCCTGTCTCAAAGGGATATAATACTATACTCATGGTCATAGCTCGATTCTCTAAAATGGCACATTTTATCCCGCTTAAAAAAGCGTTTCTACGTTGTTTCGTTAATGTTTCGCAGGATAATTGGCTTGACCTCTTGCGGAATTTGCCCGGAACAACTGTAACCACGGCTGATTCCCTGCATTTGCACATAACACAACGCTACGCATGACTCTTCCAAACGTAGTCCTTTTTATGTTTGTATATGGTCTCCACCCTACATTACCTCTGTGTTCTCTGATACAGATATCCCCACTCTAGATGAGCATCTAACCTCTATGAGGAAAACACTGCTTCCCGTCTCTTAGCAGCACGCTGATAAGAGACGTGGTGCTGTACCTTCTTATCAAGTAGGGGACAAGGTTTGGATGTCCATTAGACACATTAGACTCGGGGTACCCTCTATCAAGTTTGCTCCTAGATACATTGGTCCTTTCCATGTTTCACATAGGATCTATCCGGTGTCTTATGTCCTTGACCTCCCTGTCAACCTTCGAATACCCCGTACTTTTCAAGTTTCTTTATTAAAGCCACTGCAATAGATACACTACTCCTTCCGTGCCTCCACCTCCCTTGGTGGTTGCAGGAAAGAAGTACGAAGTTCGTTCTGTTTTGGACTCAAGGTTCTTATGTGGTTCTTTGCAGTATTTGGTGGATTGTAAGGGTTATGGTGCTGAGGAACGCTCATGGGTTCCTGCTGTTGGCATGCTGGACGCCTTCGTTCTATCCATGCCTGGTCCTGCCTGCCCGGTGGGTGGTCTTTGTGTATAGGGGTACTGTCACAGTGCCTGATTGATAGGAAGTGTGACTAGGGTGCATAAAGTGATTTAACTTCTAAATGGCAGAAAATTAAGCACGGAGACTGCAGCAGCATGATCTTTACACCAAAACTGCTTTATTGAGCTAAAGTTGTTTTGGTGACAAGTGTCCTTTTAATGGGTGCTAGCCCATTTTTCGGTCTCTCTGCAAGTCATCTGGTTAATTTTACAAAACCACAGGAAACATTTTTGTGTTCTTTAGCAAAGAGGCACACTATATGCAAGATAACTGCTGCATCTTATAGTTGTAGGTATTTTAACTTTATCTGTTTCCAGTTTAGATCTCATACCCTCTTGCTGCTGTGCAAAGATGGACAGGTAATGTGGGAAATAAGTGCCTACATTATCCGAGCAGTAGGCAAGGAGCAAAACTTTGTTTCAGGTGCCCATTTAAAAAAAAAAAAAAAATTTTACTAACCATTTGTTAAATTATCTATAAATAGTTTGACAAAAAATAGTCTGTATCCAAATCTTTCCACTACTACTAACTGTAATGGTTAGGGTGCAAGAAGTGATGGATCCCCTGTATACTGGTTTAGTTTATAATAGCCAAACTAGAAAAAAAAAATCTACAAGTTGACTTTGCTTTCAGTTCAATTATTCTGGCCAAATATGTGAATGAAGCTCCTATATTCAGACCAAGTATCTCTGCCAACTATCCCCACTCCAGTGGAACTGAGCAGCTACAGTGATTATAGCTTAGTCCCAAACATCAGCTGCAGCTTAATGAAGGGTATAATAAGTACAACTTTTATTTGCAAACTCACACGTTTTTATACATACATTCCCAACAGGGGGTCATCAAACAGAACATTATACTACCACAATGACGATTTGGTGACGGGGCATAACTTCATCAGAGGCCGAATAGTTTAACTACCTGACACATGGCACAATAAAACCACATCCCAAAAATATTGTATTTCCAAACTGTTATTACCAAGTACCATACATCCCTCTATAGTTCTGGTGTAAGACGGCAACTTTTCAAAAATCACTCTGACCGGAGATGTCAAGTCAGAGTAATCACTGGTTAAAGTTTTTAGCAGGCCTGTTACTATCCACTGATTGGATGCAGACTGTTTGTTAGTCCTGGTCTTCATAAATGGCTTCTCAGAGCCCCATGGAAGGGAGTCTCAAGTCCTGGGTGTAGCTGGATGACTCCTCACCTCCTTGACCGCCCTCCAAATTGCATTCAGATTGTTGGTGCTGGGACTGAGCGATACCCATTAGAAGTTTCACCGGATTGCAGTATTTTCGGATCCGGTGTATAGTTCCATGATGTTTCTGGGTACTCCCTGGTAAAGCGCTTGGTGCTCCGTTCTACCCCAAAGAGTGTCTTGAAACTCCATGGAGATGGTTGGGATCCAGGCTGGACCCAACATGGCATGAAGGGGAAGGATAGTGATAATTGCTCTCTTGTGGTTTAGAGTCAAGAGCCACCAGACAATTCGTCACACACTGCCTGATTATTAACATTTATGATAGATGGTAAAACGCAGACTACAAGAGTTGTTCTCGAAAAATTCCCCAACTCTGCTATAGCCATTATCTACTTTAACCTGACACATGCAAATCATATTTTTGTTTTGAATTTAGTAAATAAACCCTTTTAATGAATAACCCTACATGTTTTTAGAATTGTGGGAAGAAAGAATGAACAGATTTGTTTAACATGCTAGCACATGCCATTTATGCATTGTGTAGGTAGAACATTGGCTATAACAATGTAATGGTGAAATTGCATTATGCCTGTACAAACATGTGGCAACAACAGATCATGCCACAAGGAAACCCATCTTAATAAAAATCCGAAGATGCTAACAAGTAACTATCATATTTCTCCAGGTATAATGTGTACAGAACAGTAAAATGGTACCATTTAGAGATGCTTGCATTACACCTGCTTACCACAATTGTTCTGTAGTTAAAGTACAGTAGGCCAGTACCTATTAACCTCTGACACAGCACGAGTTTTGCGTGATGCTCTGCTAGCCAGGTTCATAATCATTATGAGAAACAGAAACATACCGTGCCAGATGTTAGCAATTACTGCAGTAGGTTCTGAATCCATTGTCCCTGATGGTCTGGTAATACTGCTGATAAGCCATTTCATTATAGCAGATAATTGCTGTACCAGAAATCTAAAAGGCTCCTGTACGCTCTTTGCTTGTTGCAGTTAAATAATGGAATAGGCCTGCCATTATTCCTTGCCACAAACCAAAGAAACTGGTATTCCTCCCTCTCAAAAAAAACCCAAAACATGTTAATGGTGGGTCAGTGCATAGAGTTTTAAGAATAACAGTGCAGCTAGTGGAGTTGTGTATGCACCAAAGTAGTCAGTGCCAGTTAGATTTCAAAGGCTGAATGTGTGTGGTCTGCACTGGAGAGAGTTGTGCATGGAGCTGGAGTACAAGGGAGGTCACAGGTACGCCCTCTGTAATTGGGAAAAACTGGCGTCTGTAATTAGGTGGCCTGGATTAAATTAGTCATGAATCTGTCACACAGGGCAGCAGGGAGGTGCTTTGGACTGATGACCATCATAATTACTCATGGTCTGGTTGAACGAAGGAACCCAAGCTGGGAAACAGTGACACCCTGTGTTAAAAGAAGATAGTATACATGTACGCAACTGACCTAAAACCCAACAAAAAATTATAAAAGGAAGTAATTTAGTTCAGAAAAATCTTTGTGCATGTTGTTCAGTTTGACCTTTCTGCATGATTCCCCACTCCCCTGTGTAAGGGATGAGTTAGTATAAGAAAGTAGCATGCCACAAGTTATGGACATAAATCCAGGAATATCAACATGGTGCTTGTGAGTTCAAAAACCTGATTCTCTTACCACCCCCACCTCCCAGCTGATAGGGTGGAGGATATTAATGCTGGCTAAGGGTCCACTCCCCTCGCCCATTATGTGGACCAAGGAATGACTATTTATTACGCTTAAAAGCCAAATCAGCGTTAGTACATAGAATGGTGATAGGTTATTGTATATACTTTGTGTCATTTTATGTTGAGATGTGTCTTATTATATGAAAGAGTATTGACTAGTAGCATTGTTATAATTGAGCAACACTAGACAGGAAATCTCCTATATATTGGGGACTTCTTTTTTTTTTGTAATTATAAAAGAACCAGGAGTGACTGGTGCCTGGCTTGGGATCAAGATCTGCCTTGCTATGTTGTTTTTCCCCTTTTCCTCTGCCATCAAAGACTGCCAAGGACATTTGCACCAACTCTTTAGTGTAAGATCTTGCCCTCTGCCTACTGGACTTGCAGTATACCTGCTAAGACATCTCTTTAAAAATCTACAAAACAGTTTTGGCTCAATGACTGTGATACTGTTAAAGGGGCGTAATAATACATTAACAAAGATAATGCTGGAATATGTTAGTCTCTCCATCCATGTTTAGGCACAAAGTGCAAAAATGTAGGAAACATTTTTGCCCTTCCCAAAAGTGAACATCAAAAGAAAATAACTAAAGGAACAAGGTGAATAATAATTCAATAGGTCACAATTTTTATTCACCTGCAGACATTCAGTTACACTGGCTAATATCAGTATTCAAAGGTCTACAGTAGCGAAAACACAACAAGAGTGTAGTGCATGAAAGGATGCCAATGAGGTGACAATCACTGCAGTAAGCTCTGAACCCATTGTTCATGATGGTCTGATAATACTGCTGCTAAGCCATTACACTACAAAAGATCCTTGCTGTTTCAGAAATCGAAGAGGATCCTGTACTGCCTTTGCTTGTTGCAGTAAAATAATGTAATAAGCCTGCAATTATTCCTTGCTACAAAACACAGAAACTGGTATATCCATAAACAATACATTATGGGTGGGGTCATTCCAGAGTTTTAAAACTAACAGAGAAGTAGTCATGCCAGTTAGATTTCAAATGTGCTAATGAGAAAGATTTAGTCTGAGCAGCAATGGCTGGCTGTAAATGCCTGAGAGTGTCAGCCGACCACTTACAGCTTATCATAGCTCCCACTGCTGGTATGATTTGGTATGGCTGAAGCATGTGTGTAGTATCTGCCTTACCTGCCATACCTCTTAGGGGCACAGTGTGACAGGGTGTGTGTAACCAGAGAACATTATTGTGTTAGACTGCTCACAAATTGTTTAACATTTAATGGAGGAACAGACCTAAAAGATTCCAGGCACTATAACCAATTCAATGAGATGAAATGGCTCTAGCTGCTACAATATACCACAGATATTAAAGGGGAAATAGCCACTTTGTCTCCCTGAAGACTGGTATTTTGTTGTTTTTGTATGCCAACACTTCACCTTGTCTTCCATCCTCAAACTGCAAATTGGTTTAAAAAAAAAACCCAACATATGTATAATTTCATTCACAATAAAACAGTAATAAAGCTATCAGTAACCAGCCCACAGAAGAAGTCTATCAGAAGGAGAAAGAAAGTAAAAAATATGTCAGGGGTGTGGGATTTAAAAAAATAAATAAATCTACTTCTCCATGGGGCTAAAGGGGAAGCCCAAAGTACTTGTCCTGGCGCAGAATTTTAAATTAGAAAGTGTATGTTATGTTTGCCTGGTGTGTGCAGGCTGTATGGGGTGTGGCTGGTGTTTGTGCAGGCTGTATGTTTAACTATAACTTTTTCTATATACATAGCCTAATGCTTGTTGCCTTTATTACTGATCTTATATTAAAAAAAAAATTGCACTGATTAAATTCTGCAATCTCATGTATTCATTGTTTGCAGTCCAATCATACTTTCTTATTATATGTATGTACAACTATATATAGGTGATAATATAGTGTCACCCTCAGATATTAATAGCTATTAATATATGCATATATATGTACGTTCTGGACATAATTGCGTTTTCCTATCTTGGAATTTAACATTAATAAGCGCAATCATAATTTCCCCTCATACAGCTGTAAGCAATGGATAACATAACTCTGTTGTGTCAGAGTGCTTTTATCAGTTGGATTTATGTTGGGTAATTCTGTCTTGACCAAGAAGAAACAGTACTTAATTGATCTAAAGTCCCAGACTAGTAATAAGTTAAGAAGCAGCTAACTGGACATCTTGGGACAGATTTACTTATAAAACTTGAAAATGCAGTGAATCATTAACATTCCCACAGTGAAAATAAGACCGCTGCAACTAGCGCATCAAAGGAAACATAAGCATTGTCTTTTATTTTCAAATTTTGTTTCATTACTTTTAATGCAGTATTTCTAAATAATGCATTGAAATAAGAGGGGTGGCATTTTTACCCTGTATTTTCTATTTAAATCCTGGAACAGCACAGGGATATTCTGGGGTGAAAACTGAAACTAATTTCCCATAAGGAGCAGGATATAACCATGAGAGCTAGACTTGAATGTCTCTTGCTTTAGAAAAACTCTAATATCCTATTGAACATTTACCATCAAATAAACAAGCCTCAGGTTTCATCAGACCTCCTGCATGCTGTCTGGAAGCGCAGCAGCACCGGTGCCAATTTAATAGTAATATAATCCACACATCCATCCTGCTGAAGATCTACAACATGGGGTGGGTGGGTCATTTGAAATATGCTAAAGTTATAGTACATAATACTTTCATATTCATTTCTCTTACAAAATATAGGATTTATAAAGCTGTGTAAACATGCTAATATTTTGAAAAGGGCATTTGGTAAACTGTGAAAAACTTAAGAAATTCCACTTGGTGCTTTTAAAAAATAAAAAAGCAAATGTTAGCAAATTTGTTACACCGTAAATCTGAGTAATATAAAGGCTTTATGACATCTAAAGCAATATTTATGTAAAAATGGGTGACCCAGAGACCAACAGCTTGCTCCTATTTTTCTAATCCGAGTCAGACGCATGCATTCTCTTACAATGAATGCATCAATCCTATTTGACACTATCTCTTAAGCCTCACATCTCTTAAAGATAATTCAGTGAACGTTAAGGTAACAGAATAGACAATAAAGGAAGACAATATATTTAAGCATTTGAGGCACAGGTAATGTGTGACTGACTGATGTTTAAGCCAATGAAGAATAAGGGTGTGGGAAATCTCCACAATGATGTCACTTCAGTGAAGAATGAGTCTGAAGTGTTTGCTAAATTGAGAAATCTGATTGGGAGGACCCAGAGACTATGAAAAAAGTTGAGAACACTTTCTTTTCGATACTCTGAAATGATGTCCAACGAACAAGAGACACTTGTTGGAACTTGTTAGGAATTGAGAAAGATATTGATCTGCTGCTTCCTGGTTTATAAAATGCTCGCCCGAAGAGGTAAGAATACAGAAATCAGAAACTTTCAGACCAGGTAAGGAGCACAGCAGCGTTAGGGCTACATTCATACTGACATGCAGAAGCCGCACCTAGCATGACTGGAACGGGAGGCTTAACAGCAAAGCTTGAAAGACATAAGGCTGGAACAGTAATGCAGATAGCACATGTACTGCCAACACGGCATAAAAAGGAAGATTGGCATTTATAAAGAATAAGAAAGTTTATAAGTAAGTACATGAAGTTTTGACAAGGTTAGAAAAGAAAAGGTACTACTAAAACCAGAAGAATGCAGACAAATCTTCAAAATAACAAAAATAAAAAAGTTACAATATATATTTGAAGATAAAAAGAAACGTTCAGGTAATGTATAATTGTGACAATAGATTTGTAAGCAAATACTTAATATCAAATAGATGCAATAAGGTGAATAATTATAATCATAAATGGCCAGTCAACCCTTTTTTATATTGAGCACAAAGCAGAGAGAAAAAAAAAGTGCCATAAATACCAACTGTTCCTCAATTTAACTGATTCTCAGTGCAAAAGAAAATTAATGATTATTGCCAGAAATGCCAAAATGCCAGGATGACAAACATTGGAATTTGTAAAGATTATGAAAATAAAAGTTTGGGTTATGTTAGAAAACAAATTATGAAAATGGCGCTACCAAGACTAGTTTTTCACATTCTGATGTTGTAGGTACGATGGACATCAGCTGAAGCCCCAAAGCTGTTATGGTCATTAGTATTAAGATGGAGGTAACAGCAGTTCTGGGATTATGTTTTGCATTGGCAAAAGTACAACTTTTCATCATTTGCCATCAGCATTTAGGTGTGATAAACATTCTAAAATGATTACATAGCATCATGGTCTAAGGACCATACAAAAACATTACACAAGCTATAACATTTAAGATGAGGTAAAATTAGTGTCCAAAAGGGCTATGCCAAGCTGTTGCTGAACTACATCATTGCAATAGAAAGGGATTTTCCTTAGGTCAACCTAGCTCTAAAACTCAAATGTTTTCAGGAGAGAGATGGCCAGGTGTTCTGAAAGTTAAAAACAAACTACAGGGGAGAGATGCAGTTGAGTGGCAAAGGATACAGCAGCAACTGACAATCAAACTATTCCCCTTTAGTGGAAGGAGGTAGGTGTGGCAGAAATGCCTCTGCCACGTGTTCTTGGAGGGGCCTGCTTGACAGCCTCCTGTCAAAAGACTATAGGCCCTTTAAAAACTATGTGAACAGACGTGGTTCGTGGGATTTTATATTTGGTTCGGGAACTGAACAGGCGCACGAACCAGAGACCACCCGGGAGCTTGTTAAGCCTAATTGACAGTTTGTAACGCTTTCCACTGCAGTGTTCTAAGTGTTCATCTGTTCGCATGAATGATCACGAGGTGGCGGCCATCTTGTTCCCACGAACACAGGCAGCAGTGTTTGGTTGTCGAGTTCATGGAACTGTTTTCGGACACTGAAAACTTCTGAACACTGCTGGACTTCCAGGATCGCCTGCGTTCGGTTCTACACAACTTAAAAGGGTACTGTTCGGTGGAAACGTTCCCACGAACAAGGTGAACAAGCTCCAGGGTAATAACATTGACTATGTTCAGTAGTTTGTTTGGTTTTTAAATTACAGAACTAGACCAACCACAAGCCCTGATTCTCTGAAACTGTTTTGGGCATGGGACCATGCGTATGGTTGGTCAAATTATGACTTCCAGGAAATTACTGAACCCCTGAACCGATCTGCACCAGACCTACAGGGATGCTGGAAAGCCGCCTCAGATCCTCAACAGCCACAGTATGAATACCAGAGGGAAGAGGCTGACAATCCATCCCCACAGCAGCAAATTCCCAACCGGGTTCGGGGGGGGTGGGCGGGGAGTGGCTGAGACGGCAGGTCAACTGACCTCATCCTAGCAGAAGAGCTGACACCCGGGCCACCCCAGCAGAATACCTAAATACCCACAGGCCACCCCACCAGAAGCACTGGCACCAGGGCAGAGCGCAGTTGGCCTCTGCCCTCCCCTTGTCCTTAGTCCAGGACCTGATGACCCGATCTACCCAGCTGTAACACTGGCTGCGGGGCAGAGCACTGCTGGCCTCTGCCCACCAGGTAACCAACAGATAGGCCGGGAGTACCGGATGCCCACTTAACAGCTGGGGACACACAGGACAGAGCCGGGCTACAGAAGTCACCAGGTCCAGTACTTGTTTATGGTTGGGCTACTCAACTACTCCTGTACCGACCAACAGGAAGTCAGGTACCTGGTTAGTCTTCCCTTGGGGGGAAAGATGTGTGGCAGAAATACCTCTGCCACGTGTTCTTGGAGGGGCCTGCTTGACAGGCTCCTGCCAAAAGACTATGGGCCCTTTAAAAACTATGTGAACAGATTTGGTTCGTGGGATTTTATATTTGGTTCGAGAACCGAACAGGCGCACGAACCAGAGACCAACTGGGAACTTGTTAAGCCTAATTGACAGTTTGTAACACTTTCCACCACAGTGTTCTAAGTGTTCTTCTGGATAGGCGCTGTTTGCATGAATGACCACGAAGTGGCAGCCAACTTGTTCCCGTGTATGCAGGCAGCGGTGTTTGACCATCGAGTTCATGGAACTGTTTTCGGACACAAACTCCTGAACACACACCAGTATCGCCTCCGTTCGGTTCTACACAACTTAGAAGGGCACTGTTCGGGGAAAACAAGCCCTGATTCTCTGAAACTGTTTTGGGCATGGGACCATGCATGCGAATGGTCAAATTATGACTTCCAGGAAATTCCTGAACCGATCTGGGTGATTTTTGGATATGTTGGGCACCCAGATCGGGGCTATCAGGGGATGTAACTTTTGTGAGGGTTTTGTGGGTTTAAAGGTATTTTTGGGGTTTTGTTAAAATGTATGTTCCTCAATTATCTCTCAGACACAGGGGAGGGATTGACCTATTTTGTATGGGAGTATCCTGGACCTGAGAGCCAATGTAATCGTGTGTATGTTTTTACTGTAGTCTACTCTCAGGTCCAGGCGGGAGTGCCCCTTGCATGGGGACCTGCTTATAAGGCCAGTTGTGGCTGAGAATAAATGAGTTCCTCTTCACCCTCAACAGCTATATTTACTCTGGGGATTGCTATACTAATTATACTCCCTTGGATTATAATCACTAGCTCTTGTAAGAGCTATCCTGCTTTACTCTCTGGATTGGGAGAGGTCTACCCAATGGAAGCTGGATCCTGGTCTTGGGTCCAGGGTGGGTGGAGGATAACGATACCCCATCCAAACTGTAATGCTTGCTGCGGGGTTTACGGTGGTTAAGGTGTCTGGTGGAGTGCATGGAGTACTCGTGAGCACTAGGAAGCATCGATTGGCGGAGGCACCCAGTTGCGGTGCCCAGCGGTCCGTCACAGTAGGTAAAATTGTCACGTATATATCTTTAAGTGTACTCATGTCCCTCAGTAGCGCAGCAGCCCTTATGATATTTCATGCTTATTTGGTCTATCTTACTCATGAGTAATCATGTCCAAATCAAAATGCACTAAAAGATGTCCCACATAAGGACAACTCACCCCTTTTTTATAATTTAAAATGAGCTGCAGAGTCAAGTCTCCAACAACTTTGAGGGCTTAAACGCCAGTTAGTGTAGCAGCATAATGGGTAAATCTGCAAACTAAACCTACAGTGCCAAAGAGGGGTACATTTCCAATTTAAAAGCAAAACTGGAATCATTAAATAAATGTCCAGTACAGGTGTGGAATATAGGCTAAATAAAATATATAAAAGTACAAGTATTCCACAATCAGCAGCAGGTTCCTAAATTTGCATTCATAAAAATAAAACAACCGTTATATTTAATAAATATATCTATATAGATAGATAGATAGCTATCTCCCAGGTCCCAGCACTCGATGCTCCCGGTCTTTCAATTGCTCCGGTGCAATCTCAAGCCCACTATATTTTCCAAATAGAAAGCACTCTGGAGTCTTTGTGAAGTAAATTTACTGTTGCTTTATTCAGAAATAACAGTGATTAAACAACGTTTCAATCTATTCAGACTTTTAATATATTTACATGGGCGCCTGCAGGAAATTTTCCGGGGGGGAAGGGGGCATAATTGTAATGACATTCATGCTCTGCCCCTTTTTGACAGTATCATGAAGGGGAGGGGCATAGTCAATTATCACATAAAGCGCAGGCATACAAAAGATTTGAGAAATCTTATGCAAAAGATTAATAAAAGAATCAAGTTGCCATTGTCTGATTTAAGTGTTGCAATTTCTGATCTGTTTTAATGTTAACACTGTACAATGCACCACATTAGTCATACACACATGATCAAGGCACTATAACTGAATTATAAAAATGACTGCACACAAAGCTACCGCCAGAGCACTAGGTAGCATGCACAGCAGTTGCCACAGTATTTGGAGACACTCACAGCACTAGCTACAGCACCAGAATGTGCCCACTGTATGAGATTGCACCAACACAACATTTGTCGCACCTTATAAATGCCAGTAATAATAATAATAAAGGGCCCTGGAGGGGGGCCCTCTAACAGAGGCCGTCTCAGCATCCATTTGAGAGTCTGTTTTAAAAAAAAATACATTTTTACCTGTGTGTCTCTTAATCATCCCCATCTCCTCTGTGTGTATTTGTCCCCTCTGTGTGTTCTTATTCACTTCCCAGACCCTCTCTTTGTCATTGTTTTCTTCTACATTCCCTCTGTGTTTCTGCTCCCCACCCCTAGACTGCTAAATACATACATACAGACTGCTGAATACATGTCCACACAGACTGCTAAATACACACACACAGACTACTGAATACACCCACAGATTGCTGAATACATACACTCAAAACTGAATACACACACACAAACACACAGACTGCTCAATACACACAATCTGCTAAATACATGCACACATACTGCTGAATACACACACACAGACTGCTGAATACACACACAGATTGCTGAATACACGCAAAGACTGCTGAATACATTCACTCACTGCTGAATACACAAACATACACAGCAAGCAGCCCTCCCTCATTCCTTATACAACTTACAACTAATCACCCGTGAAAAATGAAATTGAAACTTACCTTTTGGATACTTGCTTCCCTTAAGTTACCTCCCAAGTTGGTAACTATGTACAAAATATTATAAAATGCAAAATGACCGGGGATACAGCTTGTATCACTAAAATATAAACATAAAACACAACATAGTGTAGCAAAGTTATAGCCTTAAACACTCGCTTCACGTTTCAAGGTTACACTCACAAATTGATGTTTTGTATCAGGCCTTCAGGGTGCCTCCCCTATGGTTAGGGTTTTTTTTTCCTGTTGCTGGTAATCACGCCAATTCCGGAATGAGGAAGCCCACATGGTTAAGTACAAAAAAGTACAATACCAAGGATCCAGTCCCTGTAATAGGTTCAATATGACATTTTTCAAAAGCTAGGATATGGTTATAAGGTTATTAAAGGCTAGGATAAAAGAGAGAAGTTTGATACGACATGTTAAAAGACTATAGGCTTTTCGTGACTCACAGCTGCAGTCTAAGAGTGAGACAACAGGTTTCTGACATTTTGGACATTAGGAAAGGGTATACTGCCCTTTCCCAGAGTATTTTGTATGCTTTGTGCAGCCCCAAACACACTGTGGACACGTAATGCACCTAGTTAGCCCTTTTGTGACTGTAGCAATTTCCCTTTTCTCTAATGTATCATAGACCACATATGTGGTAATAGTGAATCTGACTACATGGGACATACAGCAGAAATGGAACTTTAAAAAAACAACAAAAAAAACATTTTTAGGGACTACATCCTCCTACTCTAACTTCATACATGAAGTCCTGAATTATTTTCTATAATCCTTAAGGTGATGATTATCAGCTAGTTAAGTCCATATGTTATTAGATTGATATTTATTTTTTAGCAGAGCCTGTCCATCCACTGTTATTCCCCCACACTCCCCTCATGCCTCACTTACCTGATCTGTAGGCTGCCCCCCATGCCTCACTTACCTAATCTGTAGGCTACCCCCTCCCCATCCCTCACTTACCTGATCTGTAGAATGCCCCACCAGCCTAATCTGTAAACTGCCCACCATGCCTCACTTACCTGATCTGTAGGCTGCCCCTCCCCCCCATACCTCACTTACCTAATCTGTAGGCTGCCCCCACATGTCTCACTTACCTAATCTGTAGGCTGTCTCTGCAGTCTGGGAGTTGCTGGCTGCACTGTCTATAGCTGCTCCCCTGTTGATTTAGTCAGGAGAGAGAAGCAGGGATAATGTATTCTCAATCATAAGAAAAATACTGGCACAAACTGAAAAATCCACAGGGAGGGCAAGTGCCCCCCCTTGCCCCGTCCTGCAGACACCAATGTGTAAAGTGGATCCTTCTAGTGCATCATGCTTGCGATATGTGGCATAGGCCTCCCCCTCCCTCCCTTCTCTGGGAGCGATTGTTCATGCGAGTACATAGTTTATTCCCTCCAAAGAGCGCTCTCCTGGGAGACCAGAGACCCGCGAGGACTGTGGCAGGCAAGTGCCCCCCCTTGCCCCGTCCTGCAGACGCCAATGTGTAAAGTGGATCCTTCTAGTGCATCATGCTTGCGATATGTGGCAGTGCCCCCCCCCTCTCTGGGAGCGATTGTTCATGCGAGTACATAGTTTATTCCCTCCATAGTCAAGAAGTGGGGGAAAACAAAGGGAAAAATTGGCCAGGAAAGCGGTTTAGTAGCGGCCGTGTCGGAGTTACAGAGAAGTTGTAAGTCCTGCTACAGTCCTCACGGGTCTCCCTGGACGACCAAGGGAAGATGTGCTCTTGGTGAATGAACTTTGAGGGGATGTTGAGGAGTGCTAGTGTTTTGGGACAGCCTCTGGAAAGGGACATGAGTATATGGGTCATAGTGATTATGCCCCTTTTTGGAGTGAGGTGCAGGCTGTTCTTTGTATTGGCACAAGTGCTTGGGTGGTCAGTCACACCATGTATACTGGTGACTGCTCTGACCTAACAAATGTGAATTGTTTCACATTTCCTGCTTGGGAAAAGCATGTATAAAGGTTTTACACAGGTCTCCACATCACTACCATTTTGTTGGTTTAAAGGACCACTATAGGCACATTTAGCTCAATGAAGTGGTCTGGGTGCCAGGTCCCCCTAGTTTTAACCCTGCAGCTGAAAACATAGCAGGTTTACACTGCATGGCTAATCCAGCCTCTAGTGGCTGTCTCCCTGACAGCCACTAGAGGCGCTTCTGCGTTTTACACAGAGTAAATCGTACTTACTTGACGCTGGACGTCCTCATGGACTCCAGCGTCAAATAAGAACCCCATAGGAAAGCATTAAGTAATGACTTCCTATGGGCAGGTTTGAATGTGCGAGTGCCTCTGACTGCGCATGCGGCTCCACTCGGGAGCTGACGTCGACGGGGGAGGAGAGGTCACCAGCGCCGAGGGAGGCCGGCGCTGGATTAAGGTAAGTGGCTGAACAGGTTTTAACCCCTTCAGCACTGAGGGAGGTGGGCACTCCAAGAGCCTATAGTGCCAGTGTTATAGGAATGCAAGGCTAAGAAGTACATAAGAGAATGGACACGGATTCCAGGAAGCAAACATTGATTTATTTGCAGCTGCAAATGTTCCAGTGCCATTATCAGTAACACGATGCACTGGACACAGATTAGTTTCCTAACAAAGAATATATACTGGAAATGACGTATTCCATACGTATACATAGAATACAAAAATTGCACCTACATTACTATAGTTACATCCAATATTAAACTAATGCTTATCTCTTACATCTGTTATCTAATAGTGGGCATTCCTGACACACATGTGACCTGGTCCAAGATAGTTGCACAGTAGTTTTAACCATGTGAGTACTGAACTTTTCTTAAACATCCTGTAGCTTCTACCACACCAGGAAAACAGGTTTTCCTGGCACTATAGGATCCATTTAATTAGATTGTGTGTGTTGACTTCTTCAGTATTCATGCTAAATGTGATGTGGATGTGTGTGCTTCATGTTGGTGTTAGGTGGGTGATGTAGTTGATAGGGGCAGATAGGTTAACATTTTGCATGTTATGTACAAGGGGAAAACTACATTGTGACTTAGTCTGGTTTAAAATAATAAGATAAAATGTCTGTGGACATGATACCTGTTAGGCTTGCACTTATCTTCCAGTTGTACTCAACAAGAATTTGTTGCTGTCATGTTAAAGGACCACTATAGTGCCAGGAAAACATACTCGTTTTCCTGGCACTATAGTGCCCTGAGGGTGCCCCCACCCTCAGGGACCCCCTCCCGCCCGGCTCTGGAAGGGGAAAAGGGGTTTAAACTTACCTTTTTCCAGCGCTGGGCGGAGAGCTCTCCTCCTCCTCTCCGCCTCCGTTCCGCCCCGCCGGCTGAATGCGCACGCGCGGCAAGAGCTGCGCGCGCATTCAGCCCGTCGCATAGGAAAGCATTTACAATGCTTTCCTATGGACGCTGGCGTGCTCTCACTGTGAAAAATCACAGTGAGAAGCACGCAAGCGCCTCTAGTGGCTGTCAATGAGACAGCCACTAGAGGATTAGGGGGAAGGCTTAACCCATTCATAATTATAGCAGTTTCTCTGAAACTGCTATAATTATGAAAAAATGGGTTAACCCTAGAAGGACCTGGCACCCAGACCACTTAATTAAGCTGAAGTGGTCTGGGTGCCTAGAGTGGTCCTTTAAACTAAGTTTTTACTATTTATCTACATTTTACATGCTTATAGGTATTACATACTTTAAGCAGGTTTATCCACAACTGCTTCATGTACCTAGCTGACATTTGTTCTTTTCCAATGCCACTGAATCAATCCCTTATTCAATCAATTCTTATATGGATTTGAAATATTATTTGCAATTTGCTTTACTCTTATATCCTGTCTAATCCAACTTGTTTATTAATGTGTTTTTCTATACTATTCCTTTCTACTAGTCTCTCCCTCTGTAATGTAATCACTGTTTAATAACTCAAGGTTAAGGTTTCCATTTCCTCTGTTCCAAATCCTTGTTCCCTTCTCAGTTTCCTCTGTCTTTACTGTCATTAATTCATTTTCAAAATACAACCAACTTTACAATAAAATTCTTGCAAATTATTTTTTTTAGGCATGATCACAGTCACAGAGGCAGCATCCCTTGCTGACTCCCAGGCCCATTTTAAGGCCCTGAAACCTTGGTGGGATGTCCTCATGGATTACCTTCTCATCATAATGCTTATGGTCTCCTTTTTCTCTGCCACGTTACTTATAACAATGGACAAAGTTGTTTGCATGCCAAAGCCTATAGATACACACAAAAACAAAACAGATGACTTGTCTAAAGCTGGCTTCACATATTCATCAATTTCAAGAGAACCTGGTCACTTGACCAAGTTGGACTATCAGCAGTACTTGTATGTCAGTGTAGTTTGCTACCATAAAGTAGTACCATGGCAGTCCAAATATTTTCCCTATCTGACTCTCGTCAACACTTTGATTCTTCTGGTCAGCAGCAACTTCTGGTTTAAGTATCCGAAGACTTCATCCAAAGTTGATCATTTCCTCTCCATTCTATCTAAGTGCTTTGAATCTCCATGGACTACAAAAGCACTTGAAGAAACAAGTGATCAACCACCTCCTGATCACACCCGTCTAAAGTCGAGCTGTACACGTTCTGTGGAATACTCTTCGAGATCACCACTCCTAAGGGAATTTCCATTCATACCCATACAACTACCAGCTTCTTCAATTCTTGACAAAAAAGAAGAGGAGCAGGCAAAGGCTTTGTTTGAGAAAATACGTCACTTTCGATTATATGCCGAGGACTCTGATATAGTATATCAGGTTTACATGGGACAGACAATCTTTAAAGTAGTTAAAGTAACAATAGTAATAGGATACACATTCAGTCTTGTGGGATCCTTCAGTTTCCAACATATTTGTAAGCCTGATATACAGAACCTAATGGGATATACTCTGTTTATTTGCACTCACAACTTGGCTTACATCCTGGAGAAGCTTCTGCTGACTTATATACTTCTTGTCTGTCTGTATGCCTTTTTAGCAGCTTATGCCTTGTTTTGGCTTTTCAGCCATCAGCTAAAATCTTACTCCTTTGAAAAAAATCATGATGGGAATGTCTTTGGAGACATTCCAGTTGTTAAGAATGATTTTGCCTTCATGTTACACATGATAGATCGCTATGACTCTTTGTACTCCAGGAGATTCTCAGTGTTTCTGTCCGCAATCAGTGAAGGGAGGCTGAAAGAGCTAGCACTCAATTCTGAGTGGACACTGGAGAAGCTCAAGGAGCAAGTGAACAAAAACAAGGGGCACTGTGAGCTGGTGATCTCAATGCTTCCAGCCATCCCAATAGCAGTTTATGATTTGACTGAAATTGAAGTCCTCAAGCTGGAATTGATCTCCTCTGCAAATTTTTTAGCAGCTGTGTCCAGACTCAAACGTTTGTCTGAACTGCATCTAAGGCACACTTTGGTTAAGACAGATCCTGATGCACATCGTTTCCTTCAGGAGCATTTGAAGATTCTTAAGGTTTGGTTCACTGACCTTGAGGAGCTCCCTGCCTGGATCTACTCTCTGAAGAATCTTCAGCAGCTGCATCTTTCTGGCAACCTTAACTCCTCAAACAACAAATCCATTCGTTTACAGTCCTTACGGGGTCTAAGGAACCTCAGAGTCCTATCTCTTACCAGTAATCTATCGTATCTGCCACCCACTGTCCTGGATATAGCAGGACAACTGCATAAACTAATAATTCATAATGGAGAAACAGTGCTCTGCTCACTAGGTCATCTGAAAAAAATGAGCCAACTCACAAATATTGAGCTTCGCCAGTGTCAAATCTCAAAGATTCCTGGAGCTCTCTTCAACTTGCCTACACTACAAAATATGGATTTGACATCAAACTTATTACAGAATGTGGATGAATTGGGAACTTTACAGCGACTCCGAAATATAACTACATTAAGACTGTGCCACAATGCCATATATTGCCTCCCTCCAACAATTGAGAACTTGTTCAATCTGGAAGAACTGACTCTTTCTCACAACAATCTGGACAATTTGCCAACTACTCTATTTAACTTGGTCAAACTGAGGCACCTTGATATCAGTCACAATCACATCAAAACTATTATTCCAGAAATAGGACACTTGTCACGTTTGGAGTTGTTGGAAATTTCTAGCAACCAAATCTCTTTTCTACCAGTGGAGTTGTTTCGTTGCACTAGGCTCCGTTCGCTTTATGCTGGCCATAACAAGCTTACCAACTTTCCTTCAGAAGTCAGACAACTATCTCTCCTGTCTACATTAGAACTGACGGGCAACAACTTAACCTCTTTGCCAGTAGACATTGCCTCTTGCTTGATGCTAAGAAAAGGAGCTATGTTTATAGAAGAAAATGTGTTGAACATGTCCCCTATGAAACTGAGGATTAAATTTTCATGAATAAACAAGTATCCCTACCTAAATAAGTTTAATTGTTTTGTCTCTGTAATGTAAAGTACATTGAATTTTAAATTAAACACTTACTAAGTGAATAAAGTAGGCCGTCCACTTTAATATGAGGTCTACACATCTTCAAAGGAACACTCTAAAAACCAAAACAACTTTAGCCTAATTAAGTGATTTGGTGTATGGATCACACCCTTGCAGTCTCACTGCTGAATCTTCTGCCATTTAGAAGTCAAATCACTTTGTTTATGCAGCCTTAGCCACACCCCTGCCTTAGCTTACACAGCCTCCCTACACACTACATGTAAAGAGATAACTAATAATATCTTATCTTCTGCACTGTTCATTGCCTGCTGAAGACTGCAGGAGCCACATGTATGTGTATAAAGTTCAATAACTGTGCAGGAGATAATAAACACAATGTGCTGTAAGAACTGATTGAAAATGAAACCATGTTTTTTATATTGGCTTTGTGAATCACATCTAGAGTAGGTGTGGCTAGGTCTGCATGCAAACATAAAAGTGATTTAACTCCTAAATGGCAGAAAATTGAGCAGCACACCTGCAGGGACATGATCTATACACCAAAATAGTTTCCTTAAAGGACCACTATAGTGCCAGGAAAACAAACTCTTTTTCCTGGCACTATAGGGTCTTTAGGTCCCCCCCGACCCCATGGCCCCCTCCCACCGGGCTGATGGGGGCTGAAGGGGTTAAACTCTAAACTCTCCTCCCTCTTCCGACATCAGCGGCAAATGCGCATGCGCGGCAAGAGCTGTGCTCGCATTCAATCAGTCCATAGGAAAGCATTTCTCAATGCTTTCCTATGGACGTCCAGCATCTTCTCACAGTGATTTTCACTGTGAGAAGCGCAGAAGCGTCTCTAGCGGCTGTCAATGAGACAGCCACTAGAGGCTGGATTAACCCTATTGTAAACATAGCAGTTTCTGTGAAACTGCTATGTTTATAGCTGCAGGGTTAACCCTAGATGGACCTGGCACCCAGACCACTTCATTGAGCTGAAGTGGTCTGGGTGCCTATAGTGGCCCTTCAAGCTAAAGTTGTTTTGGTGCTTGGAATATTCCTTTGAACTATAAAAAGGTATAAGAAATGTGGCTAATTATATATAAAGTCCTTCCATTATAGAGGACCAAATATATCTAGATGATTGGCAGCTCGTGTCATTATTGGCCAGGAGTGTATTATCACATTGTCACTTCATGCACAAGAATGCTAACAAAAAAACTAGAAGTGATTCTAGATTTGGAATTTGCAACTGGAGTCTTGTTATTGAGACTGACAAAAGGAACACAAAAGATCAAGCAAAGAAAAAAAAATTAAAATTGTGGACTGCAAAGGTGTTGTTTAATTTACCTCAATTAACCTATTAGTTTATAAACCATAAATGACTACTGCGGAACTATAACACCTTTATCAGAATGAAGTTGTTATGGTGCGATGAGGTTCCAGGCACGCGTGAAGAGGTTAAATCATTAATGAAAAGTTTAACACGAAGGTCTAAAATTTGGAACCCATCAGCTCTGCCCCATCACGTCCGTTCCAGTCTGAGGCTTCAATAAGTAGCCCCTCTTTCACAAAATGGAGTAAAAAAGATACATGCCTTTTTCCAATAAGGGTGTTATGGTGCCTGGAGTTTCCCGTTAAACATTATATGATTTTTCTTAGCATATCATGGTTATTGCACAGTAAGATGTTGCACTATTCACATCAATCAAACCATATTGGACAGAGTGACAATCAGTTGTTCACTAAAGTGAGAAAGCAAAGTGAATTTCACATTTTAGGCAAGAGTAACTGCACTGGATGCGCAGATGACTCAGAGAATTTTTACAATTTGGCTGGTAATATGAAATTCACTTTGAATTTTCATTATTGTGAATAACCCTGTCACTGTGCATAGCTTAGTTTAGTAGATATGCTACCAAGAGTCTTTGCGTATAGTCTCCAATTTCTTGTCAAACCATTTGGTAGTGTTTTGACAAGCATTAGGGCTCTCTTCTGCCCACAGAGACCACCCCATCTTCTGCTTTATTAATATTAGTAGTTTAGACCAGCGGTCTAGAATTGAGACCAATAGGGAAGTGTAACTTCTACATTATAAATCAGGCACTAGACACCTAGGGGATGGCCCCCACAGACTATTGACAGCATAACCACTATACTAAGCTGTAGTAGGTAGTGTTGGTTAAAATGTCCCTTTAAGTGTGCTTTCCTGATAAATATGTTAGATAGGAGTATGACTCATCACCATCAACATTCCCATTAAGTCCAAAACACACACTTTACTGGGACCCAATGAATCTGAAAGACAGTTTTAATTTCTCTGAGTCTTGGCATTTCAGGTAGACAGAGATAAGTCTATATACCTCCTAGTGGTTTTAATGTCTCCAGAACAATCCAATACCAATACTCCATCACGCACAGTTCACTGTTATGTCTTATGTGTGTATTTCATGGGAGATAAGATTGCACAATCTACAAGCAGGTCTTATGCAAAAAAAAAAAAAATATATATATACTTTTTATCTCTGACTATCTTTTCAACGGAGGACAGGAATTTGCCTATGCTAGGCTTTGTTGGATTTACAGTGCTTGAAAGTCTTTCTAGGCATCCAATAACAATTCAATAAACTTTAAAAAGTTTAAACAATTTTTAAGAGAGGCAAAGTTGGCTAGGCGCATAAACTGCATTTTTACCAAGAAGTTCTCAGCGGCACCAGTCAAGTTTTTGCGACTGGGGCTGAAGCGTTCCATAGTCCCTGAAAGCAGCTAGGAAGTGGACTAGGTGGACATACTCAGTCCCCTGTTTTTCCTACAAAACCTGTTAAATGAACCTGTTACTTACTAGTAAATTAAAAAATTGCCGTCCATTTTTTTTTGAGGAAATGGCAGGACCACTACACCTTAGACCACTTCTTTTACTGACAAAGTGGTCTGGGTGAGTACATTGGTCCTTTAACCCCTTAAGGATTGGACTGTTTTTGCGATGATGTACATTTGTGACCAGGCATCTTTTTACACTTTTGTAGTGTTTGTGTTTAGCTGTAATTTTCCGCTCTCTCATTTACTGTTCCCATACAAATTATATATTGTTTTTTTTTAGGACAAAAAGGGCTTTCTTTACACACCATTATTTATATCATCTCATGTAATTTAATTTAAAAAAAAAATGAAAAAAATATGATGAAAAATTGAAAAAAAACATGTTTTTTTACTTTTACGTGAAAAATCTTTTACTCATCTACAAAAGCGAATTAAAAAACTGCTAAATAGATTCAAAATTTTGTCCTGAATTTAAAAATACCCAGTGTTTACATGCTTTTTGCATGTTATAGGGCTATAAGTACAAGTAGGATATTGCAGTTTCAAAACATACATTTTAAAAAATTTATCAATAGTGACATTGTAACACTATTATCTGTCATAAATTTCTGAATAACACACCACATGTACATATTTTTTTAAAGTAGACAACCCAGGGTATTCAATATGGGGTATGTCCAGACTTTTTTAGTAGCCACTTAGTCGCAAACACTGGCCAAAGTTAGCGTTCATATTTGTTTGTGTGTGAAAAAAGTAAAAAACTAAATTGAACGCTAATTTTGGCCAGTGTTTGTGACGAAGTGGTTACTAAAAAAGACTGGACATACCCCATTTGCAATACCTTGGGTTGTCTTCTTTTGCAAATGGTATGCCATCATGGGGGTAATTCTCATTCCTGGGCTACCATACGCTCTCAAAGGCAACGTAACCAACCTGGCCATTTTCAAAGTAAAAATATTTGACCCATATATTTGACCCTGTAACTTTCAAAAACGCTATAAAACCTGTACATGGGGGTTACTGTTATACTCAGAAGACTTTGCTGAACACAAATATTAGTGTTTCAAAACTGGAAAACGTATCACAACAATATCATCAGTAAAAGTGCTGTTTGTGTGTGAAAAATGCAAAAAAGTCACTTTTACTGACAATATCATCGCTGTGATATGTTTTACTGTTTTAAATCACTAATATTTGTGTTCAGCGAAGTCTCCCGAGTAAAACAGTACCCCCCATGTACAGGTTTTAGGGTGTCGTAGAACATTACAGGGTAAAATACAGTGCTAGCAAATTAAATTCTCTGGACTTTCGGCCTGGGTTGGCAGGCAGGTCCCTCAAATTGCAATGAATAAAATTACTTAATTATGTAAAAATATTACATAAATAAGCACGTAGAATTTAAATATATATGCACATTTATATATTTGAAGTCTACGTGTATATTTATATAATTATTTATGTAATTTGGCATATGGACATATGTATATTATGTATTATTTTTTATTTATTTATATACAGGGAGTGCAGAATTATTAGGCAAGTTGTATTTTTGAGGATTAATTTTATTATTGAACAACAACCATGTTCTCAATGAACCCAAAAAACTAATTAATATCAAAGCTGAATATTTTTGGAAGTAGTTTTTAGTTTGTTTTTAGTTATAGCTATGTTAGGGGGATATCTGTGTGTGCAGGTGACTATTACTGTGCATAATTATTAGGCAACTTAACAAAAAACAAATATATACCCATTTCAATTATTTATTATTACCAGTGAAACCAATATAACATCTCAACATTCACAAATATACATTTCTGACATTCAAAAACAAAACAAAAACAAATCAGTGACCAATATAGCCACCTTTCTTTGCAAGGACACTCAAAAGCCTGCCATCCATGGATTCTGTCAGTGTTTTGATCTGTTCACCATCAACATTGCGTGCAGCAGCAACCACAGCCTCCCAGACACTGTTCAGAGAGGTGTACTGTTTTCCCTCCTTGTAAATCTCACATTTGATGATGGACCACAGGTTCTCAATGGGGTTCAGATCAGGTGAACAAGGAGGCCATGTCATTAGATTTTCTTCTTTTATACCCTTTCTTGCCAGCCACGCTGTGGAGTACTTGGACGCGTGTGATGGAGCATTGTCCTGCATGAAAATCATGTTTTTCTTGAAGGATGCAGACTTCTTCCTGTACCACTGCTTGAAGAAGGTGTCTTCCAGGAACTGGCAGTAGGACTGGGAGTTGAGCTTGACTCCATCCTCAACCCGAAAAGGCCCCACAAGCTCATCTTTGATGATACCAGCCCAAACCAGTACTCCACCTCCACCTTGCTGGCGTCTGAGTCGGACTGGAGCTCTCTGCCCTTTACCAATCCAGCCACGGGCCCATCCATCTGGCCCATCAAGACTCACTCTCATTTCATCAGTCCATAAAACCTTAGAAAAATCAGTCTTGAGATATTTCTTGGCCCAGTCTTGACGTTTCAGCTTGTGTGTCTTGTTCAGTGGTGGTCGTCTGTCAGCCTTTCTTACCTTGGCCATGTCTCTGAGTATTGCACACCTTGTGCTTTTGGGCACTCCAGTGATGTTGCAGCTCTGAAATATGGCCAAACTGGTGGCAAGTGGCATCGTGGCAGCTGCACGCTTGACTTTTCTCAGTTCATGGGCAGTTATTTTGCGCCTTGGTTTTTCCACACGCTTCTTGCGACCCTGTTGACTATTTTGAATGAAACGCTTGATTGTTCGATGATCACGCTTCAGAAGCTTTGCAATTTTAAGAGTGCTGCATCCCTCTGCAAGATATCTCACTATTTTTGACTTTTCTGAGCCTGTCAAGTCCTTCTTTTGACCCATTTTGCCAAAGGAAAGGAAGTTGCCTAATAATTATGCACACCTGATATAGGGTGTTGATGTCATTAGACCACACCCCTTCTCATTACAGAGATGCACATCACCTAATATGCTTAATTGGTAGTAGGCTTTCGAGCCTATACAGCTTGGAGTAAGACAACATGCATAAAGAGGATGATGTGGTCAAAATACTCATTTGCCTAATAATTCTGCACTCCCTGTATACATACATACATAGATATATATACAATTTCATTCTAAGTGTATTTTGATATAAATATATATTAATATCAAAATACAGTTAGAATAAAATTTCATATAGATATAATTTTACATTTTTTTTATTATTATTGTTACATTTTTTAATTTAAATATTTGTATTTTATAATAATATATATAGTTATTATATATATTATATACACGTGTGTAATTTAATAAGTATTTTTATATTAATATATGTACATATTAATATAAAAATACACTTAGTATGACATTATATATATGATATATAGACATATATAGATATAATATGTCTATATATCATATGTACACATATATAATTATTTATTTTTTTAATTAACTTTATTTTTTTAAAAAATGATTTTACAGTTGCAGGGAGACTGCCTGTCAGCACAGGCAGACACAGGGACACAGAGGTCCTAATCCGGTGTGGGGAGACCATCTGGGCTGCAGGCAGTCTCCCCACACCGGGAGCAACGCCGATCGCCGCCGGGGAACGACGGCGATCGGGTAAGTAACTAAGACCATTAGCGGTCGGCAATGTAAAACGCCGATGACAGTCCTGAACCGTCCTCGGTCCTTAAGGGGTTAAAATGTAAAAATCAACATTTCTCTTTTTAGCTTTATCCTATAACTGAGCCGATCCTTTTCTGCCATTGAACACGAATATTATTGAACATATTGAATCAATATGTGTATGAGGAGAAATAGAAAAGTTCCTGTTTCTTCTCCCCCAATGCAATCTGTACCCTAGCTGTGTGGGGTTACAAAACTGGATGGTGATGTCATATTATAAATCCTTAATATACGTTTAAAAGAAAACAGAACTCCTTTTAAAAACAAGTTAAAACAAGTCATAAGTGATTTTCAATATTTTATTCAATGCTGTAATGTCCAGAAAAGTAATGATTCTCCTTTATAATAAAGGGACACTTCAAGCAAAATGATCACACAGTCCCGTAGAGAGCACTCATTCCAAATCCACTTGGCGACTAAGCCTCAACGGTAAAGCCGCAAACCTCCTAGCACTCACTTTCCGATCTGATGGAGCTAAACTTTAATTGGGTGGCAATTCAACACAGTGGATGCGACAAGAATGCTCTTTTGACCAAAGGTGGTGGAGAGGTATCTGAGTATATAAGACACGTAGGGGTTATTTTTGCTTTTTATGTGCTTACTTTAGAGAGAGAGCAATCTGCTGGTGCAGGTAATGCGAGTTAATATATCAAAGCCTGACATTGAAAACATCATATATCTCTGTGATATAAGATGTATTAATGCATTTGGGGATGATTTATTCTAAAGTGAACCTTTCATGATAGAATTAGAAATTTAAATTGAAACTATGTCAATACTTAGACTGACAACAGTATTAAAAAGGAAAAAGCAAGAATTCAATGAGAATTATGTGAGAAATTATGTGACTATTACTCCCCAAAATTGTCCTTGCCTCTTGCGTCAAATAGTTGTAAAATAGTAAAAATTCTGCACATCGTGTAAATGACGCTGCCAGGTTCCTGTGATGTTTTGCTTGCCCTTGTAATTAGTATTCCATACCAGACTGTGACTGAACATACTGCAATTTTATTAAAAACAGAAATTTTTACTTACCGTAAATTCTTTTTTTCTTAATATGGTGGCAGTACCTGTGGGTTGTGCCTCCTTAATCGGGACAAGCATCTACAAGATGGGAGGGACTTTTAATGAACTCCTCTTTATCCCATAAAGGGCTTTCCCCGGCAAACCCACCTCAGTCGTAGCAAGAAAACACACCACACAAGTCAAATACAACAAGTACATTTTTAATTCAGAGGGAGGAAGTATTGTACTGCCACCATATTTAAAAAAAAAAGAAAAAAAGAATTTACGGTAAGTAAAAATATTTTTTTTTCTGGAATATGGTGGCAGTACCTGTAGGATATAGCAAGATTCCCATTGGGTGGGCATTACGCCACAACTGCTTGAAGCACCTTACGCCCAAATGCGGTTTCAGAGGATGAGAATACATCTAGCCTGTAATGCCTGATGAAGGTGTTGAATGATGACCAAGAAGCCACCTTGCAAATTTCTGCGGACGAAGCAAGAGCCTTTTCTGCCCATGATGTAGACATTGCTCCTGTGGAATGTGCTGTAAGAGAAGTAGGTATAGGAAGGTTACTGGAAGCATGCGCCATCTTAATTGTATCCATTAACCAACGAGAGATAGAAGTACGAGAGGCTCTTTCCCCTTTAAATTTCCCTTGGAAATTGACAAACAGGTGATCAGATTTTCTATAATTGGCAGTTCTTGATAGGTAGATCTGTACAGCTCTTCTAACATCCAATTTATGCCATTTTAGTTCCTGCGGCAAGGTGGCATTATTGCAGAAGGAAGGTAAAACGATGGGCTGATTAACAGCTCTAGAAGCGATAACCTTCGGAAGGAATGAAGGCTTAGTATGGAGCACTACCTTATCTTGATGGAATATAATGAATTTGTACAATGAAGAAAGAGCTTGAAGTTCATCTACTCTTTTGGCAGAGGTGATGGCCACCAAGAAGGCTGTCTTGAGTGTTAGATTCTTCAATGGGACCTTCTTCTAAGGTTCAAAAGGAGGTTCACAGGGCGCTTGCAGGACTGACAAAAGATCCCAGGAGGGAAAATATGACTTCTTGTGTGGTCTAAGAAGCCTTACTGCTTTGAAGAATCTCCTAATTAGAACATGCAATGCTAAATCCTTCACTAGAAAAAAAACTTAAGGCAGACAGCTGGACGTTCAAAGTGGAAACACCCAGACCTTTGTGAAGCCCATCCTGAAGGAAGTGTAAAATAGAATCAACTAAAGGATGTACTTGAAGAAATTGATGTTCCTTACACCAATGTAGAAATTTCGCCCAAATTCTCATGTACAACTTTGAGGTGGAACGTCTGGTAGATTGAAGGAGTAATTGGACCCTGTCTTCCTGAAGACCCTGATAATGAAGGATTAGCATTGCAACAGCCATGCCGTCAATCTGAACATCTATAGAATTTCCAGAGGTAACTCCCTGTTTTCTATCAGAGCTTTTGAGATTGGAAGTTCACAATACGTGGAAGCTATCTCCTTCAAGTCCAAAAACCAGCTCCTGTTTGCCAGTACAGAACGATTGCTAGAACCACTGCCCTGTCTGTCCTTATCTTTTGAAGAATTCTTGGGACCAGCTTTATTGGAGGAAAGATGTCCGCTAGGGAGAAAATCACATTGGAGTGATAGACCATCTATCCATTGAGGATGATCTGTCCTGAACAGGGAGGCAAATTTGGGAGCCTTGGTGTTCTCTCTTCTTGCCATAAGGTCTACGATGGGCATTCCAAATCTCTTTATTAATACGTTGAATATCCTTTAGATACCACTCTTTCTCATACCATTTCCCTCTCTTGAGGTCGTCGGCGATGACATTGTCGCCCTTTATGTGGACCACAGAGATGTCTTCTAAGTGAACCTGAGCCCAGCACATAATGTCGGCGCATAGCCGAAACAGACTTTCCACTCTGGTGCCACCTTGTCTGTTAATGTAAGAGACCACTGTGTTGTTGTCTGACTGTATTCTTACGGGCCTCTTTTCTATCCAAGATCTGAATCGGTGAAGGCAGTGAAGAACTGCCTTAGATTCTTTGTAATTTGTTGACCTGTTTTTGTCTTCTGTGGACCAAGGCACATTAACGAATTTAAATGAGCGCATCTGCGGTGACGGCCACACATTCTTTCGGTCTGAAGGTCAGACCTGCCGAAAGGAAACTTGATGTTTTCCACTAGTTTAACCGAGCTTTCACCTGAGGAGATATCTGGAGATCCGATTCTAAGTCTTCCTTTCTTTTTGACCAAGAAGAGAGGATTTCCCACTGAAGAGGCCTTATTTCTAATTTTGCCCATTTGACTGCGGGAATTGATGAGGTTAGATATCCCAGAACACTGATTACCTGTCTTATAGAGGTATCTCTTTTCTGTAAATCGGACACTTTTTTTTCTGGATTTTCTTTCTTTTCTCTGTAGTCAGATGTAGAGATAACATTCTTGGGTATATCTCAAATCCCAGGAATTCTATTTTTCTGAAGGAAGTAGAATCAACTTCTTTATGTTAAGTATCCAACCGTGTTCCAGAAGCACTTGGATTGTGAACCGAACCTTTTCCAACAGCAAACTTCTGGAATTTGCTACAAGCAGCCAATCGTCCAAGTAGGGAATGAGCTTGACACCCCGCTCCCTTTGATAATCTGTTATAGGCGTAAGAACTTTTGTAAATATTCTTGGGGCTGATGACAAACCGAAGGGGAGGGCTTTGAACTGGAAATGTAAAATCTCTTTTCCCCTTTTTATGTTGCATCTCGGGAATCTTCTTGAAGTAACGGTCATATGGATATAAAGGTAAGCATCCCTGAGATCCAGCTTCACCATAAAATCCCCTTTCTGAAGAATTTGAGTTACAGAAGTAATTGTTGCCATTCTGAACCTAAGGAAGAAACTTGTTCACATTTTTTTTAAATCTCGAATCGGCCAAAAGGAATGGTCTGGTTTTCAGGAGAGTCTTGAGTAGACCCCTTGGAATACCTAGGTCACCGGAACCTTTTCTATGACCCTTTTTTTAATAGCAGAACCGTTTCTGAAACAGAGCTTCTGATTTTCAAGAGGATGGATAAAGGGAAATGAGGAATTTTGGTTTGGGCAGGTTTGGAAAGTGCAATTGGTGCTCTCTTTTCACCAGATTTAGAATCCATGGATTGCTTGTAGTTTCTTCCTATCTTTCGAAGAAACACTGGATTCTGCCTCCTACTCTCTTGGCATCAGAAATGCCTACCCTTGTCAGATCTATCCCCCTTTTTCTCCTCAAATCTCAGATTTTTTCCTCTTTTATTGAAAATAACGAGTCCTATCCTGGCAGGTTTTTCTATTCCTATACTAGAAATTTTTATAACCAGGCATCCGAGAAAATTTCTTGTCTTGAGGAAGGACTTTTTTCGTCTCAGACATCTGTTTATTGATCTCCTCTAAAGGAGACCCGAACAGCTTTTGTTTTTCCAATGAGAGTTTACAGAGGACCGATTTTGAGGCTGTATCTGCCGTCCAGGCTCTAAGCCAAAAGGCTCTATAGGCAACTGAAGATAAGCCCATGATTCTGGAAGCCAACTTGAGCACTTCATTCATCATATCCATAATAAATGTATTAGACAATTTATAATTTTTTAGCAACCGAACCAGTTGCTTGTCTGGAGAGTCCAACATCATCTCCACTAAAGATTGCAACCACAAGTTACTAGCTCTGGATACGGCTGCCCCTGCCAGCAAAGCTTTACATTGGAAACCTGCCGACTGGAAAGCACGCCTGCAGGAGGTCTCTGCCCTCTTGTCCATAGGATTCTTTAAAGCCGCTACCTCCCCTATCGGAATAGTGGTCTTTTTAGAATGTTGAGCCACCTGGATATCTACTTTAGGCAATTCATCCCATTTAGCATCATCCGTAATCTTGAACAATTATTTAAAATGCCGTGAGATAAAGCCTCGCTTTTCCCACTCCCTGTAAATAAGGTCAACCAGGGCTTGAGGTACGGCGAAACCTTTCTTACCCTTAGCAGTATCTTTCTGCAACAAACTCTGATTCACTTCCTTAGTGAATTTCCTTTGTTCATCAGGTGGGAACCCAGACTCCACACAAGATGATGACCTAGAAACCTCTGAGTCAGCAGTAGACGAACATTAGCCTGAAGATATGTCAGACCTACTTCTTTTCCTTCCTCTAAGGACCACCTCAGGCACTGCAGCAGAAACCTTATGTGACTCTTTAAAAGAATCCAAAGTCTGAGCCAGGTTATCCTAAAACCAGGACAGGAACGATTGCATATCCTTTTGTTTGGAATTTTCCAAAGGCATTGCTGCATATTGATTACACACTTTATTCATAGTGCCATCCAATAGGGGGGTGGATCAATCACTGCAAACTAAATGTTTGGCTTTGGAAGAGGCCTTCCTAGTTGCAGAAGTAGGCATGTCTTTATCCATTTAATGAGGGCTAGACATATCTGAAACATAACAGAAATATATCTTTAAGATCCTAAACTGTTAAACAGAAAGCAAAGATTTTCAATCAGCTGCCAGAGGGAAACCGCACAGCATTTTAACGCTAATGGATTCAAATCCGGGGCCACTTCCAGGAAGTTCTGGTTCACGCGTGCAGTGGCGTACCCAGAACTTCGGTGGAATGCACCACCACCCGGGCGTGCATTCCACCGCTGTGCGCAGGCGCACGGCCTGTAGCATCATGAAGGCGTCCCCTGGCACACCCATAATCACAAAGCTGGAACATACTCGGCACCACATAAATACCTAAAAAGGGCTCCGGGATCCCACGGTCTCCTCCAAAGACTTTAATACTGTGCGTGAGAGTATAACCGTGACGTTGGAGCTGTTGAAGATGAGCATGGCCGAGAAAGATGGCGGCTCACCTGCCCCCAGCGGTGGTCAGAATAATTCCCCAGACCTTAATTTAGGGGGTTTTTTTTTCCTGTTCAGCTATTTTGACCTAAAATGTGAAATTCACATTGAATTCTCTCACTGTAGTGACTAAACCCTGGGCTGCTTTTCTGCACAAACCAAAGAACTGGAAACCAGAGCTGGAATAATCAAGCACTGACTGTAGCTGAGGAAGAGATTCCCTCCAATTTCTCGTTTTATAACGGTTAGGATCAGTTTGTGGAGAGCGGTTGGGAGGGAGAGCGCGAGCGAGCTGCTTACCTGCCCCCACGGTGGCGCCTGCCGTGCGCGCGACTCAACCACCAACCGCAAGGGGGGAGGGCGCGCGCGTTGTTTACGCGCTGTGTGACGCCAAACAAAATCCTCCTCGCGCATGCGCATGTATCACAGGCACGCGTTCTGTCTCGCTCTTTATTTATTTATTTATTTATTTTTACAAAAAGTCTTCTTTGTTAGCCCCGCCCCCTTTCCTTTTCACCGGCGTCGCGTCGCCTTGCCAAACGCGCGCGTGCGCAGATGGCGGCTGTCAGGCTGGTGGGCGGCGCGTGCGCACTGGGCCTGTTTATTTATTATTAGTGCGCGGAGGGAAGATGGCGGCGTCCTCCCTGGAACAGAAACTCTCGCGTCTGGAGGCGAAACTCAAACAAGAGAACAGGGAGGCGCGACGGAGGATCGAGCTGGAGATCAGCCCGCAGCGTCCCAGGCCCAGTAAGGATCCCAGGGGGCCACAGGCGACCAGGGTTTATTAAATGTGACAGGGGCCCTGAGTGAGAGACAGTGGTGGTAATGGTGGGGGGGGAGGGGGATGCAAGCTGTTTGCTGGGGCCGCTCGGCAGGAGACATAGACAGGTATGCCAGGTGCAGTGGTTATGGTTAGAGAGGGGGTGGGGGGGGCATTGAGAATGGATAAATAGGACTGTCTGAGTCAGGGATGATGGCTAACCTCTGGCACTGGATCTGCTGTGGATTCTGTTTCCTTTAATGCTAAGCCATCATTATTCCTTGCTGAGCATTGTGAGGAAGGGAGTCCCCCAGCACCATGTGTGGCTAGGGTTTGTAGATCCATCATGTTTGCTTCACCAAGGTGAGCAGTGTGTGAAAATCTCTGCTATTGTAATGTCTATATTAGGGGGGGAGGGGGTGTCTGTCAGGTCAGGATAGTGTGTTTTGGGATTCTTGATACCCTATCATTATGTATGTTGTATCTGAATATTACGTACTGCAGGGTTGCACTGTTTATGCACTGCCCTATTGCATGCAAGGATGATAAATGTCAAGAAAAGAGATGAGGTGAGCTAGATTTCACATTGCGTGTCAATATTCTAAGCTAAAGTATGGACAATACTGTAAGGGAACGCGCGCGCACACACAATGCCAAAATACCAGAGTATTGCAGTATGCAATGATAACTTTTTTTTTTTTTATTTTTTTTTTTTAATTGGACTAACAATAATTAAAATACAAGCTCTTCTCCGGTCTGAAGCAAGAAAAACTCGCGAAAGCTGAGATATTTGACTTTTAAATATTGTTAGTCCCATAACAAAAGGCATTATTGCATACTGCAATACTCTGGTATTTTGGCTTCTTGTCTACTGGACTAATAACGCTAATTCAGTCTACACTACATATATTCATGGATGTGGCAGCCTGCTCAAAAAAAAAAAACATAAAGCAAAAAAACTCTTTTGTACCTGGGTGCTTTCCAGTGCGATACAGTAAAGGAAAAAAATTACTTGATTTTCAAACAAATTCAGCGTGTGTTAGGTGGACAGCAAAATGTACACATCGAACTTGCTGTATCTTTATCAAGAAATGTTGGTTAGCTGATGGTCATATCAAGTCAGTAGCTCCCCAGTCATTAAATAAAAATAATTAATTTTAATAAATGAGGAGCTGCTGTTTAGCTTAGAGTATCAGCTAACTGCTGTAAGTCAATCAGCGGTGCCCCTGCCCAGCATCCAGGTGTCAATGGGGGCAGTGAGGAACAGCACCAAAGAGCCAACTTTGGGGTTAAACGGTTTGTAAATCGTTTAGCTTTTGCATGTAAGGCAGGGCTTGACAAATTTGCTTGGAATCTAGGCGCTAGCAAAAAGTTAGGAGCCAGGTTTTTCAATGTCAAAAATACAATTCTTAAACCCCTTTTCCATGTGATTGGAGGGGGACTAGTCATCTAAACACACTCACTCATGCGCACTCACTGACTGACCCACACACCCGCTGTCACTGCAATAATCACACACATTTATGTGACCACCCTCCCTACCTGGGTTCATCTATCTCCCTGCACTGCCCCATAGAGTGCTGTTTAGTGATGCAGGAGCCAGAATAACATCATATTCCGACTCCCAGCATCACTGGAGGGCGCGCGAAGGAGCAGAGCAGGGAGGTTATTACAACTCCTTCACGCGCCTGCCTGTCTGCCTCAAACCTGCAGGAGCCTGTGCACACGCCATCGCTCTCACTCACAAGGCTGCTCACCCACGCTCTTACTGAGCTTGCTCACCGACCACCCACACGCACGCCCATGCTCTTTATGAGCATGCCGGCCAACAACCTCCACAAATAGACAGCTGGCCACCTCGGGGGATGAATGTGTCAGCAGATGCCAGGACAAAAATCTTAGTCGACCTGGCGCTTGGGAGTTGTCGAGGCCTGATGTAAGGAATGGCAAGGGTCTTCATTTGATGGGGTTGATAAAGAAGTGGCATTGTGTTTAGTATAGTTTAAGAGATTACTCCAGGCACACAAAGCACTATGTTCTATGGCAAGACCAACGTTGGGAAAAGGTGAGTAAAATCACTTTTAATATCTGGAGAGGGGGCCAGGGACCTAGTGCTGCATTTCAGCACTATAGTGTCAGGAATACATGCTTGTATTCCTGACACTATAGTGTTCATTGAAAGTATACACCTGTAATAAAGGGGAAGGGCTTGCTTGCAAAGGCTGCAGACAGGTGGTCTACAGCTTTTGTAAGTGTACCCTCAAAGAAAATATGCAAGAAAAAAAATACATGCATGTTTTCTTAGGGGTATATGTATTTATATAGTAAAATACGTATATAGTTTTAACCCCTTCAGCCCAGCGGGAGGGGGGTCCTGAGAGTGGAGGTGACCCAAGGACTATATAGTGCCAGGAAAACTGTGCCAGGAAAGTTTGTTTTCCTGGCACTATAGTGGTACTTTAAACATGGCTGCATGTACAATAAAGATATTCATTATGCTAGATGTGCACTGCAGGGAGCATATATAGTATATTTTTTTGAGAATCCATATAACTTAGTGTTTCCACTTATGTAATGTGTCCCATGAAATATCAGTTAATTTAGTTGTATTATGCTAAATCTTTGCCTCTAAGAATGGTATAGTCAAAGTTGTGAATTGAAGCAAATTATTGGTTTGTTTTATTTTTTTCCCCTCCCTTTAAGAGAGCAGTCAAAGATCCATAATAACTACTACATATTGATGCATCAGTGATAGTTATATTAGGCCTCCAAAATTATCCCCCAGGTCTGGGTACCTGATGCACCCACATCCAAGCCCCTCAATGGTTTACATGATGACGGATGTTGCTAAAGCAGAACTTATTTAGGGACTACCAGTTTTAGTTAAACTGCCTATAAACACTTTGAGCAAGAACTGAGATAAAAACCAGTGTAGTAGCACCTTAGCAGCGATATCCGCATTAGGGGATTGCTGAGCTTTAATTAAAGGGACACTGCAGGCACCCAGACCACTTCTGCCCATTGGAGTGGTCTGGGTGCCACCTCCCACCAGCCTTAACCCTGCAAGTGTAATTATTGCAGTGCTTATAAACTGCAATAATTACCTTGCAGGGTTAAGTCCTCCTATAGTGGCTGTCTATCAGCCAGCCACTAGAGGGACTTCCGTGTTCTTAGAACCAGAAAAGTGATTTTGTGTTTTCGTGCTATGCATGAGGAACTCCAGCATCGCCAGAATCCCCATAGAAAAGCATTAAATAATGTTTTCCTATGGGGAGGTCTAATGCGCAATAGGTCTCCCCCGCCGGCAGACGACGGTGGGGAAGAGCATGGGCGGAGCCTGGCCCAGCGCCGAGGGATTCGGGTAAGTCACTGAAGGTGTTTTTAACCCCTTTAGCAACATGGGAGGGAGAGGGGCACTGCAGGATCCTGCAGTGACAGGAAAACGGATATGTTTTCCTGGTACTGGAGAGTCCCTTTATCCCTTCAAATGACCTTTTAGTGAAATGTTTGATTATCCAAAGGGCCTAATGAGTAGTAAGGCTCTACTTAGCCTGTGTGACTTAGACTGGGTTCCAGAATTTTGTGTTTTGTTTAAAATGTTTTGCAGCTTTGCGGTTAGATCCAAGATTACAATTAGAACGGTGATTACAAATGCAGAATGTTTTTTAATTTTCCATGATGAAGGGATATAGTTGTGTTTGGTAAATGTATGGAGAAAATATAAGTTGCAATTGAGGAACCCCTGCTGGTATTTAACTGGAAACCTTTTTAATGGTAAGGTTGGAATAGTTTGGGGAACAGTTTTCATCTCTTGTGGTCTTTGAAAGTATCTTCTTGCCCTCCCTTTTTATTTCTGTCTTTGGTTTTCTTTTTCATTACACTTTTTTTATCTATTTTTTTTTTTTTATTTTCCTGTTATCATTTGAAATGTATCTATATCCTTAAAAATTCTTCATTCACTGTCTTCCTCTCATCTCCTATTATCATCTGGGTTGCTCTGTATTTTATGTTGTTTTTCCCCTATTTCTTCCCCAGTTATTCTCATCACTCTAAGCCCCACGCCCGCTCCATCCCAGCGAGCAGGTACCGGACTACCCCTTACCTTTCTCTGAACTGCTCCTGGCCCAGCTAATTGCCCCCCCACCTGGCCCTGTCACACCATTAACATGCAACCATCTTTCACCTTTTCTTTCTTTCAATGTTGTCGCCCCTCACCATGTCCTTTCTGTATTCATTTTTCTTTCCCTTCTGACATGCTTGGCACTGCTCTCCCACTTTTCCTCAGTCTCCATGCATGGATTGGGAAATACTGCATGCCGCGTGGGCTCCGCATGTAGGCTTTGTATGGAGCATGAACTCAGAAGAACCTAACACCAGGGAGGATGGTTTTTGTTTTATTTACTGCTGGAAGTCCGTGTGGGAGGAAAGAGCACAAGATGATGGTGAAATTAGATTATTAAAATCAAAGGTCATAGAAAGGGACAACATGGGAATGCATGACTTTAGTAGAACCGTAAATGAAATATATGGTTGTTTTTCAGGGTTAACTAACATTTGAATGAGAACCTAAATAAACGCATGGGTCTATATAGATATGGATGCTTACATTTTCTTGTCTGTCTCTCTTCATCTCTTCTGCACACCACCTCTTCCCCACTTATTTTATTTTGTACAGCATTACAGCTTCCCCTTGCCAGCGATGGACCTCCTCGATCGGATGCTGCTCAACATCATACTGTCCCAATGCCTGTCCGGCCAAGAACAATGTTGGCACTGCCCCAACCCACCTACTTTACACAAAGAAGCCTGGAAAGGTGAGATATTTATTCCAAACTGTGATTGCATGGCATCTACTTGGTATAGAGGTACCCAAATGGTAGCACTCTAGCTGGTATTAATGTACTACTTCATGATTCTTCTTCAGAATCTAATCCGCCTGATACCATTTGTTGGTTTAGGGAACAGTAGGAGATGTCCATTTTGGCTACACCTGCTGGATGTATTTTCACATTGTTTAAGATGATTGTATACATTTTTGAACTATAACAAAATAAAATAAAGCTAACAAATACAAATGAAGCTGAACAATTAAAGTGGCAGGCTTAGCACCACAACCACTATATTGCACAGGGAATGCCTGCCTGCCAACGTCAAGGCAGACCCCCATAAGCGGGTCCTAACATTGACCCTTCATGAGACAGAGGGGTATTTTTTTACATACACCCCTATATACTTATTAACCCTTAATAGGGAACACATGGGATGGGCGGCAGCATTCTAACAAGGCTGTGTGATATAAAGTAAATACAAATACAAAAAGAGAAGTCCTGCGCTCACTCCCATCACTACTGGGCCGGCAGCAATAACTACAATACACATCAGCCCCAATATATAGTAAAAACCAAAGAAAAGAAAAAGTTACCTCCGCTCTCTCCTTAATCCCTATGTATATTTTATTAAGGAGAGAGCGACGGTAACTTTCTTTTCTTTGGTTTTTACTATATTCGGTTCAAGGGGGGTGGGAATAGGGGGGCTTGAGTGTGGCTTTAAAACAATATGTTCAGAAACACATGTTTGTTTTCCTGACCCTATAGTGTTCGTATTAATGTGTATACATTGTATGGATCTTTATCAATGATTTGTACTCTGTTTAAGTGTGTTGTTTTGTTTTGTTTTGTTTTTATTTTTTTATTGCAGCAGTGAAATTGATCAGAAACTTCAAGAAATAATTAAACAGACTGGCTTTCTCTTAATTGGAGGGCAGGTATGTTGAGGTTTTATGGATTTTCATGTTATCCGCAACCATTTTTGGTCATTTGAGCTCTGTCAGTAAATGAATAGTGTTTGTTGTATCAGGGCATCCCATAATTCATGTGCTGCTAGTTATTTGCTAACTACATTATAGTTTTAGGGTGAGGGATCCTATATTAGTAATTGATAGGTTTGAAATATAGCTATAAATACAGGACAGCTATAGAATGATGGATCCTATAGAGAGCAATGATGAGTATAGGTAGTTTTATGGTGAGTGGTCCTGTGATAAAAGTAACAGCCTTTAAACATGTTATTAGGTTTAAAAAGTCATATATTATATCAGAGATTGTTACTAGCTAATTTGGGGGATCTTTTTTTCTGATTTGTGTAAGTAATAGGTATGAAAGTCCTAGTAGACATATGACAGTAAGTGGTTGTTCTAATAAAAGAGCAAAATAAGGATAATTTTAGATTGAGATGTATACAATAAAGCAGTGATACACACAGGACATTCTATACTGAATGCATACTTTTCTTACAACAGAAGTACCAGGCAGATATTAATGATTTAGAGAACTTGGGAGAGATTGGAAGTGGAACATGTGGTCAGGTCTGGAAGATGCGCTTTAAGAAGACTGGACATGTCATTGCTGTGAAGGTGAGAGGCAAATAAGTAATGCTTATTTATTGGTAACCAACTCCATCCTGTTACTAACTACTTTATTCTGTGCCTCCCCTCTGACTATTTAAAATATTTTTTGTCCTAGTGCTTCATAAGAATTGGTACTCACATTTTAGGGGCCCATTTTCATCCTGTGACTGTTCTCATTATCTCTTATTCATCTTTGGTCTGCATATGCTGCTCTTATGTTTTGTTTTGTTTTTTTTAAAAATTGTTTTAACTTCTTATTTTATGTCTTCATTCCTGCCATCCTTTATGTGGTCTTCCCTATCTTAACCAATTTTTCAGGATTGATTTTTAATTGTGTATTATGGAGTTGTGTTAAAACTTAAGTTATGTTCTTCTCATTACTTGGTGGATGCTCTTTGCCTAAAAGGAAGATTAACTGCTCTGTAGGCTCTAATAATTGTAAATGGCTGCTGTGGATGCTCAGAATTTTTACAAACTGTGATATTTTATGTCTCTGATTTTGTATTTTAGCAAATGCGTCGCTCAGGAAACAAGGAAGAGAATAAGCGTATCCTGATGGATTTGGATGTCGTGCTAAAGAGTCACGATTGTCCCTATATAGTGCAGTGTTATGGCACCTTCATCACAAATGTAAGGGATAACGTAATGTGGCAGTTGTTGCTGGATATTGTCTTTTGTAAATGTTCCAGATTTTTCTGATGCAGACTGTTCTCTACACACATCTTCCTTTTTATCCAATGGATAGCTTTACATTTGTGCATGCTATGTATTTATTATTTATTATTATTATTATTATTCCAACAGATTCCGTAGCGCTTTACAATATTGTGAGAGGGGGGCTTTAACTATAAATAGGACAATTACAAGAAAATTTACAGCAACGATAGGTTAAAGGGGACCCTGCTCAAATTCGCTTACAGTCTATAGGAGGTGGGGTATAAAACACAATAGGACAGGAAATGGCAATCGAATAAGGTTGGAGTGAAGCAGAGCTGGAGGAGAGAGTAAAGTGCTGCCCTTTAGGAGAGCGCAAGAGACCGGTATGTGAGCAGTGGCGTAACTACCACAGTTACAGGGGTCGCAGCTGCGACCGGACCCGTCACTTCAGGGGGCCCGGCCGCCCCTGCGACTGTGGGTTGCCAGCAGACCTTTAGGGCTGGCTTGGTCCGTGGTTGCAGGCTAACTGACAGGAGGGGAGCAATGTACTGTGCTGCTCCCCTCCTGCAGCTGTGAGTAGCGTGGCTGAGCGGTCTGACAGGAAGTGCTCACTGAGAGGTACCGTGATCACAGCAAACAGGTAAGTGGGAATGGGGAGTCTGCAGCAGGGGAAGAGGGGGGGGTCTGCAAGGGATGGGGGTGTATGCAGGGAAAGGGGAGACTGGAGAAATGGGGGTCATGGGAGACTGGAGAAATATGGGGAGTCATGGGGAGTCATGGGGATTGGAAATATGGGGGAGTCATGGGGAACTGGAGAAATATGGGGAGCTGGGGAACTGAGAAATATGGGGAGTCATGGGGAACTGGAGAAACATGGGGAATGGGGGAACTGGAGAAATATGGGGGAGTCATGGGGGAACTGGAGAAATATGGGGGAGTCATGGGGAACTGGAGAAATATGGGGGGAGTCATGGGGAACTGGAGAAATATGGGGAGTCATGGGGGGAACTGGAGAAATATGGGGAGTCATGGGGAACTGAGAAATATGGGGGGAGGATTGAGAAATATGGGGAGTCATGGGGGAACTGAGAAATATGGGGGAGTCATGGGGAACTGAGAAACATGGGGAGTCATGGGGGAACTGGAGAAATATGGGGGGACTGGAGAAATATGGGGAGTCATGGGGGAACTGGAGAAATATGGGGGAAGAAGACACATGGAGCGGTTTGTAGGTTAAATGAGACATGTGGAGGGGCTTGGGAGGAGTCAATGTTACACATAGAGGGGCGGGGGGAGAGGATGCGACACATGGGGAAATGAGACACATCGAGGGGGGCCTGAGTTAGAGGTTACTCTGGGAGGCCATATGATTTCCTAAAGAGATGTGTTTTAAGGCACTTCTTAAACGATTGAAGACTAGGGGAGAGTCTGATGGCAGTAGGCAGGCTATTCCATAGGAAGGGAGCCGTCTGGGAGAAGTCCTGCAAGCGTGAGTTGGCCGTACGGGTGCACGAAGCAGAGGGGAGAAGGTCACGGGCAGAGCGGAGAGACCGAGAAGGGGCATACCTATGGATCTGTTAAGAGATATGAGAGGGACTAGAATTGTTTAGTGTTCTATAGGTATGGGTTAGCACTTTGAATTGACTCCTATTGGATACAGGAAGCCAATGTAAGGACTGGCACAGGGATGAAGTGTGAGAGGACCGACTAGAGAGGAAAATCAGTCTGGCGGCAGTATTCGTTACAGACTGTAGCAGGGTAATACGTTTTTTGGGAAGACCAATCAGGAGAGGGTTAAAATAATCCATGCGGGAAATTACTAGAGCATGGACAAGCTCATTGGTAGCATCTTGCGTAAGAAAGGGGCGGATGCGGGCTATGTTTTTAAGATGGAATCAAGTATGATGCCAAGACAATGCACTTCCAAGGATGTGGATACCACTAACTTGAAGGGAGAGTGAAAAGAGTAGGATCAGTTTTAAGAAGAGGAAAGACAAGGAGCTCTGTTTTAAAGAGATTGAGTTTCAGAAAACAAAAGGATATCCAGTCAGGGATGGAAGAAAGGCAAGCAGTGACATCTTTATCTACTTGTTCATATATGTTTCTGCCTGTTAACTGCCCATCCTTCGTAATTAGGGCTGCCCAGTGACCATTGTTTTCTCCTGAATTTGCAGACGGATGTGTTCATTGCAATGGAACTTATGGGGACGTGTGCAGAAAAACTAAAGAAAAGGATTCAGGGACCCATCCCAGAAAGTATTTTGGGAAAGATGACTGTGGCAGTAAGTGCATTATTGTTTTGTGTTTTTTTTTTTTTTTTTGTTTTTTCAGAATTAATTACCTAGAAAATGTTCAGACTGTTATTTGAGTGAGAATTGTTGTGAATTCAAAGTGAATTTCCGGTTTAATTGAAACGTTTTTGAAATGGCAGCATAGCCATTTTGTTTGTTTTTTTTACACCTGTCTTGGCTATTTTTTGCCTTAAAATGTTAATTTACTTGCAATTCCTGACATTTCTCAAATTGGTGAATGATCCAGTGTGTAAAGGGTTGTCGTTTTAACAGGGGTTGCTTTAGTGGATAAAGAGTGCAGTGTGTCAAAAAAAGCTATATGAGGATGAAAGTACAGGAAGAACCTAGCCCTAGAAGTGTGTGTGTGTGTGTGTATATATATATATATATATATATATATATATATATATATATATATATATATATATATATATATATATATATATATATATATATATATATATAATATAATCTTTTTTTATTTATTTATTTTGCTTTGTTTCCTTAGATAGTGAATGCACTGTATTACCTGAAGGAGAAGCACGGAGTAATTCACAGGGATGTTAAGCCCTCAAACATCCTGCTTGATGCAAATGGGCAGATCAAACTTTGTGACTTTGGAATCAGCGGGCGTCTTGTAGATTCAAAAGCCAAAACCAGGAGTGCTGGTTGTGCTGCATATATGGCGGTGAGATATGCTGCATATTCTGCTACTTTATATTTGGTTGGCGAAGGGAGAGCAACATTTCTTACTAATGAATTAGCTTCAGAGAATGTGATAGAGAGACGATAAACACTTAAGTAGACTTATAGGTCTGTTAATGTAGAAAATGACAGGGTCTGTAATCTGTGATAATATACAAATAGACTACTGCTCATTATAAGAATACTAGAAAATACTGTCTGTATTCATTATATTCTTTCCAAGAAAGCGATAATTTCACTGATGGCATCCTGTACATATTTATTTAAGAACTACGAAGATATGCTTAAATGGTGTACATGAAATCACAAATGTCCTTGTTCGTAACATTCTTGATGAAACGGCAGAAAAGTTAGGAATAGACACACAGAACAAAATTCAAAGTATAAAAATGTATAGAGATTGTGTAAAGTGTGCCAGAAGGGGTGAATATCTTGAGGGAGAAAAGGGGGATTTCTATAGGATATGGCAATGTTCTGAGTTTTCTACCTCTATTCCTTAGCCAGAACGAATTGATCCTCCAGATCCAACCAAGCCAGATTATGATATTCGTGCAGATGTTTGGAGTCTAGGAATCTCACTGGTGAGAATTTATAGGTCATTATTTCTGGAGTGCATTGTTCTAGTCAAATATCATTACAGATGAAGAGGTTCTATTTCAACTGTCAAAAGTAAAGACAAAACTGTCAATGGGGCCTGATGGAATACACCCAAAGTTATTAAAAGAGTTTAGTGATGTACTTGCAAAACCATTAACTGATTTATTGAACCAATCATTAACAGGAGTAGTCCCAGAAGATTGGAAGTTAGCAAATGTTGTGCCCATTCACAAGAAAGGTAGTAGGGAGGAGTTGGGCAACTATAGGCCAGTAAGCCTTACTTCAGTAGTGGGTAAAGTAATGGAAACCATGTTAAAGGATAGGATTGTTGAACATCTAAAAACACGTGGATTTCAAGATCAGAGACAACATGGGTTTACTTCAGGGAGATCATGCCAAACTAATCTTATTTATTTATTTATTTATTTTTGATTGGGTAACTAAAATTATAGATCAGGGTGGTGCAGTAGACATTGCTTACCTAGATTTCAGTAAGGCTTTGACACTGTCACACAGAAGGCTTATCAATAAACTGCAATCTTTAAGTTTGGATTCCAATATTGTTGAATGGGTAAGGCAGTGGCTGAGTGACAGGCAACAGAGGGTTGCCGTCAATGGAGTATATTCGAAGCATGGGCTTGTCACCAGTGGGGTACCTCAGGGATCTGTTTTTGGACCCATTCTCTTTAATTATTTTATTAGTGATATTGCTGATGATACTAAGATATGTAACAGGGTTGATGTATTGAGGTATTAACAGTAGAAAGAGAGAAGTGCTCATGCCACTGTACAGAACACTGAGACCTCACTTGGTGTATTGTATGCAGTTCTGGAGACTGTATCTCCAGAAGGATATTGATACTTTAGAGAGAGTTCAGAGAATGGCTACTAAACTGGTTCATAGATTGCAGGATAAAACTTACAAGGAAAGGTTAAAGGATCTTCACATGTATAGCTTGGAGGAAAGTCGAGACAGGGGGGATATGAAAGAAACATTCAAATACATAAATCTAATCAACACAGTAAAGGGGGAGACTATATTTAAAAGAAGAAAAACTACCACAACAAGAGGACAAGAGTCTTAAATTAGAGGGTAAAAGGTTTAAAAATATCATGAAGTATTACTTTATTGAGTGGGTGGGTAGTGGATGCATGGAAAAACCTTCCAGCTGAAGTGGTAGAGGTTATCACAGTGAAGGAGTTTAAGCATGCGTGGGATAGGCGTAAGGCTATCCTAGATATAAGATAAGGCCAGGGACTAATTAAAAGTATTTAGAAAATTCGGCAGACTAGATGGGTCGAATGGTTCTTATCTGCCGTCACATTCTGTTTCTATCATGTTCCTGTACCTCCCAACAATTTTCGGGAATCTAGTATCCCACACATCCCAGTGAAATTGCACCTTCTCTTCATCCTCCCCCTTTCAATCAATATTCACTTTTCACATTTCTCCCCTCCCCCATCCCTTTTCTTAGGTTGAGTTAGCTACGGGGCAGTTTCCTTACAAGAACTGTAAAACTGATTTTGAGGTTCTTACCAAAGTCCTCCAAGAAGAACCTCCTGTCCTCCCTCACAATATGGGCTTCTCACCTCTATTCCAGTCTTTTGTTAAGGACTGGTAAGTATCACCACCATACAAAGGAGAATGGTCATGTGAGACAGCATGTTTGTGGGTTTTTGGGGGGGAAGGGTGGGGTGGGTTTAGGAGAAACTGTGAAATTGCATATAAAATATATATATTTATTTTTTTAAATTTTATTTTTTTAATTGCTCCATTGTGTTTTGTAATCTTGGTGTGTCTGCTTTCTTTGCAGCCTTACTAAAGATCATAGAAAGAGGCCAAAGTATAATAAGCTGCTGGTAAGTAAGGTGTGTGGGGAAAGTGAGTCCGGCATGGAGGGATGTAAGCATACTGTAAAAGTATTGTCACTAAAGAAAGATAAATATATGCTTTATAGCCACTGAGGGCAGTACAGTCTCTCATATAAGGTGATACTATCTAATGTAATTGCCCACAACATGAGCTGGTAGCCCAATTCTGACAAGTTAGTTCATGAACCAAGAAATGTTTTTTTAATTTTGTTGCATAAGCAGAGTAGTCAGTATATAGTCTACAAATATAGTACATGTAAGTAGGTGTCTTCTAAAATGTTTTGAAAAAAAAAATATATATATATATATATATATTTGTTAGATTTTGTAAAAAAAAAAAAAAATGTAATTTAAATGTGTTTTTTTTTTTTTTCTCACCCCATCTGCATTGTTACAGGAACATCCTTTTATACGTCAGTACGAGATTCAGGCTGTAGATGTAGCCACGTGGTTTCAGGATGTCATGGCTCAGACAGAGTCTCCCAGGAGCAGTACTATCCTCAGCCCCCAAAACTTGCCTTTTTTCAGGTAGCATCCAGCCTGGGAGGGAAGGAATGACCTCTCCCCATTTTAACCTGGATACACAGCTTTGAGACTCAAAAGAGGACAATCATGTGTTTTGGGAGTGCTCATGAACATTTCCTCACCACTTGTTGAATTGGAAAATCATCCACTGTCGCCTTGTCCTGAGCCTAGCTACCACATAATATAGGTAGACCCCTATATTGTGACATGGTGTCTTCATTGAGGCGTTGACTACCTTTGGGATAGAATCTGTTCCTAAGTGGCCTCCTCTGTATAAAGACTCTACATCAGAGTTTGAAGCTTCCTTCTGGAGTCATGTCTACTGTTGACTCAAGTTGAAACACACAAATTTGAAATCTAATTGCTAAATGATCACCTCCTTTACCAAGCAGTTTCTTTTCAAACTGAGGTATGCTGTTTCTTCTGTAGACTAAATAATTATTATTTTTTATTTTTTTTAAATGCTGATTCTGAAGATTATTTTGGATTAGTTGTATGGATTGGTGACCGATGCAAGGAGTCCTTTCCTAATTATTTACTGCTTTTGGGTGGATAAGACCGTTAACATAATTGGAAAACCACTGTTAGTGTATGGACTGACTTATCAAGTGTCTTTTTCATTACGTTGACCCATCTCACCAGCACCTTCTGAGGGAGGATCCATGAATGATGTAAATTGTTTTGATCTTGTGGGCAGTAGTCTATTTATTTTTTTTTTATTATTTTTGTGTTTGCTGATTTTGTTCAGATAATGAAATCAACCCATGAAACTATCTGCAAAAGCAAACGTTCTTTGGTTCTCTTAAAGTCCTTGATATGCTGTACTTGGGCGGGCAATGTAAAAATATAACACAATGGTGCTTCTCACTCCGGACATCAGGATCATTCATATTTATTTTTTTTACTCCTCTTGCACAGATTATTTTTATTCCTTGAAGTTATCAAGTTAAAAAAAAGCAAACGCTTGTCACACTTTTAGTGATTGAAAACCGCATGAGATTTTATTTTTTTTCCCCTAACCTAGAGAAGAACAAATGAAGATTGGATGGAAGACTGGATTCATATTCAGTAGTATATTCTATATATGCTTTGCAAGAGGAGATGTCCACAAGATATCTTACTCCACCCTCCATGCTTCAAATTGAGGTTGGGAGTGGGAGGCTGCTAAAGCTTGTCATTTTAATCTACAGGTGCATCATCTCACTCTGGTGGATGGGTTCAACACAATTTTAAACCTACTGGTCAATCTTCTGCAAAGACTGGGAGAGAGAATTCTAAATATTTTAGGGTGTCCATCTTAACAAGTGTAATTTCTTCATGCTGGGACTAAGTATGGATTTGGATATAACAACCCATTTCTCCAGCTGGGGATTTCACAACTTTGACTAAAACTTTGGTGGGGTGTGGGGGAGGAGAGAGAGCTGTTGGATATAATATATAAAAAAAAAAAAAATTAAACCTCAGCTTAGACTCATTTTGTAACTCCACAGAGACAAGCAAAACACTTGTTGGATACTGCTATGTTTGTGAAATGGAAGGTTCTTTTACTGAATCAACAGCACAGGTCTGTGTATAGTGAGGAAGCCAGTAAGTGAGCATGGTGCAAGAAACAATGCTGTTCTTGGAGGCTGGTGCAGCAAAGAAAGGTTAAACGCATGTGGAAGGCCGAAGGATAAGTGGATGTTGGCAAAGAAAAGACATTAGACGTGGATTGTTCCAAAAGTCTAATGCAGCAAAGTATTAGCAACGCAATGCTGTGCTAATCAGCAGAACTTCATAAATGGGTCTATAGATGCAGTTTTAATGCATTATCCGTTAATGTCAAATCAATATGTGACTGCCCCCTTCTTGTGTAGTTGTGGGGCCAGGGGTTATTGAATGGGTGGGGGGGTCTTAACATGACTGTACCAAAGCTACATGGTGGAATGGGGGATTACAGGGGCGGGTTTCCCACCGGTTTTAACGTCTGTAATTATATAACTGCCGCAGGGCAGCAGACACATTTACTATTCTGCTTTGTAGTGTGGGTGTGCGTATGTATGTATGTGTGTTTCCCGCTTTTTATTTATTTTTATTTTTTTTCTTCCCTCTTACCCTTCATCTGCTTCAGTATATCCTCTACTATTCCTGTTGCATGGTGTCCGGCTGGCTCCCCTGTGGAAGGGCCATATTTGAAATAAACTCTCTGCTACAACACTCTCTGTCTGCAATTAATGTGATCAAACAAAAGGAGCTGATCCTAGTGAGCATGTTATTTGAGAGGGGGTGTTCATATATGTACTGTGGTAACAAATTGCTAGAATATGTGATTGACTGACTGGTTTTACAATATTACCCTTTGACTGCTCCCCCCTGTCTTGGACGTCTGCAGGAGTCTATCCAACGCTTGAGAACAATTTTTCAAAGCCTCCTTACACCATTGATTGTCTTTTTAATTATGGGTATATGTAGTCCAGTGATGGAACAGATATTTTGAACTTAAAGGGATCCTATAGTGCCAGGGAAAAATGAAATCCTTTTTCCTGTCACCATAGGTTTAATAGGTGTGCCCCCCTCCTGCAGGGGTTAAGGGGTTAAAACCCCTTCAGCCACTTACCTGAATCCAGCGCTGATGTCACTCAACGCTGGGTCAGGCTCCGCCCACACTCCTCCCCCACTGACAGCTGGCGGGGGAGACCTAATGCGCATGCATTAGACCTATTCAATGCTTTCCTGTGGGGAAAATCTGACACTGGAGGTCCTCATGCAGAGCGCCCCGAGTGCCTGTCTGATAGACAGCCACTGAGAGTAGACTTAGATCTGCAATGTTTTACATTGCAGCAATAGGGACACTGTACCCAGGCCACTTCAATTAGCTGAAGTGGTCTGGGTGCTTACAATGTCCCTTTAAATAGCTCAGGCATCGAAGTGGAGTGCCAGGATGTATTTTTTGTGAACGGCTGCTTTAAGTTTTAATTGTATGAACAACAGAATTTCTAACAATTGTGGCACACGTTGGCTAAATAATAGGCAGGACCTGGTTTGTGGATTAGGTTTTTTTGCTTCTGAAAATCGAATCTGTATTTGTACAAATGGGTTGTGAAAGGATGTTTCAAAGCTTGGATTTGTGTTTAGATTATTTTTTTTAAAGAGCCAACAAATTCTGCAGCGCTGTACAATGGGTTGCTAAGAAGCCTATAATATTCCTTGTACGTATCCCCTGTTGTGGCAATAGCTCTGCCTCTACTCAACTTTGTCAAGTTAAAGGGACACTCCAGGCACCCAGACCCCTTCTGCCCATTGGAGTGGTCTGGGTGCCAACTCTCACTACCCTTAACCCTGCAACTGTAAATATTGCAGTTTTCATAAACTGCAATATTTACATTGCAGGGTTAACTCCTCCCTAGTGGCTGTCTACTAGACAGCCACTAGAGGGCACTTCCTGGTTTCTAGCACAGATTTTATGTGCTATAGCGTCGCTGGACGTCCTCTTGCTATGTGAGGACCTCAAGCGTCGCTAAAATCCCCATAGGGAAGCATTGAAAGCATTTTTCAATGCTTTCCTATGGGGAGGTCTTAATGCGTGTGCACGGCATTGCTGCGCATGCGCAAACAGTCTCTCCCGCTGGATGACGTCGGCGGGGGAGGAGCGTGGGCGGACCCTGGACCAGCGCCGAGGGACATCGGCCCTGGACTCTGGTAAATCCTTGAAGGGGTTTAAACCCTTTCAGCAACCTGGGATGTGGGGTGGGAGGGAGAGGGGACCTGCAGTGCCAGAAAAACGGTTTGTTTTCCTGGCACTGGAGTGTCCCTTTAAGTACTTTATTTACCATAAGGTAAAGTAGGTTCCTCCTTTCTCCTATATATTTTGACTGCGATGGAATATATTTCTTCAAAAAATGCTCAATTTTTATTTTCTTCTTACGGTGACAGAATCGCTATAACAATGTCTGACAGAGAAGTAAGATGAAGATGTCTTAGATGTTGGACAAAGAAGTGTGGGTTTCTACATTTTAAAGGGTTACTCAAAGCACAGTGACCACTTCTATGCTTTTAAGTGGTACTGATGGCTGGAGTCTGTATCTGAAGTTTAAGTATGAAACGTAGCGCAGACAGACTTTTATACTTCTGCTGCCAGAGATGTAACTCCACCACTAACTGTTCCAGACTGTCTAACAGAGCACCCCATTGAAACCAAGTGTGAGGGCTTGCAAAGCCTGCAGCTTTTTAAAGCTGTTTTTTCCCCTTACAGACAAAAGAGAGAGGGAAATAAAAACACATGTTTTCTTTTGGAGTATATCTACTACATTGTTAAATGAACATTGCAGTGATTTGATTTTATTTGGACATGGATCTAAATAATAATTATAAATTAAAAACTCATCCATTGTTCAATTTATACTAGATTATTAATGCAGCGTAGCATTTATAGTAGATTATTCCCAGTGTCAGGGGATCTAACTGTGATAAGCAGTACTGCTACATAAGTTAGTTTATTGGCAGCAGGACCTTGGGACTGAATGAGAACTCAATTGTTGGTGTCAAACTAGTAGTTAAAAACTACTGTTCTAAGCCATCTTGCATAATGCACTAGACCATAGGTTCCAAACGCAGTCCTCAAGTACCCCCTACCATTCCAGGATTTAGTGATTTCTCTGGTGTGCCAAGTGTTTTTTTGTTTATTCTAAAAACACCTTGGACACAACTGGGTAAATACTGGACTGATAGGGGGTGCTTGAGGACGAGGTTGGGAACCACTGTGCTAGACAATTGAGCGACCTTTAAGTAACAGTTTAAAAATCTAGAAAAATGTTACTTACCGTAAATCTAATTTTCCTGGATATATCGATGGCTGTTTTCATAGGGTTAATTATGCCCATTGGCAGTTAAAGGTTTTACCTCCTGTCCTTAAGTACACACCTTTAGACAGCATATCCTCAGTCTAGTTCCAGGCTCTTGCAAGGCAACAATGACTACCATAAAACCATGAGGGTGGGGAATGGTGTTCATCCTGCCATGGATATATCCAGGAAAAGAAAACTACAATTGTGACGGAGCTTTACACTCACCCTGTGTGTCTCCTCCAAATCCCCTTTCTCTGGAACAGGATAGGTAGAATAATTATAGCTGAATTCTACAACCACAAGCCAACATTTGATAACCAAGAAATGCTTTATTGTGTTGCATTAAGCATATTTATACACGTCCCCAACAGTGGGTAATCAATGCAAACCTTCCCCGGCGCATCTGTGTCTGGGAGATAACATAGATAAGCAAGGGCTGATTTAAATAACTACCAGACATTAGGGCATCTATTATTTATGTTACTGTACATTGTCCACAAAGCGTCTGCATTGGAGGCAACCAGCTCAAGCGACAACATTTTAAAGTTTAACCAGGCTGCGGCCATCCTCCAATCTGGCTCCATGATCCACGCTTCCGCCTGGAAAGTCTTGGAAAAGGAGTTCTTTGAGCCCTGGTTAAGTAGAGCTCCCAGAAGTCCATGGTTTTCCCCGGATACTTCGTTACCAAATAGCACCGTGATAGGACATGGTAACGAGCGGCACCTATTTACTGTTTTACCGGATCATGGCACAGTTCCAATATGACCCAAGGTTCCATGCGGCTGGCTAGGGTGCTCACTAGTTGATTCATGGCTTCACTAGCAGGAGGCTGAGATTATGGGCACTCTGCTGTGCTGAAGGGTCTGGAGACAGGCAAGGGCGATTTTTGGCGATTTTTGGGAAGTTTTGATGTAGAGTCCTGCACCAGTTGCCAGTTACTGTATGTAATCAGACCAGGGTTCTGAAAAAAATATATGTGGAAGGCGTATGCCTGAATTTGTGGGAGGGGTTATTTTCCTATTTAAATCCCCAGTAACCCCAGCTTACCTATCGTCGCCGTCTGGAAGTTCTGGCCTGCTCGCCTCCCAACTTCCGGGTCCTCAACAGGCATCGCACTAACGGTCCCGTCATTCCCTGCGGCTTCCCGCCAACTTCTGTTCGCACAGACGCGCACAAACTAACGAACACCAGGTAACCGGCGAGAATAGCCATGTTCGGGCTATTCCCGCCGTTCTACTTTTTCTTTAACCGTATATACAATCTCACGTATGAGACCACAACCCAGGTGGTAATCAGATACATTGTATTCTTATACACGGAAAAAGGGGGGCTCCAAACTAGTATCCTACCCAGGGCCCTGCAAGATCTTAATCCTTTCTGTGCTGGGGTAAAAAGCAAATACAAATTACCTCTGCATGATTTACTATCTAGGGTAACATCAACAATTATAATGCTGTGCTCACTCACGCTTAGGCATCGCGAGAGAAACAAGGTTTGAGCACAGATACGTTGAGTACTTCCTTCACGACTATAGTATGTACAAATGGCATTGTGTGGGTTACATTTCCATGTTAGCAATTCAATATATGTTAAAAGGTTCACAATGTGTTTTACATTTATAAATGATACATTTTTTACATAGAACTCTACAGGTGTCTACAGTTGAAATCTTGGGGATGGTTAGCGTTGGCACTGGACTCAGAATGTCCTTATGATTATGTTTGTACATAGTATTACTATGAAACCTCACAGGTGAAAGGTCAGTCCACCGGGCGGGATCTCCTCACAAAGTCCCCGGGAAGCGGCTAAACACTCACACAGCTTGTAAATCCTGACAGTGTCCACGGTCCGCACCGCCGGCGCCATGATCTGTACTGGGAACCGGAGAATAGTTCCGGGCTTATCCCCGGTATCTGCCTCCCTGCCGCCCCCTACCAGCCCCACACCGGCGGACACACCGAGCCTTCAGGGCTGGCAGTGACGTCACCGGGACACGAGTTCCAGCAGCGGAGAGCCGTAACGTTGCTCACCTTCCACACACTGCACTGGGCACTGGTAGAAAAGTGGCAGCAGTTTAAACTGGAATATACTGCTCCTTTAAGACAAAGCAATGAATGCTTTTATTATTTAATACAGGATGTGTAAGATATAAAAAAACAGTTCTTTGAAGAAAAGATACATTTTACATAAATCTAACCTGAGTGACTATGTTCACCCATTTTAACAATGTGGCAGTGTTTCTTGGAAGTGAACTTAAACCCATGCTGATACTTTACAATCTGTATCACCCTGTAATAACCCCTGTAATATGTCTGTTACTGTCATTCTTATGCTCTCACTACACGTAGCAGTCCCATGATAGGGATAATGGTACTGGTGGTTTCTCAACCTATTCTAAACTAGAAACGATGTTATACTCAGATCGACATTTCTCCAACCACTGTACAAACTCGCTGACGATCAGCATGCATTCACTCACACAAACCCTAAAACTGCGGGACAGTCATTATGGTTGATTTTCTGGCAGTGAGCCTCTACCGAGTACGCCCCACACAATGTTGAGGCAACCCCGGGATTCCCCCCATTACCAACATTGCATAAGATCACCTAAGCGGCTTTCTTCTCAACACACTTTCTATGTACATGCACTAAGCTCAAAAAACTCTAACAACATGCTAGTTACCATATTTAACTTTAGTCTACACTGAAGGATGGCCAAGCAAGTCAATATCTATTACTCTGTACCCAACTGAACTAATCTATGTTATCCCCTTGTAACACAGTTTGCTCCATACTTTACCTTTCTCGTACTTGCCATAACCAAGCATCAACATGACTAACTTACCTATCTCAGACCTGAATTGCCTGATATTCCTGTTAAAATTTTATCTTATAAAAAAAATATATATATCTCGGGAACGGTGTTTCGGATTAAAGAGGGCAGGTGTTTGGAAATAGCAGAGGATGCCCTGTTTGGGTTAAAGGCTAATACATTGTTGAAACCAAGTACAAAGAAAACAGTCCAGCTAGATAGTTTAACTATTCCTGATCTGCAAAATCTCACAAGTGTGTTGAAAGGGTTAAGTAAGGATACAAATCAAATTACCCGCGCATTATCTCCAATGAGTACCATTTAAATTACGGTTGTAATCGTTGCAAGTGTTACACTGCTTCTAAATTCCGCTAATTGGATATTATTCATGACTAAAGTAGTGTGGTAGAGGTGAGAAGAAAAAAAATAAAAATCTTACGAGCCCCGAGGGCCATACATACATACACGCATTGTAGTTCATACGTACTGACCATCTGGACCCGACGCGCTCACAGGGCACTCCAGTTAGGTCAGCCTTACAATTCTACTTCATTATCACTCATGTTTTCATCCCATGGGATGTCCTCTCTCTCACGAACTAACCTTCCCACTTAAGTAGCAATGGCTGGCTGTCGGGTTCCTAGGTGTCCACTAGTTATCATTCCCCCTGGCTTCTTCGCCTTAGGTTAAGTGGTCCCGCGAGCCCAACACCCATCCTCATACTCGGAGGTACTACGCCCCTCGGGCCAAATCATAGTTAGTCGCCTCGCATTGTGGCATAGAGAGGGCCTCACCTGTCACTCCCATTCTGTCTTATGTTTAACTGTCACGAGAGGCCGACACCCTGCCACAACGTTCAGTGGCCACGCTATCCCCTTGCGCCAACGCATAGATAGAGCCTCTCAAGCCACTTGGCAATTAGCAGGGCCTCACCTGTCCCCAACCTAGAGTAATCGTTGCGCTCCATTGTGGCACTAGCTAGTCAGCCAGCACACACACGTAGTCATGCATACCCAGACCCCGTCATGCATACCCACTATGTTTCTTATCTGATAATCAGATCAGGTATCCTAGCGGATTATTTCGTGCATCGTTATAACTTTAGTTTCGATGGTGAGTTTATATATCCTTGCAGTAATATAAACAGTATGTCAGAACTATCATACAAGGCAATCCAGGCTTTTGATACGTCAATCACTTACGGGCTAAGGGTCTACTACATAATTAGATATAGCAGTACAAGCATGATACCAAATATATATATATGTTTCCCCAACTTGTCACTCACTTTGTGATCCTTTTATACCACATACACTAGGTGCCCATATCAATGTAGTAGAAACCAAGATCATTGGTTTCCTCCTACAATTGTTTCAGACATATTATTCTTACATACATTTTCCGTTAAATACGTATGTTGGCCACACGCTGTCTTTTACGTTTACACGTGGTACATATTCAGGCCTTGTATCGGACCATAGCCAGGTCCTAAATACGCTTATGTACATATAGTGACTGCTTCCAGATTTATTCATTACAGATATACTGTTATTACTTGGCAGCCCATTAGGGGCATTTCAGTACATTGAGTTCTAAATTACCATACATTGACGCATACTGTCGCCTAATTATCTCGTCTACGTCAATTATCCAAGGCAATGCAGGTTAAAGCATTAGCAATCTAATAAAGACAGGGTAAACCAGAATTCCCACTTGTTTCATATCAGACATCGAGGCATCACTCTGCCTTCATTACGAACAAACGAATACAATTCAAATCCTTAACAGCTAATAGGGACTTGTCTCGGCACGCCTGACATTCACAAAGTTCTCCATGCGCATTCAGTAATTTGTTACGCTATTTAATATTACATACATCTTACTATGTTATTTATGTTCAAGAAGTCCATCAGGATTGACTTTCGGTCATGCTATCTGTTTCTGTCTTAGAAGTTACACCTATAGGCATCTTATAATACAGTTAATTACAATCCCAAGCCTATCAAGTAAACGATTATAGGGTAGTTATTATATGACATATTATCTTTTAAGCTTAAACCACAATCAAAGCTCCTTTTCAGGTTCCTCTCTTAAGAGCACATTTTCCCTACTGTTAGTCACGGTATTTCGTTTGCTCGTCGGTTCGCATCACGTCAGATAGTTTGTCAGATACCTTTTTCAGTCCTTTTTCTCCATGGTTCTGCCAGTTATTCACACATATAAGGTTGTGTTAACGCTCATCCGGAAGAAACAAGCCTGCCAAGGGTCCCCCGCAGTATTCCCCGTCCTGGCCACTCCTAAAGTTCTGAGGTCAGGCCTTGCTTAAACGTAACTGTTGAGCTTAAAGAACATTCAGTTCAATAAGGTCTAATCATGCCTTAAGTTAGAGTTTTAAGCAGGTAGATTCATCTACTAACACTAAGCAAAACTTACTCTAGAGCTTTCGATATGGGTAAGTATTGTGTATGATTCAAGATAATAAATGCGTTCCAATTATAAATGGCTCCTTGCACAATTTTTGCCACATCTCTTTGAAATCAGCCTACAATACAATTAAAACTATACCTACAGGAATTTAACATTACGTATAGACCATATACCCAACAGCTCCCATTTTCTTTTATTATTCAGTAAAGGTGCCGACTAGTGCCCGAGATCAAAACTCCACAAATCATTCAATTCACTCCCTATCAACAGTAAATCTTAGGGGGAGTTTTCGAATTAACCATTAAGCCTCCCTGTAATAACCCTACTAATTTAAGTCAGCAGCTCACTTGGCGTGCTATGATTTATTGAGGCCAAAAGAAAGAATCTTGCTGTCGGAAACATTCAGCCTTCACCTATGCGTAAAGAATTCAGGAATCAACAATCATTATATTATCTATTCTTCATACCAAAAACATATCAGTTGAGCGTTTTAAATTGTGCCCAGTTCAAAATTTGTACTCGTAATCAAAGACCAGGTTAGCCAGGTCCCTAACTAAACCTAACCATCTTTAATAACTGTGATATTTGTTACTTTAATTACTCCGCCCAGGCCTTAATCCTTCCTCCTACTCGGGCATCTCATTCATGTCAACACAACAGCAGCCTCTAATGGGCGTGTTACGACACACATAAGTAGAAATATGGTAAGTTGGTTTACAATGGGAACATTCCTAACCAAGGATAGAAATCAGCCTCTCTTGTCGATAATGTAACTAAATGATTGCTAATCTGTGAATTAATCTTGTCTTCTATTTTTGCCCTCTTTTGCAGGCCTGACCTCTCGTCGGTTTCGGCACACCTCAACCGACTTTTGTCCTTATCGAACTACATACTTTTAATTGTACATCCTCGAATTACCCCGTACACAAGTGGAAGGCGTATGCCTGAATTTGTGGGAGGGGTTATTTTCCTATTTAAATCCCCAGTAACCCCAGCTTACCTATCGTCGCCGTCTGGAAGTTCCCCTCCCACCTCACCCTTTGTTATTTTCAATTATATACCAGGTGGGCCCTCTTTTGCAGGCCTGACCTCTCGTCGGTTTCGGCACACCTCAACCGACTTTGGTCCTTATCAAACTACATACTTTTAATTGTACGTCCTCGAATTACCCCGTATACAAGTGGAAGGCGTATGCCTGAATTTGTGGGAGGGGTATTTTTCCTATTTAAATCCCCAGTAACCCCAGCTTACCTCGTCGCCGTCTGGAAGTTCCCCTCCCACCTCATCCTTTGTTATTTTCAAAAAAATACACAAGTGACAGAACAGTCAGAAAAATTGGAGGCTTAATTCTCCAAGGGATAATAAGATATGAAAGTATTGGTGAAAGACCAAGTGACTCTCTAAAGAAGTATTGACTGTAGCTGGCCAAAAAGTTGGTACAGTTCTGCTAGAGTGAGGACGAATCTCTTGAGAATACCTTCATAGAACTTGGAAATAGCTTTAACAATTCATCAACCAATAGAAGCAGTTTGACCCTTACGGGAGCCAGAAGGAACAACAAAAAGGGGGGTTAAACTACCTCCATCCTTAGACTTTTCCAAATAGATTTCGAGACTTCTTGCCTCATCCAAGGAATGCCAGTCCTGTTAATCTTGAAAGGAAGATGGAAAGTAGGTAGGAGTACAAAGGACAACTCTGTAAGGAACAAAAATTTTAAAGTTCTTGGGATGAAAAGGTTTGGATCTTGGAAACCCTTCTGCTGAGCTAATGGCCAAATAAATACTTCAAGGAAACAACCATAGAGATGTATCATAAAGGGGAGCTATCGACCAGGTACAAAAGCCAAAAGGAAGATCCCATTTAGAGTAAAGGCTTTAAAAGGATGTCTGCTTTTTAACCGTTGTCAGAAATCTGGAAGCCACAGTGTTCAAGGCCCACTTAAATCAGAGAGAGCCTAAATAGCTGACCTAAACTAGAAGAGAGTTCAGACTAAAAGCCTTTACCAAAGCTGGATTGTAACAATTCCAAACTTATGCAAGTTACACCAATCAGAGAAGACATAACAAATCCTATAATAGGTCTTATTATTAGTGGATTAATGCCTTGATTGCAAAAGAGTATATACAACAGCTGAAGAAAAACCTCGTACTTCCCGCATAGTCTTCATCATCATTCAACATCTGGTCTTCCCAACATTCTCACAATTCTTCTAAATATGTGATTCAGCTGCCACTCAAACTTTTCCAGATGATGACGGCCAAGGAAATCTGCTCTGATATTGTCCGGACCTGGGACATAGACTGCAGAGCTACCCAAAAAACTTTTTGAGCCAAATCCACCATTGGTGAACTTTCTTGAAACAGACATTGAGTCCTGGTGCCATTGTGATGTTTACATATGAGACTGTTGTCCAGTTGTCGGATTCCCAAGAAACTCTTTCAGAACACTGGGTGAAATTGAAGATAGACTCTATCTTTAATTTCACCCAGTGTCCTGAAAGATTTTCTTGAAAAAAAAAAGAGAGAGAGGTACACTGCCCTCAACTGCAGAATTTTTGCTGGGGCTAAGGAAAAGGGAATCTTTAAAGTCCCTTGAACTTTCCAAGGTTCCAGATGTGCACCCTGCATTCTTGCTGGAATCTGTAGTGACTACCAACAAAGTCACATCTTCCAAAGAAAATAGCTGTGACAAGTTTTGTTTCTTTTACACATTTAGTGAATATGGTCTCTCATGATGCTGAAAGAAGTCTGTTGATATCAAATAAGACCTTATTGTTAAGAGACAATGTCTTTCTTTGGTGTTTTTGATCTTAAAAAGTGATTCCTTCTTGGAAGACCTAGATATTCCAGTCTATATCCATTGCTTAAAATGGATAGAAATCAGCTGTCTGTATTTATCTTTTCCCGGGTCCTCCAGAATTTTTGGAGACCACCACCTTCTCTTCAGAAGGCTCTATCTGATCCCTTAAAAGCTGCTGAGAATTGTTGTCTTCCTTCTCTTGTCGACTGACCTTCCTTTAAATTACTAGACCCTTTTGTATTATTTCCCGTGTCTAGTATCCTCTATAGTCCAAAAAGGAAACTCTGTCTTGATTAGAATGATGTTCATTCCAGGACTGAGGGCTAGTGATGTCCCGAACGGTTCGCTGGCGAATATTTCCTGGCGAACATCGCTTGTTCGCGTTCGCCACGGATGGTGAACATATGCGCTGTTCGGTCCGCCCCCTATTCATCATCATTGAGTAAACGTTGACCCTGTACCTCACAGTCAGCAGACATATTCCAGCCAATCAGCAGCAGACCCTCCCTCCCAGACCCTCCCACCTCCTGGACAGCATCCATTTTACATTCATTGTGAAGCTGCATTCTTAGTGAGAGGAGGGACAGTGTAGCTGCTGCTGATTTGATAGGGAAATTGATAGCTAGGCTAGTGTATTCAGTGTCCACTACAGTCCTGAAGGACTCATCTGATCTCTGCTGTAAGGACAGCACCCCAAAAAGCCCTTTTTAGGGCTAGAACATCAGTCTGCTTTTTTTTCTGTGTAATGTAATTGCAGTTGCCTGCCTGCCAGCCTGTCAGGCTCACAGCATATACTGTGCCCACTTGCCCAGTGCCACCACTCACTCACTGGTGTCACAATAGCTTGCATTTAAAAAAAACAAAAAACTTTTTTGATGTCGTGGTCGTGGTGCTGTGATTCCCTTTGGCCCTAGAATAATGCCCAGTGTTCAGAGGCCACGTACCCTGAACTCGAAAAGTTCTGAGGACATAGTTGACTGGCTAACACAGGACACCCAATCTTGTACAGCTTCCGCTCGGAACCTTGACGCACCATCCTCCTCCAGCTTAGCTTCAGGCACCTCTCAAGATACCACTCACCCGCCTGCCGCCACCACCAACACTAGCACCACAGCAGCTTCACTTGGTATGTCAGAGGAGTTATTTACACATCAGTTGAAAGAAATGAGTGATGCGCAACCATTATTGCCAGAGGATGTAGATAACAGGGATATGTCTCAGTCAGGCAGCATTACACACATGGACGTACGGTGTGATAATGATGTTGTACCCGCTGCTGCTTCCTTTGCTGAGTTGTCAGATACAAGTGAAGCGGTTGATGATGACGATGCGTCCTTGGATGTCACGTGGGTGCCTGCTAGAAGAGAAGAAGAACAGGGGGAAAGTTCAGATGGGGAGACAGAGAGGAGGAGGAGGAGACGAGTTGGAAGCAGGGGGAGGTCGTCGCAAGGAGCTAGTGGCACAGTAAGACAGCATGCATCGGCACCCGGGGTCAGCCAGACAGCGGGCCAATCAAAGCATGCTGTTGCCACCACCAGAATGCCGTCATTGCAGAGCTCAGCAGTGTGGCATTTTTTGTGTGTGTCTGCCTCTGACAACAGCGATGCCATTTGCACCTGTGCCAAAAGAAAGTGAATCAGGTGAAGTCCAACACCCACCTCGGTACAACTGCTTTGTGAAGGCACATGATTGCACATCACAAACGCCTATGGGATCAACACATGAGTACAAGCAGCACACAAACTCAAAGCCGCCATCCTCCTTCTGGTCCAGTATCTTCAGCCACGTTAACCACTGCTGTCCTCCTTGCCCCCTCTCAACCATCCGCCCCTCCGTATCTCGCCTTGAGCAGTTCCTGCTCATCTGCCCACTGTCAAGTGTCTGTCAAGGACATGTTTGAACGTAAGAAGCCAATGTCACAAAGTCACCCCCTTGCCTGGCGTCTGACAGCTGGCTTGACTGAACTCTTAGCCCGCCAGCTTTTACCATACAAGCTGGTGGAGTCTGAGGCGTTCAAAAAATTTGTAGCTATTGGGACACCGCAGTGGAAGGTACCCGGACGAAATTTCTTTGCACAAAAGGAAATCCCCAACCTGTACTCGATTGTGCAAAATGAAGTAATGGCATGTCTGGCACACAGTGTTGGGGCAAGGATCCATCTGACCACTGATACCTGGTCTGCAAAGTATGGTCAGGGCAGGTATATCACCTACACTGCGCATTGGGTAAACCTGCTGACGGCTGCCAAGCATGGAATGCGTGGCTCTGCAGAGGAGTTGGTGACACCGCCACGACTTGCAGGCAGGCCTGCTGCCACCTCCTCTACTCCTCCTACTACATCCTCTTCCATAACCTCCTCGGCTGAGTCCTCTTCTGCTGCTGCATCTTGCTCCACATCAACGGCACCTCCCCAGGTACTATTCCACATCCCGGATACGGCAGTGTCACGCCGTCTTGGGGTTGACTTGCCTGAAAGCAGAGAGTCACACCGGACCAGCACTCCTGTCCGCCCTGAACGCACAGGTGGATCAGTGGCTGACTCCGCACCAACTGGAGATCGGCAAAGTGGTTTGTGACAACGGAAGAAATTTGTTGGCGGCATTGCATTTGGGCAAGTTGACACATGTGCCGTGCATGGCACATGTGTGTAATCTGATCGTACAACGCTTTGTGCATAAGTACCCAGGCTTACAGGACGTCCTGAAGCAGACCAGGAAGGTGTGTGGCCATTTCAGGCGTTCGTACACGGCCATGGCGCACTTTTCAGATATCCAGCGGTGAAAAATCATGCCAGTGAGGCGCTTGATTTGCGACAGTCCGACACGTTGGAATTCAACACTCCTAATGTTCGACCGCCTGCTCCAACAAGAAAAAGCCGTTAACGAGTATTTGTATGACCAGGGTGCTAGGACAGCCTCTGCGGAGCTGGGAATTTTTTTGCCACGTTACTGGACGCTCATGTGCAATGCCTGTAGGCTCATGCGTCCTTTTGAGGAGGTGACAAACCTAGTCAGTCGCACCGAAGGCGCCATCAGCGACATCATACCATTTGTTTTCTACCTGGAGTATGCCCTGCGAAGAGTGCTGGATCAGGCCGTAGATGAGCGTGAAGAGGAAGAGTTGTGGTCACCATCACCACCAGAAACAGCCTTATCAGCATCGCTTGCTGGACCTGCGGCAACGCTGGAAGTGGATAGTGAGGAAGAGGAGTCAGAGGAGGAATGTGGCTTTGAGGAGGATTTGGAAGACCAACCACAACAGGCATCCCAGGGTGCTCGCTGTCACCTATCTTCTCTCCAAAAAGCACACTCCTGCCGGAAGTGGTTCAAAACTGCAAACCAAGTTGTTTGGGAACCACACGGTCACCTCATGCCGAAAACAGTTTCAGAACATTCGTGGATAAGTCCCGCTGAGGAACCCACAAAGTCCTCATGCTGACATTAGTTCTATAGTGGTCGTGGCTAAGTACTGCTGAGGACTATTCGTAGGTTTGGCAAGAAGGGAAAGCTGCTAATGGCGGCTGGGTAACTCCCAAAGGTTACCTGGACCATACTCCTCCGGGAGTCCGTGCCAAACGTACGTGGGAAGGAGCGTTTGTCACATATCTTCCCCCTCCCAGGGAGACTAACTAGACCCCAGACCTCCAATTGGTCTGGGTCTGTGTAAGTCTGGTGACCCTTCCCAAAAGGTTCAGTTATCCATAGCTCCCGTTTGTAAATCCAGGATCCTGCTGGGATGGGAAACTGCTGCACTTGTGGACTAAGTTGTCGCTGGGGATGGAGGGCACAATTCTCCTCTCTAGGGGATAACTCCTGATGCTGGGGAGTGAGACCGGGTGTCTCCACTCCCTGGAACACTCTCTGCCACAGTATAATGGCACTTTCTGCTGGATTACGAGGCTAGTTGCGTCTTGCTGAACTTTGGACTTCCTCCTAATTTGGGCTAGCCACATCCGATCTGGTCGCTTTTTTGACAGAATGGGCGCTCCAAAGTGACCTTTTGGGGATATATAACATGGGGGTGCTCCGTTATATTTTTTATGTTTTGGGGTGTTTTTGTATTGCACGTTCTGTGTCCAGGAGGTTATTAGTTTACCGAGAGCTAACTCTATATTATCTTCACGCCACAGAGGTGCCTGGGCGGGCTTGTGTTAGTTTGAATGATGGGGGTCTGTGTATAAGTTCCTGTGCTTTGTCTCAATTCAGTTTATTTTCACCCTTCACGAAGTCTAGCTAGTGTTTGGGTGAGACAGCGCTACATTCTGTAGGAGAGCTTAATTACTCTGATGTCGTATAGATCACTAATCAACACAAAGGGATGGGACAAGCTAGGCGGTAGTAACCTAGCTACTTGTGGGTATACTGCCACAACACCCAAGTACCATTTGGGTGTAGCTTGCTAGTATGTACAATTGAAGAGTCATTATTGGCAATACAGAGAGTAATCAAATCAGGGCAAATAACCCTACATGGCAATTTAGGTCTGGCATAGGCGTGCGCAGCCTATTGCATTAGGGTGTGCACCCTAAAGCACAAACATACGTTGCATGTATGTGTGTGTGTGTGTGTGTGTGTGTGTGTATGTATATATATATATATATATATATATATATATATATATATACTGCTGTGTGTGCTGTTAGTGTGATGTGTGTGTGAGGGTGCTTTTAGTGTGATGTGAGGGTGTTTGTGACTGTGCTGTTTGTGTGTTAGGGTGTTTGTGTGTGTTTGTCCTGTGAGGGTGCTGTTTGTGTGAGTGTCATGTATTTGTGAGGGTGCTATTAGTGTGCTGTGTGTGAGTGTGTTGTGTTTTTTTTTAAAGGTACTGTGTGTGTTTGTGAGGGTGCAGTTAGTGTACTGTGTGTGTGTGAGCGTGCTGTATGTGTGTAGGTGCTGTATGTGTGTGTGCTGTATGTTTGGGGGGATTGTGGAGGTGGCTGCCATGTGCCATCCCTGGTGGTCCAGTGGGAACGCTGTTCCTGCAGGACTCAAACCATAGGCGTGCCACGGGGATTAGCGTGTGCCCAGGCACACCCGGCACACCCCGTGCGCACGCCTATGAGGTCTGGTATTGTTTGTCAGGCCAAGCAAAGCTCTATATTGTTGTAAGTGGTTAGGATGTGTGTGATCTAATAAAGAGATTCGAAACAACTCTTACTTATGTGCAATTTTGCGTGCTTAATTTTCTTATATAAAATAGCTGCTACTACAAAGACTTCATTGTACCATTTGTTATTTAATAACTTTTTATTGTTTTACTATTGATTTTAAAAATATCCTATATATTGGGGTTTAAAATCAAATAAAGATTTTTTTTCAAAAAAACTGACTCCTGCACTTGCAGGCTGCATTTGTGAGTATGATCATTACCTCCTACGTATGATATAAAGGTGTGGAACTTCACTATTATTTTATATCTTCTTTTATCCTGAGATAGTATAAAGAAGAAAATATTACAACCATACCCACACCACCAAAGATCCAAAACAGACCAATCAGCGATGCATACCAGAGCTAGGTCATATATCTCTTGAAATTGTGAGTGTTTAATTGGCAATTTTACATACTAAAAGATGTTTTAAAGTATTTACATTATTGCACTTTAATTTTATGTTTAAATGGAAACATACCTGATTAAAGTTGTTTGTAAAAAAAAAAAGAAAAAAGTTCAGCTAAGTGTTTTTTAAGTATATTTAAGCAAAAGGAATGATTTGGCACTTTATATGAAGCGCTCCACTGTTTTATTAAAAAAGCTCTATATTGGACTGGCAGAATGGTGTTAATCTATTGGGCCTTTGTCTAGTTAGTGTGCTATCTAGATGCTAGCTGCAATGATTGAGGGGATTATGAGCAAGTAAATACTAGTTTTTCATATCATGAAACTGAGTGGGGAAAACGAGGGCATGGGGTATTAACTATGTACATCTGGAAGGTCGATTGAGTGTTATGGTAATGATGACAAGGTGTGTGGTGTGTAGTGCAGGAAAGCGTAAAAGGGAAGGAGTACAGCAAGGGTGAAAAGAAGACAGACAGTCCAAGAGGGCCCCTGGCTGGGAGCCGAAGTGTAACCGCAGGGTGGAGGAAAAATGCGTAGAAGTGGACGTTGGCCAGTCCAATGTGATATTACTGTAAATCAAAAAAGGGGATCGTCTTTTAAGGGTAGGTTGCAATAGTGTGTTACTGCCCACTATCAATCCATGGGTCCCATACCTTGTGGAACACTTTGGGTATGTCATGAATTTCATAACCAACAGCAGATAGGTGCTGCCAGCATTTGTCCCATTTTGTACAATCTATTGGGTGTTAGATACCAGCGGAAGAGCATATTGTAGGCCTGATGTTTAAGCTTGTTGCCTCCATATATCATCCCAGATGGTCGGGTCGACGGGTGGCCCTAAATCTTGTTCCCAAGCGGCCACATATGGCAGCTGTATATGGGAAGTATGTGTGGTCAGAGAGGTGTATATATGGTAGAAATCTGGTCTTTACAGATGGGTCCATGCTTTGTGAGTTGGCATGCTCAAAGTCCACCAAGCCCTTCTGCTCCATTGGAGTGTGCCATTGCTCGCTCTTAGCCATTTGGGCCACATGGTGGTAATTGAAGGAAATTAGGGAGACCCATGCCTCTGTGGGTTTTGGGGATGTACATTGTGGTTCTCTGCACCTGGGGTTTCCAACCTTTCCAGACAAACCTATCAATTGTCGCTTGTAATCGTTTAAAGTCTGAGATTCTAATCAGGATGGGAAGTATCTGGAATAGAGACAGTGCAGCAAGAGATTCATTTTTATATTTGTGACTTTACCCAGCCAAGAAATCCCCCAGTTGGCAGTGAAAACGGGATATGTACTGTTGATAGATATTTTGCAGCAGAGACTAATAATTATCTGTCAATCTTTATGGAGATGTTTAACCTTAAGGCTGGCAACACATCATGGGAATTGTAGTTCTTGAAATGCTAGGGTCCATCTATTGCTACTTGTACCTTACACCTTGCCCTTATGCAAAAGGAAGTGGTATAATAATGTTAAACGTAATTTTAACAAATTGGATTTTAATATGACAACTCAAGAAGCACCAACTGGAAAGATGACAGCTTAGCTTCCAAGGCTGTTTTATTATTTTAAATAATGGATTTGAGTTTGTGTGCTTTTAACAAATTGTTTAACCACCTAATGTCCTGTGCATCTCACTTCTTGTCTGTATCCTTTGATAAACCTTTATCTGTAGGCGGTGAAGGCCCCACTCTAGACTGCCAGAGAAGGGATTAAGTCAATCCCCTGTAATTTGAACTCTTCTCTTTTGATTTGTTATATTAAAAGGCAACCGTTTATGTGTAACAAAACACTACTAGGTTAGGTAAATATTGCAGTACTCCAATCTCCGTTCTACAGGATTTTTTTGGGTGGTGAATGCACCTGGTCCTAATAAAACACTAGCAATTTTACACTGTATCTTTAGATGTAGTGGTGCTTGGATCCTGTATTAACCGTAATACTTCTACTTTCTGGACAACCTAAACATTTCCTGGAAATTATATTATTGTACATTTTCTCCTTGACAGTCCAGATTTTTTTTTCTTTTTCAAGAAGTGGACGTTCACTCAAGATGCAATTTTTCCTTTTTCTTTCTATTTGTTCTGGAGTAGCAACAGGTATGTTCCGAGCTGAAAATGTGTTAATGTGAAAGTATTGATACTCCCTTTGAATTCTTTGTAAAATAATTCAAATACGTAATGTGCATGGGATTCTGGTTCTAAAATTAGGAGGGAAGTGGTGTCAACCAGTCCTCAAGGCACATAGTCCAGTTTTTGTCAGTATCCTCACTGGAACAGAACTAGGACCTGCCTAAATCCTGTTCTGTTGGTGTGTCTTGAAGAATGGTTTGGGAACAAACAGATCAAAGTATTGTTACGTGCCATCATAGCGGTTTCAGAACATTAATTAATCTGTAACAAAACTAACAGAGTTATTCACTAAAGTGAGAATCTTTCTGATACCGCTATTTTGTTTTATAATTTTGAAATTTACTTTTAATCCTCAACAATTTACCCTTTAGTAAAAAAAAAAAAACCCTTTACCTCTTCTGTTCCATGGTGTTTCTCCTTCAGATGCTGTGCTGTTATGGTACTGGTTTGATTCAGTGTATAGGAAGTTATAGGACACAGAACACTGTTATTTATGTTATCTACCTCTCCACAAAGAGGAATGCTATAGCACTAGGAAAACCAATGTGTATTCCTAATGCTTTAGAGCCCTGTTAAACTTTTAGGTTCACAGCCACCTGCTTGCAAGTAGCAAAAATACCTTTTTACTTACATTTTTTACTTTGCAGCGCCGGTCTCCATGCTGCCGTCCCGTCTCCTTTGCTGAGATCAACAAGATGAATTATCTTAGCCAATGCATTTGCTTTCCCATGGGAAAGCATTGGGTGGCTAGTGAGCATGCGCAGCAAAATGCTGCAATCCTCCAATCAGATGGTCTCTATAAGGCCATCTGATAGAATAGCTGAGTTTAACTTGGCTATTTCTGCAGAAGCGCCGCTAGTAACTACCATTATGACGGCCACTAGAGGCATTTAAACCCTGCTATGTACACAGAATGGCAATGTTTTACATTGCAGGGTTAAAGCTACAGGGATATTACACCCAGATTACTTCTTTGAGATTAAGAGGTCTGGGCTTATAGTGTCCCTTGAGGCACTCTGCATCATCTCCTGCAGATGTTTCCTTTCTAAAATATCAGTAAGGATTTACACCTATTTGACAAAACACTAACAAACTCTGTGCTACCAGACACCAGGGTGCCATACAATAGCATCACCAAAACCATACAGTTCCCTACAAGCAACACAAACACATTATACATCCCTGGACAGAGCTAGTCCCCAAGCATAACAGTTTTAAAAAGCACCCAGAGCAAAAGCGCCCAGCCCAAGTAATAATCATGTAAAGTTGGATCGGGCCATGGCTAACCCCTGATCTGATGCAGAGTTCTAGACTGTTTTGCATTAAGTTCTGGTTTCCAATAATGTCTTTCTGAAGCCTGTAGAAGGAAGCTCCCACAAGTCCTTGTCTCACACGTAGGAGCGTAGGACTGCCCGACACCCAGTCTGACACAGCTTGCTTGTACACTGGACATTGAGGAACCCCACTCCTCTGCTGCTTGAGATGGTACGGGGGAGATATGGATTTAAGGGGGGTGGGAGATATGGGGGTAGAGGCGTGAATGGAGGGGGGGATGCAGGGATGGAAGGAGGGATAGAAGAGGCCAGGATGGAACGTGGGGTGAGAGGCAGGACAGACAGGGTTAGAAGAGGTAGGGATACAAAAGGGGGGAGGTGAGGCATGGAGGAAAGATGGGGTATAAGAGGCAGGTATGGAAGTGGGGAGGAGGCAGGGATGGAAGGTAGGGTGGAAGAAGCAGAGATGGAAAGGGGAAGAGGCAGTGATGAAAGGGAAGGGGGATAGAAGAGGGATGTATGGATGGGGGATAGAAAAGGCATGGATGGAAGGGGGGATAGAAGAGATATGGATGGAAGGAGGGGGATAGAAGAGATATGGATGGAAGGAGGGGGGATAGAAGAGATATGGATGGAAGGAGGGGGGATAGAAGAGATATGGATGGAAGGAGGGGGGATAGAAGAGATATGGATGGAAGGAGGGGGATAGAAGAGATATGGATGGAAGGAGGGGGATAGAAGAGATATGGATGGAAGGAGGGGGATAGGAGGGGGGATAGAAGAGATATGGATGGAAGGAGGGGATAGAAGAGATATGGATGGAAGGAGGGGATAGAAGAGATATGGGAAGGAGATAGAAGAGATATGGAAGGAGAAGAGATATGGAAGGTAGGAGAGATATGGATTGAAGGGGTAGGAGAGATGGATTGAAGGGGATAGAATAGATATGGATGGAAGGAGGAGGGAAAGAATAGATATGAATGGAAGGTAGGGGATAGAAGAGATATGGATGGAAGGGGGGGTGGAAGAGATATGGATGGAAGGGGATGGAAGTGGAGAGATATGGATGGAAGGGGGATGAGAGATATGGATGGAAGGGGGGATGGGAGAGATATGGAAGGGGGGTAGGAGAGATATGGATTGAAGGAGGGAAGATAGAAGAGATATGGATGGAAGGGGGGAGCGAATAGATATGAATGGAAGGGAGGGATAGAAGAGATATGGATTGAAGGGGGATAGAAGAGATATGGACTGAAGGGGGGATAGAAGAGACATGAATGGAAGCGGGGGATAGAAGAGACATGGATGGAAAGGTGGGTAGAAGAGGCATGGAAGAAAGGGGATGATGGAAGGGGATGATAGAAGAGGCATGGATGGAATGGGATGATAGAAGAGGCATGGATGGAAAGGTGGGTAGAAGAGGCAGGGATGGAATGAGGGGAGAGGCAGGGATGGAAGAGGGGTCAAAGTGACATGGATGGAAGAGGGGGATAGGAAAGGGTGACACCTTACCTACCTGGCTATAATTGCGGCCCCTATGTCCCACTACAGTCCCATTTCCCCAATTGCGGCTTTTATGTCCCGCTACAGTCTAATTTCCACAACTTCAGCTCCCATACCCCACTACAGTCCCTTCCCCCCCATTGCAGCCCCTATACTCCACTACAGTCCCTTCCCCCTAATTGCAGCCCCTGACCCCCAATTGCAGACCCAACTCCCTCAATTTCAGCCCCTATTCCCCACTACGGGCCCAACCCCCTCAATTTCAGCCCCTATGCCCCACTACAGGCCCATCCCCCAAATTACAGTCTCTATAACTCACTACTGGCCCATCCCCCAATTGCAATTCCTTCTCCCCACTACAGTCTCTTCCACCAATTGCACCCATATCTCCCCTACTACAACCCCTATCCCTCCTGTACAGTTCCTAACCCCCATTTTACACCCCATACTACAGTCTTTACCCCCCACTACTGCCCCCTCTCCCAATTGTAGCCTATATTCCCAATCACAGTCATCCACGAACCCCCCACTACAGCCTGTACATTTCATAACCCCTCCACTACAGCCCCTATCACCCACTTCAACCCACAACCAGTGCCCCTCCTTCAGAGATTCGGTTTTTGGATCCGTCCCTGCTACACATAGAGTATATAGGACAGACAGTCCCAGGTGTTGTTTATTATTTGACTACATTGGAATTTTAGTGAAACACAAGTGGAAGAACTGCTTTAAAGGGGGAATTATGCACAGAATAGAATGTGATCCTCCTAAATAGGGGAGGGTGATTATTTCTACTTCATATAGAGGGTTTAGAGACTTAGCTGTTATACAATTAGCCATACAGCTCTGGCCTTGTAAAAGACAGACATTGCAGGAGCTGTCAGAGAAAAGTCAACACTGTTAATCCCCCTCTGTCTGTTACCCTGAGCTTCACATGTGAGTCATATGATATCACAGACCTTGAGATGGGAACGTTTGTGTGTTCAGTTAATATAATATTTGTTGCACACGTCAGAAGTGGATTAATGCAAGGCACAGCCAGGATCCCTGTCAATATATTAATGTATATTTGATAGATACTTTTATAATGTCACTGTTCATATATGTATTCCTACACACTAGACCCTCTAGTGGCCCTGATTGGTTTGGCAGTTCAACAGCACCAACAGAATCCTGCTGGCAACCAGTTATGGTGTGATAGGTTATATTGTTGGCTCTGCTGCGGCCTGGAAGTCCTATTCAGGGCTGGCAGATTGACAGATAACAGGGAATAAGATATGCTCCAGCAAATTAGTGAAATATTTGCTTAATGGCAGTGTTTCAAGAAGAAACACTACACATATGGTGTTTTTGCATCATAACTACTACAGCAAGATCCTCCTCGGGCCCTGGAACCCTCGTTGTAAGTAATCAAACCATTCTAGAATGATTTAACAACTTATCTCTGGTCTGACAGCTGCCGCCACTCCCTGCCTCCTTACAATTGCTGGGAGAGTGCTAAGGGCTAGCTCATTGGCTGAGAGCTTATCTCAGGCTGAACGTTTCTGGCTAGTGAGGAGGCTGTACTGGAAGCAGGGAGTGGCACGCAGAGGACCAGAGGGAAGAAGTACTTGCACTGGGGGTGCTAGGCACTCCTTGCACCATAACCACTACAGTGTGCTGTAGTGGTTTTGGTGCTTGGAGTGTATCTTTCTTATTAAAGCAGCTCTGTCATCTTCTGGGGTGTTTGCTTAATTTACAAAGACCCCTGATAGGAACATTGCCACTTGGTGTTTTGTGGCCAATGGCTGTACAGAATGTGAGATATACTAAACTGATGCTGTCCCCATGGTATTTTTTGACTGTTGGAATCTCTAAAAAAAATCCCAACAGTGTTTATGGGCATTTTTATAAAGATTTTGTCTTGATGAAATGCTCAAATTTGGAGGGAGTTGACAGAACTACTTTGAAAGTAAATGCATGGGCTATTGTATCTTTTGAGATTTTCTTTCTAATGTCAATATCAAAATGTTCATTTTCCCATTAATCTTCACTATGTTTCTTATTATATTTATAAAGCGCCAACAAATTCCGCAGCGCTTTACAATGGGTGGACTAACAAACATGTAATTGTAACCAGACAAATTTGACGTACAGAAACAGAGGGGATGAGGGCCCTGCTCAATGAGCTGAGGTCACATAGTTACGTGTTGTGAATTGTAAGCAAAGACGAGCAGGGTCTTAATAATAAAACAGCACTCAGTTCCATATAATCAATGTGTTTTTCTTGCTGTTTTCATGTCACCCACCATGGTTTAATTTTGATGTCCCACGGGGTTTGACATGGGAGCAACGTTTACAGACGCCACCTTCAACTCCTCTACCTGTTACCTGTAACCATGACAAGAAAGATGAGCTGCTGCAGGGGTCCAAGGTGAGCTTAATACAGTAGTAATAGATGAAGGGGAAAAAAAATCAAAAAATCAAAGCACCATAACCACTACAGTACTCTGAGTCCCTAGGTGCTGTCTGTCTGACAGTGATCTGTGAAACAATTTATAAGTTGTTTGACATGTAACTTGCTGTGTTGGGTGTCTGTAATCCTTTTGGTCTGAGTTACTTATACTTTCACATTATCATACTAGCTCACACCAGGTTCACAATGTATTAATTGTCTCAGAGCAATCAGCTGCCTAAGCCTGCTATCAGCTGGTGTCATAATGCACAAGTATGAACTTCTAGTTTACATAGAAATTTAGACTAGTTTAGATTACAGGTTGAAATATTAAAGCTGGAAAATAGTTTTCACCTAGAATTTGCAATTTGATGATACCCATATCTGTTTTCATCCTCAGCCACCAAGGTTTGGAAGGCTAATGTTGATACGCTCTTCTGCATTCTCCAAGTTACCAGGATTTTAAGTATCAGTTATAACTGCTTTGTACAAGTAGCCCTCAGCATGGCATGGACTTGTCAATGACTAATAAAATGTGAGCAGCACTGTAAGACTGGATATTCCTCAGGTCTCTCACGCTGCCATGGACTTGTTACCAAATTTCTGCTTTCTGTCTTAACTCTTTCTCAGATTTGGAAAAAGGCCTCTCGGAAATAACACACACTGGACAACGCAATTAGTGTTTCATCAAGCCCTTTAATTTTCCCCTCCCAGCAAGGAGATATATAGATTTTTTTTTTTTTAGTCTAGGGATCGCAGATTGGCACAGTATTATTTCCAAACCAAGCAACTCTAACGCATCACATACAATTCTGTATGTTAGGGGTAGATGAGCAAACTTGCTCAGCATAACTTAGGGTGGGGTGGAATACTTGTTTTCGAACAAAGAAGAAACCCCTACTAAGCATTTTAAAACACTTCACTGATACAGCTAAAAAGTCTCTAAGGATTATATATAATTTGATACATGAAGCCAAAGCAATAAAATTGAACCTAACAAACACTAACCTATTGCAGAAGACTTCACATACTGGGTTAATCACTAATTTGCGAATTTCCAGGAATTCATAATAAATTCATAATAAATTGGAGGTCAAAATAAACATGGTGAATTATAATTAAGTTTTTTATTTCTTATTTTTTAATCCAGCTATTTACATTCACTTCAAATTCAAGGCAATTCTCACTTTAGTTAATAATCCTGATAGTGAATTTTATTGGGGACACATCAGGAATGTATCCATAAACTGTATCCTGTTGGCTGTATTTTGCTGGGTCCTGCATGAAGCACTATAACTGTATAAGTGATGCTTATTAAACTGTCCAATCTGTCGCATCCAAAGCTGCCTGTTGAGTGTTCCTCACTTGTCTTTTTCACTCTATTTTCCATACCTGTAGCTTCCTTGCATCACTCACGGAGCTTTGGAACGTGCTCTAAGGGCAGCTGTTCGCTTGCAGGTCCATGGCCCTGAAGTGCAATGTGAACGCGGTGGTGTGTGCAGTGTTAGCGTTGGAAGTAGAGTACAGGTTGAGGTCAGAAATCTTTCTGTTTGAAAAAGTAGAAAAAGGGCAATCTTTCATTTACCAATTTTAATTAATTTGTCACTTTTCCCAGGTGTCTCTCTCATCCTCTTCTCCATCCATAAGAATCTCCTTGTCACAGTGTTCCCTTTCCCCATCATCTGATCCTTTTAATAATTCCCAACTCCTGCTCCTTGTGGGTGGATGCCCAGTGGAGGTAGGAGTAAATCTCCAGTTAAACCCACCCCTACCATGCTCTAAAGATGTGCCCGTGAGGAGCTTCAGTTTTCTGCTTGGCCCTTTTTACAACAACTCCATACAGTTCCTGCACTGCAGAGTAGGTCTTTGCCTGCTTGAAACTTTCTGTCGTGGGATGAAGCGTGTGGGAACCTCTGCTCTACCCAAGGTACATATAACATATTTAATCCCTGCTTGTAACACAGATTTAATGATCTAAGCCCCTTAGCATTTCTAAGCTGACCAACCTAAAACGTATCACTAATACCAATATTTTAAAAATATATATATATATTTTAAATAGTTCTGTTTGGCCTGGGAACTGTTTGAATTTGTCCGCTCTGCTCTATGTAAGATAGTGTATTAGTGCTAGTGAGATAAAGAGACTATGGAGAAGGTTTTAGTCCTATGATAAAAAGAGGTAGAACTAATAATATAGAACAATTTATTAGGAGCAAATAAAAAATGATACAAAATTAAAATTCTTTCCATAAGGTCTGGACCAAGGTTACACAAAAAAACTTTATAAATATTAGGACAAACTTTGTAAAATTGATAGAGCAAATGAAAGCAGGTCCTTATATGTGTAGCAATAATGATCACCAGAGCTGGGAGTCCACTTGCCGACAACTCACTGGGTTCTCTTACCGGATTTTGTTCTAAGTTCTTGAGCTATTATGTGGATCATCAGATTGATTGATCGATAGATGTGGTACTACTTGTGACCACATTATACCAAGGGGCCACTGTCTGTGTCTGTAACTTTACCCTATACCAACATACTGTTGCTTACAGGATTACATATGCATTGCCCTCCTCTAATATTGGCACCTATGGTAAATATGAGCAAAAAAAGGCTGTTAAAAATCTTTGTTTAACCTTTTGTTAAAAAAAAATACACAAAAATACCCTTCTCTCATGAATGTCAAACAATTGTAAACACAATACAGGTTTATAAAAAAAAAAAACCTGCCCAGTAGATGGCTCTTTATATAAAGTCGGTAATCCTTTGTGGGTTTGCTATATTGTAGAGTATAAAATTAGGGAGCTGTTTGGTAGATGTAGTTTCTTATTTGGCATCCTTAAATGTGGCAATCCCACATAAGGATAGCAAATTAGGCGTTCAAAATTCAGAAAAGCCATTTTGGACTTTTATCTGTTTAGTTGAATATACCCTAATTTGCTACCCTTATGTGGGACTTCCTTATTTAATGATGCAAAATTAGGGTACAGTCGACTACACACAACAGCTCCCTAATTTTCTAGTAGTTTCCTTAAATATGGATTGGTAATGCCACACAGTGGTATATTTGCATGAATTAATTCATGAACCACTCAAACAAAATTTTTATCTTCGATTTGATTTGTTCATTAGCTCATTCTTGCATTGTGGCATTCGTAGTACAACCTGATTTTCATTTAAATAGGTGATTCTTTCGAAAACAAATGCTCAATTTGCACTGTCCGTTTGACAAATTTTAACTTTTGTCCAGTGGCGTACATATAGGGGTCACAGGGGTGGCAGCTGCGACTGGGCCCATCACTCCAGGGGGCCCGGCCACCCTGCATCCAGGTTCCTGCCGTCATGTTTTGCGGCAAACCGCTGGGGCCACCTTTCAAGGGGCTCATTGTGTTACCCGATGGGTATGGATTTCCAGGGGGCCCGGTGAGCGCTTTAACAGACATTATGACAACATCACACACTGGGAGGAAGTGACTGCCCCGATCACTCCTCCCAGCATACATAGAGCCCGTGCGGGAGGAAACAGAGGAGGGAGTCAGAGTGGGACCTCTGATTGCCATCAACCTGAGCCACCACTGGACCCCAGGGAAGTCACCCTCCTGCATCTAAAAGGTAGGAAACAGGAGGGTGATTTAAACATTTTATATGGGTGTGTATGTATATGTGTCGTGTGTGTGTGTGTGTATGTATGTATGCTTGTCTGTTTGTATGTATGTCTTTGTATGTCTGTGTGTGTCTGTCTATATGTATGTATGTGTGCATGTATGTGTGTATCTGTCTGTGTGTGTGTCTCTATGTATGTGTCTGTGTGTATGTCGGGGGGAGGGAGGAAAGGGGGGAAGGCTGGAGACCCATGGATCAGTCTCGCACCGGAGCCCCATGGATTGTGTGTACGCCACTGCTTTTGTCCTATTATATATGAAGTTTATTTGTATAGCCCATACAGGATTTTAATTGTGTAGTCTTTTTTTAGTTACTCCTAATAAATTATTGTTATAGAATTGTATTAGTGTTACCTCTTTATCATAGTGAGTCACCCTCTTTTGGAAAGTTAGCAGCTTTCAAGTAAAGACTTCTTTATATTTTATTTAGTGCGGTTGATTTTCTACAGTTTTTGTAATTTTTTTTTCTTCTCTTTCAGTGCTCGATACCTCACAACTCATGTACCAGTATCACCCCATCCTCATCTTTGGCAAAATCACTCTTCCTGCGAACAGTCACGCAGCCCTTAATAGTGACCATTCCATCCCCACGTTCAGTTTTCTACCCAAACATAGGTATGTAAATAAAATAGTACTCTTTGAAACATTGGATGAAGTATAAATAATTTCAAATACTAATAGCATATATAATTAAGGAGGTAGTTGAATATTCCGCAGTCAATACAGAAACACCCCCCACCCCGAAAAGCCAAGCATTGGCTGTGATTTAATTAAATATGTGTTTTGTTTTATTCTTCTTTCCCCTCACTCCCTTATCTACCTCACTAAAGCTCCTAACTTCCACAACTGCACCACTAGTACTTTACTACAGCCTTTCTCCCGATGCATCCCGGGGAAGTTGTTAATCGGTTCACGTCACTCCTGGCACCATAACCACTACAAAGGACTGTAGTGGTTATTGTGCATGGAGTGTTAATTTAAATAATCTATCAGTGCGCGTCCTGAGATCAGGTTCTGGATTGACTGTAGCGGAGCTTCTTTATCCTGGCTGGATAGCTCCGCTAGAATACCCCGCTAGCTGGAAAAAGCGCTGGTTAGTGAATATAGCCCTCCAGTTTGACACATGATTTGGGGTTTACAACTGGTTTTATTGTCAAAAGTACAATCTTTTACACATGGACCCCTAGCATGGGGACCCTATTCAATACCAAAGTGATCCTGACCTGGTGCCTCTCTGTCTGGGAGATAATTGAGTTATCCCTCACTTAAGCTAATTATCTCCGGGACACAGAGAGACACAAAATACCCCCAAAACATAGTAAAACAGGAACCCAAATACATAATAAATCCCTGGAGGGCTCTGATCCGGGTGCCCATGTTGGCAAAATAGCACTTGGGTCCATGAAGAATTGGCAAATCGCCACCTGGGTAAAGATTTTACCTGCCGCTAGCAAAGTCCATGCCTGAAAGGGTTCTATAGCTAAAGTGTCTTTGGCACCTGTGAACTGACCCTGGCTCTCAGGGGGTGATTGCACAGGACAGTCTATTGAACCTTCCCTCCAATTAGCGTCCTCCTAGCTCTCTGGGAAGTAAGTGGAAACAGGAGTTGAAGTTGGCTGGGTTATGTTGGGAGCAGCAGCCGAGCTGGAGTCCCAGGCGAATATGACCAGGTCCCACTGACATCCTTGAGGCTCTCACCAGTTTCCCTGAATTAACAGTGGTCAACGTGGAGAGGTGCCCTCAGTTGTAATCCATGGAGGGTTAGGTAGTAAGAGCCAAAGGGTAGTGATTTAGTATTTTTGGGGAAATTGGTTTAGGACAAGCACACTATGCCACACAAACCATGTTGAGGTAACACATTTTTTTGGGAGGTTGACCTTTCTTGAAATATAATCTATGATAAAATATTTGTTGACTCCATATTCTCTAGGAATTTCCTGGCTGTTAAGTTCTATGTAAAGCATTTCAGAACAAGGTCTGCATTTAGAAGCTCCAACCGTTATGTCCTTTCTCCCAAAGAAAACCTGTGATTTTAATTTAAAACAGTGGCGGATGAATTTGGTAGTTTGCATATACGTTGTCTGTTCTGATTTCCATTTCTATCTCCAGTTCCTAGGAAATCCTTTCGCCCTCCTCAACCTACACCTACAGGTAAGTTGAACAATAATGACTATCCACTAATCACCTCTGTAGAGCACGTAAGGTAGATCAAAACAATACCTTGCTATTTTTCTTTGCAGAACAAAGAGGACAAGGCATAGGGATGGAGGCCGTTGCTGGTGTCACTCTTTGCTCCTTTGTCATTGGGGTGATGTTGTCTGCTGGGCTGTGGTATATTCAGAGCAAAACGGGTGAGAATGACCGAATATTACTGCAGTACCATAAGGATGTTTCATTCTTCATTTAGCAATATAATATTAGTTCATTTGTACTTGATTATTTAACAAGCAGATTTAATAGTATGTATAGATAGCAGGAGGGAAAATTAAATCTCTTATAGATACTCCCATCCACTGTATTGGAATGCTCTTTGGAGTAGATGTTTTTGAAGGATGCACAATATTTGTGTGAGGAGTCTTATTTTCCTGACCAAAGTAAAGTGGTTATTCGCAAAGTTTATGACTATCAACCATATTCTTATGTTTTTGTTTTTTTCTACTTGGTTAACTTTGTATAATACTTTTCCTTTTGTCTTTGGCAATGTCTTATTATATACATATGTGCATTTTTGTTTTTGTAGCACCTGTTTCTTCAGCGACAAATGGAGGATCCCAAGGTCTTCAACCTTCACCAAACTGTGTGTCTACTAATTAGAAAAAACATTACAGTAGAGTATGGATTGGCTCTACAGGGGCAACTCCCATAACTAGGAAATAGACATTTAGGATGACTCAGTCTAGATAAAAAGTAAGAAAAGCAATAAAATCTTACCTGAACCAAACTACGATGTGATTTCTGTAAAAACATTGCTTTCATATCAAATTGAATACTATACAATAACGAGCATTGTTTGCTACTCTTAGCTATTGTTAGCAATGGCCAACTAAAACAATACAGTCTTGTGTTCAACCTACATGGCTTATTAAACACCTGGCCAATAACCACTGGCAGGCAGAATGAGGAAAAGTGGGCATTTAATGTGAGTGTTCCTTTCAAGATCTGGATATTATGGAAAACATATGGGCAGTCCACGAAAAATGAGGTTACACAATAATGTCCTATCTTTGAGATTCTGAGGAAAGGGTAAGCCAACAGTGGCCAGGGTATGTTTTAAAGGCACACTGAGCGCCATAGCAACTACAGCTTATTGTAGTTATGTTGCAGTAGGTTTTTTTTTTATATACAGACCCAAAATCTGAAGCACCCTAAGTCCAGCCTTTCTGATTTTACTTAGATAATGCAGAGGTTTCACTTTCATAATATATGTACAATCCATTTATGGGAAGCAATGATTGCCTTTCAACTTACAAGGGCCTACACCCAAAGACTTCTGTTAAGACCTGCAGTGGTTATGGTACTGCGGTCTTCTATTCCTTTCCCAGTAGCTGAGCATAAGTGATTATAACTGCAGTTAGAAAATAGAGGAAAAGTGTAGATGAATGCAGCTTCCAAGACGATTCTTCCCAGCAAGTAGAATATTCCCCAAGCATGAGCCTAGACTTCATGAAGGGTGTAACAGGAATGATTTGTATTGAGGCCACACTGGCTTTTATGAGAATCCTCCTGCAAGAGGACCTCCCACAGTAAACAAAGACAATAACCAATCAACATACAGATTTACAGTAACACCCGCCCTCTCTCTGCCTGGGAGATATTGAGATAAGTTAAGGAATAACTCAATTATCTCCAGGCAGAGGGCACACAATTTTCCCAAAAGTTAGAACACCCCTTTACACACAAGGTATCCCCACAAATTACATATCCCCTGATAGGCCCGATCTGGGGGACCAACATATCCAAATTTCACCCAGATCGGTTCAGGGGTTCTCAAAAAGTATGGAAGTCATAAGTTACCGACCACACACAAGGCTCCTGCCCAAAACAGTTCCACGAATTCAGCGTGTGCGGTCGGTCATTTCAGTAAATGGAATAAAAACGAATAATAATCCCCTTGTACGTATGAACCAAACTACCTCTCCTGGCTGTTCGGCAACTAAAGGAAGCAGGCGTTCGGTAGTTTTAGCGGTGGTTCGGGAGGTCCAGTGTCCGATTTTAGTTCCAGACACTAGACGACCAAGTCCCACTGCCTCCTTTTGTGCAAACAAGATGGCCGCTGTTTTCTGTTCCACGTGGCATTCGGCTGTACGAACGGCGGCCGCCCAGAGAGCGCTTAATAGACGGTTCTGTTGAAGTTAATGAGCCAGGAGGGTGGTCGGTGTTCGGTAGTTTTAAACTGCCAAACCAATAAATCCAAAATGAACAAAATGGTGCAGAAAAGCACGAACACAGAAGAAAATACCGAACTTAGTCTATTTTCTTCACAACTTCTTGCACCAAATCCTCTACAAATAAGCTGTAGTGGTTATGGGAATTAATACCCCTTTAAGCAATTACTACACCTAGATTGTATGCCCACTTCACCTCTTGTGTCTCTTAATCCTAATTATCCCCACTGCAAAATTAAACGCTAAGCTACATAGAGTACGAACAAAAAGGACATCACTACAAACAAGTGAAAAAAAGTGAAATAAACTCACAGAATTGAATATGATTCAGGTTGGTCTCCCTTCAAAGAGGGTAATCAATTGATGGAACTGTAATTTGGAGTGTTAATCCTTTTGAGAGATGTAGGAGTAGGAGAAAAGCAAACAAATAGTGCAGATAGTATACAAATATTTAATTAGAATGAAATCTCTGTATTCAAGTTTTAGCACAAAATTTATTCAGGGTGAGTGAGACTTGTGACAATAGTCACCATTACTGGGGGCTGAAGACAGACACCTTATTGAGGTCCTCAGATTACTCCTATGTTTTAGTCACCCTGTGCCCATTATAGGTACAGGATGTGTAATATATTTGTTTGTTTGCTATTCTCTCCCTCCCCTACCCCCCTTTCCTTGTGGTTTTCTCAGAAGGGTGTTGTCCCATTGTTCCAGAGACCACTTTCATCTGCTGTATATTATTATATGTGGTTTAGGAGTTTTCTTGAACTATGGGAGATAATTGTGTTAGCGTGTCTGTGTGTATAAAGGATAAAACCGAAAGGAAGATAATTTGTTTATTATACAATAGCTATTGTGTGAAGTATCTTGGTGTCAGGCAGATAATTCAATTATGGACTCGACCTAATTCTGTCTTAGACACCAAGAAATGACTTGTATTGTTCTGTTTGATGACCCCCAGTTGTGATAACTCCTATATAAACCTGTGGTTCACTCAATAAAACCAGTTCTACTTCACCCTTCACTAAGTCTCGGCTAGTGTTTGGGTAAACCAGCTATCCACTTGTACCAATGTGCAATTCATAGTTTACAGCCAGGGGTGGTCGGTGATTGTGAGGTGTTAACAGGGGACCACACAAAGTGGATTTAGTAAACGAACGGGGGGCGTACGGACATCAGAACAAAAGGGAATAAAAATGTAGTTAGGGTATCCATCGTGCTACATGGTTGTTCTGAACTTAATGCCTGGATCTCTGATAACCTTCTGGCCGATGTTATTGCTATAAGGAAGTGTGTTTTCATGGTAAATAAATAAAAATTCCCATTTCTTCCAATGGCTCAAACTGTACTTTTATTAGGGCATTTAGTACTAGAGGCAAGTCCCAAGGAGGCGCCAATTGTTTGGTAGGTGGTCTTATCCTCATAACTGCTCTGAAAAACTTTATTATGAGAGGATTTAGAGCCCAGCTGGTATTTGTCATGGCTGAGATTGCAGAAACTTGTACTTTGAGTGCTTAGGCTAAGCGCTTTACCCAGACCTTCTTAGAAGGAAATTCAAGACCTCTGCCACGCTAGGTTCATCACAGATGATTCCCTTTTCCAATCCAAAAGCTAAAAACTTTTCCTATGCGTTGTGATAGGAAGCGGAGGTAGAGCTAATTGAAATGATTGGGGTTATAGATGAACTGCTGGACCCTGGACGAGCAAGTCCCATCTCTGTGGAAGTATCATTGGGGCTCTTTGGCTCATACGTAACAGAAGCAGGAACCAGGGTCTCCTTGGCCATGATGGGATGATTGCAATCTCCTTCCATATTTTCCTCAATACTTTGTTGATTAATGATATCGGTGGGAAAATGTATGCCAACTCAAAGTCCCACCGTTGGGATAGGGCATCCTGGGCTTTTGCTTGGTTCTTTCCATCTCAAGAAGAATCTGGGGGTTTGTGAATTCCTCCATGTGGCCATCAAATCTATTTTGGGGATTTCCCATGTAGTCACTACCTGTAGAAATACTTCCCTGTTTCCCCATGTATTCACTACCTCCTGGTTCTATGCTTGCTCTGCTTAGGAAGTTTGCAAAGTTTTTTCTATTCTTGGTAGATCAACTGCTTTTAGATCTTTCAGGTGTATGTCCATTGCATAATTGGTTGCATTTGAGAAAGTAGCTGATTGCTCTTTGTGCTCCCTTGGTGGTTCAAGTAGGCAGCAACCACCCTGTTGTCTGTTCTCATCAGTAGTCTTTTCCCCCTTAGGTAGATGGCAAATTATATCATGCTCGCAGTTCCAGGATGGTGGAGTGGAGAAATCTGGTCTGATTGTTCCATACTCCTTGCGTGACAAGGTTCTTGTAATGTGGTCCCCATCCCCTTGTACTTACATCTGTTGTAATCACCTCCCATTGGGGGTCTTCCAGGGGAAAACCATTGTTCAGATTGGACTCCTTTATCCACCATCTTAATTGAATTTTTAGGTCTTGGGGAATTATTATCCATTGATCCTAGTTCATCACTGATTTATTGGTCTGTCTGAGGAAGTTCATGTGGGCCTGTCTTTTCCAACGTGCCCATCTGACCAGACCTATAGTTGACGTGAGGGATCCTAGTAGACTCTTAAATTCATATATTTTCTTGCTTGTACTCTTGTTCTTCGAATTAGTTCTGAAATTTTGTTCTTGATCCGAGTAATACCATCGCAGGATAGAGAAATTGTTAAAGCTTCTGTATTTATACTTGCTCCTAGGAACACTTTTTCTGGATGGAATGAGATTGCTCATTTCTGTTTGTCACCCAAAATTCTGCAGAACTGAAATTACCTCTTCTGTCTGATGGACTGCTGTGTTGTATGCTTGTGTTACTACCAGGATATTATCCAAGTAGTGGAATACTTGGATCCCTCTCATGGGAGCCAAAAATATATTCAAATAGAATCCCCTGTGTTCCTCATTTTGATAACTTCTTGTGTGATCAACTGTTGTAAGCAGTTCATCGCCTTCTGTTTCATGCCTGTTGATAACTTTGAACGATGAAATACATAATTTCTTGGGAATTCTTTGAATTCTAGTTTGTAGCGGTCTTTTATTACACTCAGGACCCATTTGTCCTTGATAGATGTTGCCCATACCGGAAAGAACTGTTTCAGCCTGCCTTTATTCCAGTCTGGTTGTCCCGACCTTCATAAAGCTTTTGTGTTTTGGCGGGCTCCTCTTCCTCTGGAACCTCTATTGGAAGATGAAGATTGAAATCTCCACTGGGATGATCTAAGACAGTGGTTCCCAAACCTGTCCTTAAAGGACCACTATAGTGCGAGGAAAACATACTCGTTTTCCTGGCACTATAGTTCCTATGGACGCTGGCGTCTTCTCACTGTGAAAATCACAGTGAGAAGCGCGGAAGCGCCTCTAGTGGCTGTCAATGAGACAGCCATTAGAGGCTGGATTAACCCATAGGTAAAAATAGCAGTTTCTCTGAAACTGCTATGTTTACAGCAAAAAGGATTAAACCTAGATGGACCAGGCACCCAGACCACTTCATTAAGCTGAAGTGGTCTGGGTGCCTATAGTGGTCCTTTAATCCCTTAAGGACCAAACTTCTGGAATAAAAGGGAATCATGACATGTCATGTGTCCTTAAGGGGTTAAGGCACCCCTACCAATCCAGGATTTGGGGATTACCTGGTTGTGTCTAAGGTCTAAAAAAAAAAAAAAAACCTTAGACACAACTGGGTAATCCCTAAATCCTGGACTGACAGGGGTGCCTTGAAGACTGGTTTGGGAACCACTGATCTAACTTTTCCCTTCCAGGCTTGTATGACCTAGTCTCTAGAAATGACCTATTTGTTGTACTTGTCTCTTTAAGATGCATTGTAGGTAGTGATGTCCCGAACGGTTCGCCACGGACGGCGAACATATGCGCTGTTCGGTCCGCCCCCTATGTCATCATTGAGTAAACTTTGACCCTGTACCTCACCGCCAGCAGACACATTCCAGCCAATCAGCAGCAGACCCTCCCACCTCCTGGACAGCATCCATTTTACATTCATTGTGAAGCTGTCCAGGAGGTGGGAGGGTCTGCTGATTGGCTGGAATGTGTCTGCTGACTGTGAGGTACAGGGTCAAAGTTTACTCAATGATGACGAATAGGGGGCGGACCGAACAGCGCATATGTTCGCCGTCCGTGGCGAACCGTTCGGGACATCACTAATTGTAGGGTCTTCTTGTTTGACTGCGGTAGAAAAGCTTTCTTCCCATCAGTGGCCTTCTGAATGGAATGGAATCATCTAGGACTTTACCGAATAGCCTTTCCACTTGCAATGCAAAGGCACAAAGAGCACAAAGGCTGGCTTTGGAGGCATAGTTCACTCCCCTGGAATGAAGCCACAGCGCTCTTCTAGTCACTACTGATAATGCAAGGATTTTCTTATAGGGTTTTTGTGACGTCTAGAGCTGATTCTGACATGAAATTTGTTGCCAGTTTTATGTCTTTCAGGGATTCAATCAAGTTATAGCTAGTGGCATAAGTAGAGATATCTTCTTCTAGATTTTCAATCCAGACCTTCCCGCTTCTGGCTCCTGATGTTAAGGCTGCAGCTGGATGTAACCCCAACCCAATTGCCAGATATTGTTTAACCAGCTTAGAGTCCTTTCTTTTTTTCAATAGGTTCTTTCAGGTACGCCATGCTATCTATGGGAAGTATGGTCTTCTTTGTTAAATGTATCACAGCCACGTAAATTTTTGGAATGGTTTTGCAATGTTTCACTTCTTCTGATGCAAATGGATATATTATTTTCACTTTTGCTTGTAAAGATAGTTTCTTTTCTGGTTTGGACCATTCAGAATGGATTATTTTATTGTAGAAGTCATCTTAAGCTGATTCAGGAAGTATAGGCAGGCTACACTTTCAAACGCTTGAAATTTTGAATTTCCCGGGTAATTTTTAGCTTCCGTATACTTTTATACCACTAGCTGGCTCCCGTGTGTCGACAAGAACTTACCACACATGCGCAACATCCCCACGGTCAGTACACAAAAGTAATTTTCAAATACAGTTTTGCAGTTCTGGGCCTTCGGAGGCTTGCCAGGTAAGATGATGGCTTCCTACACTTTCTTAGGTAGGGTGTAAAACAGACAGATAATTATCTAATCCATGCTGCTAGGGATGATGTGTGTATCAGTTTATTCCCACAATCTCTTTTACTAAAAAGAGACTCAAACCAGTTAGTGCTGCCAATGCAGCCGGTTTACTGGTTTCTTCCGATGAAGAGAGGATGAACTACCCCTGGAAGAACCATATTAAGCATGATAGTGAGCCCAGAAAGAAAAGTATTTTAAAGGTATCCCAAAATCCCTGTCTCAACTGGGACAGTAAAAAAAAGACTTGAGGATTTAGAGGGGAGGGGGCTTCTATGGGAAGTTTAATTATTCCTGTCCTGACAGCTGGGTAAAGGAGCTTACCCATATGTGATGCTGCCATGTATGGACAGGAAATAATTATATATATATATATATATATATATATATATATAATTAGGTTATGGTGGGGAAAAATTGTGATTGTATTAACTATCCACAGACTTCAGGTGGAAGGGGTTTTCAATGTTAAACAAAAATCTGCATACCAGTCAAGCCATAAGACTTGCTTTTCCCACAGAAATCCCAAATCTGCAGTGATGTTACAACCGCAAAGGATTCTGGGTGGGCATATGCAAATTAGTTTAACAAAGAATCACATTTTTGCCTCATTCCATTTTAAACATGGATTCCTTTTAATCTGTGTTTGCAGTATACAACTGCTTGGAACACAATTTCGGAAAAGATGCAAAACCAGTGAACCACTCATGGACAGCTGTGTGTGTGTGTGTGTGTGTATATATATATATATATACACACACACATATACACACAGATTACACTATTAATTACAGAAAATGCAGTTCACAGCTGAAACCACTAGAGGGTGTAACCACTCTACTTACTTATTTTGCAGGCATCGTTAGTGACATTTTTGTAAAACTATGGCTTAACTTCTTCACCTTTTTTCCATCCTTTAATCAAATTGTATGTAGTGAAATCCTGATCCAAGTTAGGAGTAAGGAATTAGGAACACTAATTCATCACTTACATGGTCTGGATATTACTGTATACAATGTAATCTAGATTACATAAAAAAAAGGCATGTTTGTTGGAACCAACTGCATTTGGTAACGTTTAAATTTATTTTCCATATTATCAGGGTGGTTACCTTTGGGTCACATCAAACTATGGACACTGGGGAGAGATTTTTTTTTTACCCTTTTTTAAACCACCCCAAGACCGTGTGGGTTGGGGATAGATAGTGCCATAGATTCTGGCACCATAAACTATGGTTGTTGTGGTCCTTAAGGGGGCCCTTTTAAGCACCTACTTGGTGAGTGCATTTAGCACTGTGAAGTGTTTTGTTTTCATTGAAAGAGCTATGCATACACTTAAAGCAGGAGTGTCAAACTCATTTGTGCCTGTAAAGAGTCCCTATTTGTAGTGACAGTCCATATTTTTTGGCCTAAATCTCTGTCCCTCTTCTCTAGGAGCTCCATATTGTGTGTCTGAGTGTACAACAGTGCTTTATAGCAATTATACTCATAGTAACGTGTCCTTAAACTACAATGAATGTGTTTAGAAATCAGTCTGCGTAAATAAGATGCACTGTTCTTCTAAAATTACATTTTAGTTGCCTAAATGGTAAGTCACCTACAATTTCTCAGAAAATCCCACTCCCAAATCACACCCCTAAAATTAAAGTGCTCTTCTTTGTCCATTTTAAATGATGATCTTTGCTCTGGAGGGCCAAATTTACCAATTAAATAGATACAGAGGGCAGACTGCATAAAATTTAAATATGCACACAAAAAAAAAAAAAAAATAAATAAACAAAAAAAAAAAGGCACAAAGAACAAATCTGAAGAAAAATAATAAATACCCTTTTCCAGATGATACTCCAGATAAAGGCTGGTCAATAAGGGTGGTACCAATTGCCCTTGGGCTTAACCCTTTTTGAATTAAATTTGAATTAGATTAGCATCCCCTTTCGATCCCCACACCCACCAAAATCCAATAAAAAAATTAGTGCATGGACCCGATGCGCGTTTCAGTGTTCTAAACAGCACCTTTGTCAGGGGTAGAAAAAGACAAAACCAAACAAAAACTATAACCTTGTTGCTAAATTGTATCCATCCCCCCATACCTGACTGCGGTCAAGTTCATTTACCAAGTTAGAGATCTCCCTTTGTGGGATTTCTCCAATTCAAATTTAGGCACAAAGAACTTCACATAATGTCAAAGATGTAATTTATTACAAGAATTAGTGTATTTGTGTGTAGTGTTGGCGTTTGAATGCAGGGGTGTATGTGTGTAGTGTTGCCATTGGAATGCAAGAATATCTGGATGTAGTAGTGACAAATGCAATTGTGTATAGTGTGTGTTTGTAGTTATAACATTTGAAGACAGGGGCATATTTGTGTACAGTTTGAAGGCAGGGGTGTAAGTATGCACTGCTACATACACACAAGTAACACTTTAGGCCACTGTTCCTACTTACCTTTTGGGTGCAGGAGGGGTGACTTCCCTGGAGTTCAGTGGGTGCTGCCTGGCAAAGGCTTATGGGAGTCTGAGGTTCCAGGCTTCCCTTCTGCCTCCCAGCACGGCTCTAACAAAATGGAAGGAAGTGACCTGAACTAGTTTCTTCCCTGCAGGTCTCAGAGAGAATGGACTGGTCCAGTGTGCTTAAAAAACCAAAACAAAACAAAAAGCCACAGGGCCCAATCTAGCTCTTGATCTAAGAGGCCATATGCAGCCCGTATGTTTGTCAGTCCTGACTCCAAGCACCATGAACACTTCAGTGATATTGACTATCCAGCATAGCCCCTTTACTGTTAAAACACAGCCCTTGGTATGAACAGAAACTGAGAACCAACTGGCTCTCAATACCTACATTAAAAAAAATCCCTTAATGTGCTTGTAAATAAAAAACAATTAAATACTTCATAAATACATTTCCAGACAGTTTATTAGTAAGACAGTGTAAATTTATTTATTGAGTGAAGCTACAGCTTTAACAGTCGCTGTAAATTCCCTTATCTGGGTCAGACAGGTTCCTCCAGTCCCAGTAAGGGGCAACATAACAGGATTATCTCTCCCATTACAGTGACATGCTGTGTAAACACGCTCAGAGGGTGGGAGTGATATGGCACCGTTGTAACATACTTAAAATAAAGAAGAAAACTGCAATACTGTAAGTCATCTGCAAGCATTACTCCACTGAGCACCAACCTCTACCTGTAGTGACATCTATTCCCTTCTAACCAGTTTCTACCTGTACCTTTCCACTAAGCACCAACCTCTCTAACTGTCCACCATCTGGCCACTGTCCACCAACTTCATTCTAGTGCTATCTACTGACTACCAATGTTCACCTGTACACAGTCTATTTACTGACCACTAACTGTACCTGTAGACCATCTATTTACTGACCACTAACTGTACCTGTAGACTATCATTCCTCTAACCTCCAGTCTACATCAGTAGTATATATGTGCACTAACCATTTGGCTTTTCTCTAGCTGCAGAGCATTACTCCCTTTCCACACCTATGGACCAGATGTTTGAAAGCCAGTCTTCTAAAGGCCTGAATCTTAATTATTGGTATTCTCGAATTTAAAATAAAATAAATAAAATAGTTTTATTGCCAAGGAGTGGAGCTAATATTATCCTGAGGGAATTATGTGGGCACCCAGGAACCATTACCCCATCAACTTATCCTATACCTCAATTATTAAAATCTCTGAGAATACTACATGGTAACAGTTTTGATGTTTATAGGCACCGGGCAAACTTCCCACTAGTAGCTTAACTAAAACACCCCTGACAGTTAGTCACAACCTGACTGAGAGCTGTAGTGTTGAATACTTCCCTACTATCTGTAGACCATTATTTAAGCTTGTAATCCTCTTGCATCAAGCACTGCAGATATCACTGCATACGGATCTGTGACACAAAGAGATGCTCACGCTTAGCCCTTAACTAGAAGAAACTAGCAATCTGTCCACCCACTATCACCAGTTTCAGAAGGATTTGGCACTCGAAACACATACGGATAGTAATAATGACACAAAATATAGAGAACAAGTTACAGCAACAAATAGGAAGGCAATATCCTCACTCTAAATGTAGTAGTGCACCATTCACAAAAACATTTTTTTCCGATTTTACAGAAATTCATAAAGTTCCATTATAATACTTTATATAGAAGGAATACAAATATCCCCTTGCGCTTTACTCCACTGACTGGCAGTTAAGACATTTCCATTTTAAACAGCATTACAAAAGTAATATATTTGTACTCTGATAATTCTCTTTTTTTTTTTTTTTAAATAAACTAAGTTTTGTTTAAAGCGGAGATTAATTGGGAATAATACACATTATATTGATTATTACAGCATACATATTGCATGTTGGGAGTTAAAACTTGAACCATTCTAAAAACGTGTCTAAAATAATTCATTTGCACAGACTTTACAGATGCAGGAGTTAGTAGCTGGGGTATAAAAAAAAATAAAAAATAAAAATCTTTCCTAGCATGCAATGGAACGCCTCTTCGTTTTATTTAACAGTAATCCAGGAAATATTCAAAGTTTTAGTACATTTCTATTAATAAAGTAAACATTTTTGAAATGGTTCTATTCTTAACACAACAAATAGCAAATTTTTGCTTTGTTAATTATAACATTTGCTTTTCAGATTAAAAGGTCCACTTAAATTCTTTGTCATATTAGAGTTTATGTATGTCTGTATTAATCTTAGATGGTATTTAATCTTAGTATTAATATTAGATAGGGAATTATTGCACTTTAAAACCAATATATATATATATACACATATATAAATAATAAATAGGTTACTATTCTGTTTTTTATGGTGACGAGTCCTTTAAACCCCTTTATCACAAGTGTTAGGCAGATGACGTCGAGTGACAATCTAGATACAGCTGTTAGAAGGAGTAAAAAAACTTCACCTGAATATTTTAAATAGAAATTGGTTTTCTACACATATTACACCGCTAGAAGTACCATAGTTCCACAAATTACCTATGCTTTTTTCTACAGCTGTTCAACATCCAAAGTTTCCCCTGATAATGCTTCTGAATATTGGGAGAGGCCTGTCTCTGTTCATCAGTTTGTTCAAATATGAAATCAAATTATTGGACAAGAGACCTCCAACTCTTGGGTAATTTACAACAAAGTTGAAAAATGTTGAGAAAAGTGGAAGGGTTGAAATGGGCATTGAACTCAACCAACTGCTTTGTGAATAAAAGAATGTGTTATAGAATATTAACATGTGATAGCTATGGTACACCTTGAGGTGGGGAACCTCACAAAATGACCACAGATTCATTTGATGGGGGATACATATGCACACTTACATAACGCATTTCAATAGAAACAGTGGGAACATTTACACTTTTATATAATTTTATCACTTTGAAATAGGATGCAACTTCATGTCAAATGACAGGAGATTTTTGTATACCCATCACAGTGACCTACATTTTTTTGTCCAATAAAAATAAACTGGAGTGAATGAGATACGCACCCAGATTTTTAAAGTGATAAAGTTATATAATAAAACCATAAAGAAACAGAATAAACTACATTGGATATATTTTGGCATGGCTGGCTTTATAAATAGGTATTTTAGAGTCCCTTGCCATTGAAAAAAAATAAAATAAAAAAACAAACTGTATCTCTGATACTTATGTTTGTTAGCTTTAAATCATTTACAATAAACAAAATAATTATATATATAAATATATTAACACATTAACAGTTTGTTCTGTAGTGCCAAAATATTAAGTAACACTGGAGAACTTTGTTACGATGTCGGTTAATAAAAATCATAGATTTTAGAATATTAGGATGTGGCTTAGTGGAGACATTCTAGTGAGGTCAACTGGCAGTTAGAATGCCCGAACCAAGGCGTTCAACTGGTAAGCTCTCAAAGTGATGTTTGGAGGCAACATTAATTCAAAAGGTTTGTTAGCAGTCACCATGACACCTTACGAAGGATAGTAGTACAAATCCTCTGATAAAAGACTAAATTGCAGGATGGGGTGAGATTGGAACCGGCTTGGTACTGTATAGCTTATAATTAGTTAGGAAACATGGTAAGTAATAATATGCAGGTTGCTCTGGTTTTCTGCTCTTCACAAACTCTCAGAAAAGAACATAGCTTCTGCAGATCTTATGAATAAATGTAAGGATTGAAAGTGCAAAGTCAGGCCAAGTGAACCCTCTTCCGTCAGGTTTAATGCTGGGTCCTTTCCTAGCACCAACAAGTCATTTAATAAATGGAAACCTTTTGGTAAATAACGTGTACAGACTTTTACACAGATGAGGTCTGTATATCCAAAGTGCTCTTGGGTAATACATTTGCAGTGGAGATCTTTCCTCTTTCAAGTACCAGAACCTCCATGTGTATGGTTATTATATAACCAAGGTTGAATGTTAGAAATGAGGGAATGTATTATACAAAACACAACACTTTCTTTAGTTTGTTGATGGGAGTTTAGCTTCTAATAGTGATGGACAAGTAGACACTGTAATACACCCTAGATGCTTCTGATTAATCAATTATCTTTTAGTGCACTTAGTATAACAAACATTGCACGCATCTACCTTTCTCCGATGGACCAAAATTTTGTACGTTATACGTCAATTCAGAAACAGATTTCCAGTTTGCACCATGGCATCCAAAATGTTACGGACTCCATCATCTCTTTACATGTATAGATCCAAAAACAATTGTATATGGTGAAAATAAACATTAACTTCACACAGCATACACTCCCGTTTACAGATGGTTCTGTAGAGGAATCTGCTCAGTCTTTAGTACCAGAAAAAAATAAATCGAAAAAGGGGACTCTCCACATTAACGGCCATAGTTTATTAACCAAAGCCAAAATAGGGCACCTTCACATAGTTTGTATTTGTCAAGGTTACGTGGGATCACACTCCTTGTTCTATTGTCCTGCCCTAAAGATTGACTTTCAGAGAGGGTATGAGGGAAATCCAGCTAACCCTCTCATTCCCAATGGTTATTCAGCTGCTTCAGTGGGAGTGTCTGAAGGGACTCCATTGGTTTCTATTCCTTCCTCGCTTTCAGAGCTAGGAGAGCTTCTGAGAGGTCGTAAGAAGCAAGACTTGTGTGGGGAATGGGGATACAAGGCATCCTGTAAGGCACCCATGGGCCTTGAGAGTAGCTCCTCATCGGAGGAAGGGATGGAGTCCTCATCTTCCTGTACTGGGCAGGAGGTAAGATGTAGACCTTCAAAAGTAATGGAATCGCAATAAGGCTTGTGACCATGGAACAGTTGGATCTGCTGGGACAAAGAAAGCAATGTTTAATTAAAAACAATAAATGGAATATGTATGTAACCATTCTGTAGACAGTCACTAAATGTCAGAGATACATCAGTAATAGGTTTACAGTATTTTTCAATCTGCAGGTGACAATATATGATGGGGACTAAAATATCCACAAATAAAATGCTTCTGGTTTCAGGGCTAAATGTGTGATTTTCTGAAAAGCATAGCTAAAAAAAAACAAGAAAATTTGCAGATCCCAAATCCCTTGGTCATTTCCCCATGTTCTTCAATATTCTGTTTAAGAGGTTGCAGAAACAGTCACGTACAACTGGTAGGAATGCTATGATACTCTGGAAAGGTCTATGCTGCAACCGAAGTGTGGATTACAGATGGACAATTTCAGAAACACAAACGTGAACGCGATCTGAATGCTACTTCAAAAATGAAATCTGGCAGATTAGCAACATCGGGGTAAAATCTAATCCTAGAGCCATCCTGACAAGGTATTAGACAGTATTTTAGATTTTATAATTCTAGCAAGGCATCTGTCTTAAAGAGGTTAAAGATACTAAGCACAATGTGTATTACTTCTTATCTGCAGAACTCGACACAAAAAGTAGGATATTTCAGGTTGGCAATGGGCCTCTAGGACCCAGACTGCAGGGAAAACATGGACCATGCTTTGTGTTCAAATGGACAAACCAAGGACTTCTCTCAGTTGTGGCTTCAGGACTGCTTGAGCAGCACTACAGGGCTTTTACCAACTGTGCTATTTACAACAATGCCACTAGTGTCAAGTTGTGGGGGTGTTTAGGATGGAGTTAGAAGATCTTTAGTATTAAGGATGCTTTGAGTTGAAAGGGTACTTGCCTACAAAATTCACAGTACTATGAAGACAGGTACCCACCAACCGTCCTGCATGGGGTTACTGCAGCACTACATTGCAATAACAAGTTATATATGCTGCTAAATTTACTGTAACTTGGGGAAATCGTAAGGTCACTATTATGACGCATGAGTTTATGTGGACATTTTAACGTGATTCCTATGGGTTTTCAGTTTGTAAATCACACTGTATTTCATGGTAGTCCACAGGATTGACAATCATAATCCCATTTGACTCCTCAAAAAATCTTCAATAACGAAAGTATTAAAAAAACAAAAAAAATAATCTATATGCTTTCATCAATCTTTCTTGTACAGACATCAAATGTGTCATTTCTGTTTTAGTGGTTTTGGATTCAAATTAAGGAATTCTGGATGTATTTCTACAAAGCAAGCTAATCAAAATAATAGTTTCATGGTTTTTAAATAACAATTGGGGGTCACTCTACATGCATATATATCATTATTTGCAATCAGGCACGTGGTGGGTTATCTACCGAAATTAATGCACTTAAAGCAGTAATGTCACTTTCTGAGAAACATAAATAGCACTATAACAAAACAACATATTTTAAAATATCAAATTCAACTGTGTGTGTTTATACCCCACACTTGTTCTATTTTATTGTAATTTCCAGCTGCTCCAATGACCTGGATGAGAGGTATCTTGTGTACAGAGCTGCAAGTTTCATACATAGTAAAGGAACACTATAGTCACCTAAATTACTTTAGCTAAATAAAGCAGTTTTAGTGTATAGATCATTCCCCTGCAATTTCACTGCTCAATTCACTGTCATTTAGGAGTTAAATCACTTTGTTTCTGTTTATGCAGCCCTAGCCACACCTCCCCTGGCTATGATTGAAAGAGCCTGCATGAAAAAAAACAAACTGGTTTCACTTTCAAACAGATGTAATTTACCTTAAATAATTGAATCTCAATCTCGAAATTGAACTTTAATCACATACAGGAGGCTCTTGCAGGGTCTAGCAAGCTATTGACATAGCAGGGGATAAGAGCAGGGGATAAGAAAATCTTAATTAAACAGAACTTGCAATAAAGAAAGCCTAAATAGGGCTCTCTTTACAGGAAGTGTTTATGGAAGGCTGTGCAAGTCACATGCAGGAAGGTGTGACTAGGGTTCATAAACAAAGGGATTTAACTCCTAAATCGCAGAGGATTGAGCAGTGAGGCTGCAGGGGCATGTTCTATACACCAAAACTGCTTCATTAAGCTAACGTTGTTCAGGTGACTATAGTGTCCCTTTAACCCCTTAAGGACTGGACTGTTTTTGCGATGTTGTACATTTGCGACCAGGCATATTTTTACACTTTTGTGGTGTTTGTGTTTGGCTGTAATTTTCCGCTTTCTCATTTACTGTTCCCATACAAATTATATATTGTTTTTTTCAGGACAAAGGGGGCTTTCTTTACATACCATTATTTATATAATCTCATGTATTTTAATTTAAAAAAAATACAAAAATCTGATGAAAAATTGAAAAAAATACATGTTTTTTGACTTTTACTTGAAAAATCTTTTACTCATCTACAAAAGCGAATGAAAAAAACTGCTAAATAGATTCCAAATTTTGTCCTGAGTTTAAAAATACCTAGTGTTTACGTGCTTTTTTGCTTTTTTTGCATGTTATAGGGCTATAGGTACAAGTAGGATATTGCGGTTTCAAAACATACATTTTTAAAATTTATCAATAGTGACATTGTAACACTATTATCTGTCATAAATCTCTGAATAACACCCACATGTACATATTTTTTTTAAAGTAGACAACCCAGGGTATTCAATATGGGGTATGTCCAGTCTTTTTTAGTAGCCACTTAGTCGAAAACACTGGCCAAGTAAGCATTCATATTTGTTTGTGTGTGAAAAAAGTAAAAAAACTAAATTGAACGCTAATTTTGGCCAGTGTTTGTGACCAAGTGGTTACTAAAAAAGACTGGACATACCCCATTTGCAATACCTTGGGTTGTCTTCTTTTGCAAATGGTATGCCATCATTGGGGTAATTCTCATTCCTGGGCTACCATACGCTCTCAAAGGCAACGTAACCAACCTGGCCATTTTCAATGTAAAAATATTTGACCCATATATTTGACCTTGTAACTTTCAGAAATGCTATAAAACCTGTACATGGGGGGTACTGTTTTACTCGGGAGACATCGCTGAACACAAATATTAGTGTTTAGAAACTGGAAAACGTATCACAACAATTATATCATCAGTAAAAGTGCTGTTTGTGTGTGAAAAATGCAAAAAAGTAACTTTCACTGACAATATCATCACTGTGATATGTTTTACTGTTTTGAATCACTAATATTTGTGTTCAGCGAAGTCTCCCGAGTAAAACAGTACCCCCCATGTACAGGTTTTAGGGTGTCGTAGAACGTTACAGGGTAAAATATAGTGCTAGCAAATTAAATTCTCTGGAATTTCGGCCTGGGTTGGCAGGCAGATCCCTCAAATTGCAATCAATAAAATTACTGAATTATGTAAAAATATTACATAAATACGCACGTAGAATTTAAATATATATGCATATTTATATATTTGAAGTCTACGTGTATATTTATATAATTATTTATGTAATTTTGTATATGGATGTATGTATATTTCTTATTATTTTTATTTATTTTTATATACATAGATATATATACAAATTCATTCTAAGTGTATTTTGATATAAATATATATATATATATATTTATTTTAAAATACAGTTAGAATAAAATTTCATATAGCTATATAATTTTTTTTAAATTTTTTATTATTTAAAAAATTTTTTATTTAATTTAAATTACTTATTATTTATAATAATATATATATACACAATATATATAGTTATTATATATATTATATATATACGTGTGTAATTTAATTAGAAGTGTATTTTTATATTAATATAAGTACATATTAATATAAAAATACACTATGACATTATATATATATATGATATATAGACATATATTATATAGATATAATATATGTCTATATATCATATATACACATATATAATTATTTATTTATTTTTTATTAACATTAACTTTATTTATTTTTTCTGATTTTACACTAGCAGGGAGACTGCCTGTCAGCACAGACAGTCCCCCTGCAGGCAGACACATGGACACCTATTGTGACCATGTGATCGCTGTGTTAAGCGATCACATGGCCACAGAGGTCCTAATCTGCCGTGGGGAGACTGCCTGGGCTGCAGGCAGTCTCCCCACAACCGGAGCCACACTGATCGCCGCCGGGGGAACGACGGCGATCAGGTAAGTAGCTCTGACCGTTAGGACGGTTCAGGACCGTCATCGGTCGGCAACGCAAAAATGCCGATGACGGTCCTGAACCGTCCTCGGTCCTTAAGGGGTTAAATAAAAATAAAAATAACTCACTGACCTCCTGCCTCAGCTCTTCAATCTGATCCTTCAGCTCCCGGATATACTGGGACGAGTCAGAATCATTCAGCTTTCCTTGTATCACCCCCTCTTCTTTCTGAAAGAGAAAATCAAATTATCCAGGACACAGCACTTACTACCAGTAACATATTGAACAGATCACTGGAAAACGTGATACAACAAGAGTGACAATGCATTCACATAAAGTCGCCGTCACCTGTATTTCAAGCTCTGCGATGCGCTGACGCATCTCCGCCACGGCTGCCATGCTGTCAGCTTCCCTCAAGCGCACAGCCATCACCTCTTCTTTATTCTAAGATTGGCACACACAGAGTTAATACTTTGAAAGGATACTGTAAGAGACAAACTGACAATCTGGAAAGACATAGTAACAGGGGAGTATATTACAGTTACTCCCACCATGTAACAATATAGATTGCACTCACCTTGCACTCAGAGACTGCGTGCCTCCGCTTATCCTCATTCATCTGGGTCTGTAGTGCTTTATTGTGAGCAGCTTCATTCTGTAGTCGTTCTCTCAGCTCCTTGCACTCTTTTTCCAGGCGTGAGAGTTGTTTCTCATGCAACAGCTCCTGAAAGAAATACGGCACCACACTTCATCCAATCAGAACATTCTGTTCCCCTAATGATCTAACCTATTCCATGTCTCTAACTAGTGAGCATCAAGATTAACTGGACATCTGCATAGAATGAAAATAAAAAGCAATCCATTCTATCTGTGAATTCTATTTACTCATCATCATCATCTCCTGTTTCGAAAACTGCAAAACTTCTATCCAATCTTATAGACACTGAACAGACTCAATCTTTAGAAATTGTTGTCACTAGTCAACCATCACTCTGGTTATGGTGCTACACTTTGTAAACCTACTCACAGCCTCACAATCTCATTGAGAATAAGATTTTAACTTCTTGTCCTGACTTACAAAGCCATTCACACGTTCCCCACTTCTTAAAACCATTGTTTTACTACTTACTCGGATTTTTCCAAGTGGACTCATCTTCAGAACTAGTTTAATAAGAAGCATACAAATCATTTTACAAAACCTGTTTTAACAAGAAAAGTAATGTATCTAGCACGGTTGTATATTTAGTTTTTATAATTGTTAGATTTGGCAAAACATTTTATTTTTTTTAATTTGCCTTATACAAGAAAGGCTAAGCCAATTAGTTTGGTAGCAAAAGCAATGAAACTGTGGAAACATTCTGTTAACCTGACTCTCCAAGACGAGTACTCTCTGTCGAAGTTCACGGGTCTCGCTTTGAGCCTGGACCTCTCGCAAACGACTTGACATCACCTCATCATGCAACTCTCCTGCTGGGGTCTTACGCGGAGAATCCTTCCAGATGCTTCCACCACGGGAAGAGAGTGACTGTGAAGCAGAAATAAATAAAAATAGTAAGAGATTTTAAAAAAAAATTGTGATATAAAAAAACACAATGGAGGGATTGTAATTTTTATTTCTTTTTAAGTCTATGCCTACATTCTTTGTGCAAATATTCAAATCTGGGAGACAGAGTAATAGAAGGACTACTAATTGGCTACAACTGTCATCCTTAGGAAATACTGTAAACATTACATAGAGTAGAAAACAGCAAATGGAAAAAGGCAGCTGAAGAGATAGAAATAAATTCATGAAAAGACTTCGATATTCACAAAGTTGCCATGTGTACACAAAGTTATTTAAAGTAACCAAATCAAATGGAGGTGGCACTTACTGAATAAGTAAAGCATTATATAATAGAAATTTTAGTGAGGACAAGTGGTGGATAGTAACATAACTTATAAAATAAATGTTGCAAAGACAACAATGCTTTTCTCTGTTTTCTGTCATTTCCTCGATTATTTGATTCTATTTAAGTGTGCTGTTCGGTTTCATTCGAATACTTGTGTACCCAAACAAAATTGCCCTGCATTCAGATCTATCATGCAAGTTATTTCAGTACCCATGGCTGGGTGGAAGTTGCTTGAAGCTCTGCCCTTTGTCACAATTTGCCAGAAATCCACATTCAGTCCCTACTTTATCTCATGCATATATTTTGACTGCGCTGGAATGTAAATAAAATTTCAACACAAAAAGATTTTTTATAAAGTTTAGGAAAACAAGAAATGACAGGTTTGCTTTAAGGACTGTGCGGCAAATGCCACCAAGCACACCGTTAAAACATTGTTAAAGGTTATAACAATTGCCTGGCTCCCTGTGTCCACCTCCCCTCCATAGTGATCCAGCAAGTGCCTCTCTCTGTTCCAGCTAATACCGCGAGTCTGAACTTCCTGAACACTTCAGCGGGATGTGTCGGTTTCCCGTGGAACTTTTGCCCATCATGGTTTCATTTCATCGTGGTTTTCCCCCCCTTTCCCAACGTCCAATTAGAGTGCTTTTTGGAGGGACCGTCAAGCAAAGGGAACAATCGCTACCTACGAGCCAGGGGACCCTCCGTGCCACTTGGCACACCAGAGACCCCGTCAAAACACCGGAATATGACTTCAAACCTCTGGAACAGTTTTCGGTCTAGACTGTTCTACCAGTCCGTGTAAACTTTGACATGTCAGTGTTTGGGGATGTTTTACATAGGGAAAAAAACAAAAACAAACAAACCCGGTATAGGCTCTCTGTATCTGGAAGATAATTTAGCAAGCTTTGGCACAATTATCTCCCAGACACAGAGATGCCATGGAGGGCTCTGCAATGTAATGAATGGTGATCCCATGCTGAGGGTCTGTGCATAAAAAGCTGCATTGTGTGCAATAAAATCAGTTATTATTTCTAGCATAATGTACCATCTGTTGTCTGGGGAATGGAATTATAATCACTGAAGCGTCACTGTACCAGCTGAGGGGAGAATCTAGCGGAGGTAACTAGTCAGGATACCGGGGATCCGCTACAGACTGCTATTGGCATCTTAAGAATAAATACAGAGAACTTTGGAATGAAAAAGTTGGTCACACACAAAGCAAAAACACTAACAGAGAATGTAATAATGAACAAGGCTATAATAAGTGGATGAGATTATATTAAAAGTGCAACTCACCTGCCACTTGTCACTCAGCTCTGTCACTTGTTTTTGCCCTTCCCGCATAACCTGAAGAGCGTGGGCTTCTCTCTTCCGCATAGATTGGACCTCTTCCTGGAGCATGGCAATATTACTCTCATCAGGAAGAGAGCTGCTCCTCTGTAGGAGGAAGAAGATTAATTAACCCTAATCCCAGTCATTGTGGTATGAACACTATCCAATTTCACAGGTAAGATTCAATAGGAACATATCCCTTGCATTCATTATGGTATGACCCATCAATGAGATGCTGTCACACTTTCTCAAAATCTGGACCTCATGGACAGAGGCTATTTCCTGGACTCCCCCCTGGACCTGCTGGTGGCATAGATCTGCAAGATACATTGCTGCTAGGACATACATTTCCATTTTTCCACAACTCAGCCCTTTACCACCCATCCGGTTTCTCTTGCCTCTTTCTTCTACTGCATAAGACGAACATGGAACTGTATTTTAGGGATTCCACTAATGGGAGAACTTGGCAAGTTATTTAATTACTTGTCGCCGTCTTCTCTGTTGGGAGATTTGATTCTAATGCCTGGCTTTTACCTTGCCAAGCAAACATTTCAAGAAACATCTTAATTACATTTATAAAAAAAAAAATATATATGATAAGCCAGGAAAAGCATCATACCTTCTCCAGCTCCACCACCTTCTCCTGCATCTCTTTAAGGGCTCCCAGAGTCTCTGCTTCCCTGAGCCGCGACTGTTCAAGCTCAGATTCCAGATGATGCACCAGCTCCTCTGTTACCCGTGGGTCACTCTGTAAGATGGAGATGACTGAATAATAACCCCTGAATATTTTAAGTAACCTGCCTTGAAGAGAAATTTGTACCTGGCTTTTTGAAAAGCCACTTAGGCTTCACAATAACTTGGACTTCTTTTGTGGAAGCAAAATATTAATTTAAAGAACGTTCTAGACTGTTTGCCTTTCACACAACTGGTTTCCCTTTTTCAGATGAACACAACATTTTCCCTATATTGGTGTTACATTGATCAGTAAATGAAACACAATTAAGGCTTACATTAAAAAAATTGAATTAATAAGTGGAATCTACATACAACAAAAATAAATTAATGCAGCCTCTCCATGGACATGTGGGTGACTAAATACTAAAAATAATACAAATAGGGGGGCGTGTCTTAGCGGCGGACGAGGACGGACGCGTGAGTGCTGAGCTCCTCTGCTGTATGGTGTTCGCAGCATAGTCACGGCGTACACCCGACCGCAAAAAACAACAGAACGGTGGGTAAACACCTGCCGCATACCACAGATACAAATGGCGACGAAATCGTGCAAGAAGTTGAAGCAGAAAACGCTTCAAATGCACCTCACCTCGGCCACCATGCTGGATATGGCAGGACAAGATGGCGCCGACGGCCCGAGCTCACCAACCTCCATTTCGGAAGTAAGTGATCCTGCTCACAGCATGGCTGACTACTCTGCCCCAGTTACAACTGCCACTCTCAAATCCTTACTTGCAGACCTCAAATCCACATTCCACACAGACCTCATGCAAATAGCATCAGACATCAGGTCAGACATACAACAAGTGGGAGACAGGACTGCAAAGTTAGAAGAAAGGGCAGATGAAATAACAGACGCCCATAACTCTCTGGCAGACGCTTATACTGAACTACAAGACAAAATTAAAAAGCTAGAAGACAAAGTGGCCGACCATGAGGATAGAGATCGGCGTAATAACATCAGGCTGAGGGGGATCCCAGAATCAGTGACACCGCAAGAGCTGCAATCCTACGTACAAGGCATCTTTAAAGTATATGTGCCAGAATTAACGGGTGGAGAGCTCTTACTCGATCGGACCCACAGGTTGCCCAAACCAAAACATCTGGGCCCACAAACCCCCAGAGATGTAATCACGAAGTTACATTACTTTACTACTAAAGAAAGAGTTATGCATGCAGCGCGACGAAACCCTCCCCCACCGGGGCGATTTAATCAAATTAAGCTATTTATTGATCTATCTGCATCAACGATGATGAAAAGGAAAGCCTTTGCCCCCATCACTGCAGCACTACGAGAGGCAAATATCCAGTACAAGTGGGGCTTCCCAACCAGACTCTTAATCAAACGCAATGGGACAGATTCCAGTATTGCTTCTCCCGAAGAAGGAAGGAAAATATAATCAAATCTAAACCCAGACAATTGTGACAGAGAAGATTAAATAATTTAATATTTAACTGTCTATATATATAAGGTACCATTGTATGGAAAGGGTAAACTTAGTTCATGATCTGTCATATCAGAAATTATGGCAGGAATTGCAGACGCTAAGTCTGGACAAAATTTAAGAAATCCTTTGAAATTTTAAATTATGGCGCTATAAAGATAACGCAAAATGACGTCAAAATAGCCACCAGGAAAAGTTAACTCTTTCCTGGATAGGTATGTTTAGTGGGACAAGACTGCCCTCTACAGACCAAATAACTAATTTGCGATCTGGAAGATAACCACACCTCTAGTGCTTCTATTGGGTTATCAACTGATGACGTACAGAGAGTCTGGCCCTTTAAAAGTTAAGACAAAGGGAAGATAGAGAGATACGAGAGAGGAGGCAGATGCAAGATATGCAAAGGAGAGAAAGGAGAGGAATTGGAAGTTTGGGGACTCCAACTCGGACAACATCTGAGACTAACACTCTACTCCTAAAACTCTAACACTTAGAATTTACTGACTTTCTAACCAACACCTCCATGCAGAGAGACTACCAATCGGATGAAATATCTACTCAACTGGTAATTATACTGGTTTCATTTAATTAAATTAAATTAATTAAAATGTATTAATAGCATTATATATGACTGGATAAAGCACGGTCAGATTTCCATATTAAGAAATCTTAGTTAACTAAAGAATATATAGTTATAAACATTCCATTCTGCAGGTGGAATTAAGAATAATTATATATTGATGTGATATTATCACGTGTTAGCATACCGCTGTTTTTATCCAGGTGTATTGATTTGCTCTAAATTAAGATAGATATCTTTTAGACAAATTAAAAATCTGCTTATATAATGTTAGATTCTCTTATTGGATGGTTTAAGAAAATGAATTTAAACTGGATTAAATGTTATTTTATTTAAAATGACATCAGAATAGATCTTAACTACCTAGGAGATCTAGCCAGCATTGAAAGGGTTATTCTAACTGTCGGCTAAACTTTACGACCTTACGCTGCACTCTGAGGAATTCTGTTCTCTGTGTGAAAAGTTTCACTTTCAATCTGTGTAAGGATACCTCATAAATCTTCAGAATTCTTGACAGAAAATGCTAGTTAGCCATTGAAACGTAATACCCATTCCTTTGTATTGCATACCATTTTATACTGAATATTCATTGATTATTGTCATGCATGTTACATAATATTATTTGTTAATTATTGGTTATCATAAATAAAATCTATTTTTATACATTGTGGTTATTTATATGAAATACTTTCCACTTAACACGATAAACGTTCTTTGGGATCTGAGAATTGAAATAGTGGGCAATTCTCAACTGTTACTATTATTATCCCATAAATATCCCCACAACATGACCTCTACAAAGGGACGATAAGTATACTCATTTGATGTGCCTAACCCATGTCACACGGCTATATTACTGTTGATATGAAAAAAAAAAAAAAAAAGAAAATCAATAGAGAATAACAATGCCTGTATATATCTAAATCGTGTATGCCTTGTCATGGTCTCAGCAATTGTAACACCGTACGGAGCACTACGTCCAGTACGGATCTCTTATGTGCATAGACCCACCAATCTGTTGCTGGTCACCTACCCCCCAAAGTGGCTTAATTTTGAGCCGCATCATTAACCGTTTTCCACCTTTTGGTCGACTTCGTTTGACCGACGGTTTTATGTACATAGTTTGCATGTTTTTTCTTATGTTTTTACCCTCTTTTTTGTGTTTGTGTTCTGACAACCATGATTTTAGTGTACAGACTTGGCTTATTCTCAAGACCCTAGGGATACCAGTATTACCCCTCCACTTTATCCACCCATGGGACCTAAATACCAGGCCACTACATATACCTTATCTACCAGGTATAAATTGGGATGACCGACATATATGCTGGACCTTTGGTCACCGGGCAACGCCCACAGATGGGTGGGAGATTCACCGACTCGCGACGGGAGGGCTAGATGGTCCCAATCCTCCCACTTGTACCATGAGACCGTTGAACGTACACCATGGTGCTTAATATCTGTTCCCTGAATGCCAAGGGGCTCAACTCTCCGCACAAGAGGCGACTAGCGCTAAAGGAGGTTAAATCCCTAGATGCCCATGTGGCATTCTTTCAAGAAACACATTTTAAATGGGGCCAACGTCCAAAATTTACTTCCATAGCATACCCCATAGACTACCATGCTTGCTATGCAAAAAAGAAAAGAGGAGTGTCCATCTTAATAAGCAAAGATGTGGCTTTCTCCCTAGTTCGTAAACTTGGTGACAAAAAAGGCAGATATATAGTGTTACAATGCTATGTTAACAACAACCCATATACGTTTATAAATGTGTATAGCCCTAATGATCAGCAAATTGATTTCTTGGAACTGGTTTTGTTGCTCTGTACCAAACACGCCTTTGGAGAGGTGATAGTGGGGGGGACACAAATTTTTTGTTAGATGATTGTCTAGACTCTTCACACCAGAAACCCCTACAGTCCCAGACCATCAAAGCCAGGAGGAAACTAATTACTCGCATTAGGCACACCCTTACAGCGCACAATTATGTAGATCCATGGCGCATACAACACCCTAGCGAAAGGGACTTTACTTGCCACTCAGCAGCGCACAATTGCTATTCCAGGATAGACCGATTTCTGGTTCCCTTAAGGATGCTCCCCAAAATAGAAAGTACCCACATCGGACTCATTAGCTGGTCGGATCACGCACCGGTTACTATGTCCCTGACAGAAAGATTCCAAACTAAAGGCCGAGGCAGCTGGCGCTTAAATGATTGGCTATTGAAAGACCCGAGTGTAATAGACCAGGTTAAACAAGATCTACAGCACTACTTCCAAGACAATACAGAACAAAATTCCACCCCGGATCAAATCTGGTTAGCACACAAAGCAGTTATTAGAGGGTGCTTCATTAAACACGCTAGTTACGCCAAAAAGAAACGCCTCGAGAACTACACTAACATCCTGAAGGAACTTGCTGAGGCCACACACTCAAATAAACTAACTCCAACCCCCACTCACCATGCCACTATCTTACGACTGCAGAACCAATTGCGCGACTTGGAACTGTCTAAGTCAACGACACTGCTAAGACGCATGAAACATAACTTCTTTGCGTCAGGTAACAGAGCAGGAGCCAAACTGGCTTCCCAGCTAAAAACACGTTCCACAGCTACTAAACTCTCACACCTCCTGGACGCTAAAGGAGGGAAAATACTAGACCCGCAACACATAGCAGACACGTTTGCTACCTACTACAGCAAATTATACAATCTCAACACAGATCCACAAGTGCCCACCCCCGCCACCACAGAAATAAACAGGTTCCTATCAGACCTTACGCTCCAGTCTCTGAGCGAGGACGACGCGGATTCACTCCTCACCCCTCTCACCATAGAGGAGATATCTGCCACAATTGAATCCCTTCCGACGCAGAAAGCGCCCGGACCAGATGGTCTGTCTAACGCCTACTACCGCACGTACCAAACAACACTAGCCCCCCATTTACTGAACCTTTTCAATCACAGCATACAAAAAGGGACGCTACCGGACGAATTATTGTTAGCCCATATCTCGACGTTGCCCAAACCAGGGAAACCACCGACAGAGTGCAAAAACTTTAGACCCATCTCCCTTCTCAACTGTGACGCAAAGATATATGCCAAAATTCTCAGTAACAGACTGGCCAAATTCCTGCCCAAACTCATACACAATGACCAAACCGGTTTTATCAAAGGCAGGCAGGGTTCAGACAATTCCAGGAAGATATTGAATCTCTTAGCAGAACTAGAAAGAACCAAAGGCCAAGGCCTCTTCTTGGCGCTGGACGCATAAAAGGCCTTTGATAGGCTCAACTGGGCTTATATGCAGAAGGTTCTCCACAAATTTGGCTTTCCTCCTCTTATCATATCCCAAATCATGGCACTATACACCACCCCAGCTGCCAAGGTGTCCTGTGGCGGTTTCCTCTCCTCGAAGTTCCACATAACGAATGGAACTAGACAGGGCTGCCCACTCTCTCCCCTGTTGTATATCCTCTCCCTAGAACCCCTGGCCCAAAAGATCAGGGATCACGAACATATGCGAGGTATAACCGTTAAAGGAAAAGAATACCGTCTTTCTCTTTTTGCGGACGATGTTATAATATCCCTCTCAAACCCAAGACGGGCGCTACCTCACATTCTCGATCTGCTGACACAATTTGGAAAGGTCTCCCATTACAAATTAAACCGAGACAAAACACAGGCGCTACCTGTTAACACACCCCAAGACGATTTAGTCACCTTAAAATCCTCTTATCAATTCGACTGGAGAGTTAGCACCTTAACGTACCTGGGGGTTAAAATATCTCCTACAATAGCAGGAATTGTAAAACACAATTACACGCCTCTATTACAGTTATGCACGAAGGAGTTGGCGGGTTGGAAAACGACCCACCTATCCTGGCTAGGTAAGATTAACACGTTCAAGATGATGACACTCCCAAAACTCCTCTATGTGTTTCGCATGCTCCCTCTCCCGATACCCGCTGCACTATTTAAGGTACTACAATCTTCCTGTAACACTTTCGTTTGGGGGGGCAAAAAAGCGAGGTTGCCACTTAAGCTACTACAAAATACACCTGACAGAGGGGGAGTGGGCCTCCCTAACATCCACCTCTACTTCAAAGCAGCTGCCCTGGCAACATGTATAGCGGCACACTCACCCCAAGGCCATACACAATGGGTGGATATGGAGAGGGACCAATTTCAAGACAAGTCCATGACGGACTACCTGTGGACCCCAAAACGCCTCCGGTACAAGCACACACCTCTTTTCCCTACCACTAGGCTGACCATACTGATGTGGGATTCCTTTATGGCCCAAATAGGCTACAGTCATAAACTGCACCCCAAGGCCCCCCTAACGGCACTAAAAACCATAACCCAATCACTTTCTCTTTCCCACTGGACACGCATGGGTTTAGACAGACTTGAGCACCTCTTGGAAGACAATCGTAAGGTAATACCCTTCTCAGAACTAAGGAGGAAATGGAACGTGCCTGCCCAGGACACTTTCAAATATTTGCAAATCAGGAGTATACTGACTTCCCATGCTTTGCCCCCGCCAACTCCTACCAGCATGAATAACCCACTAATGCCCTCTCTGATTATGCTTAGATGTAGGGATACACCGAACAAGCCTAAAGCCCTCTCCATTTGCTATAGAACGTGGCTAGCAATGCCACCAGATGTACCTCCGCTGTGCAAGAAACAATGGGAGGAGGACTTAGGTACGGACCTACCGGATGGTACCTGGTTGGGTGCCCTGAACGGCCTGTCCAAATGGACAAAATGTTATTCCCACATAGAAGCCCACAAAAAACTACTATACAGATGGTACCTTACCCCGACCAAGCTACACAAAATATACCCAACTGTGTCTCCCCTGTGCTGGAGATGTGGAGTGGAGAAGGGCACGATAATGCATATTTGGTGGTCCTGCACTGGCATCGCACCTTTGTGGGAGGATGTGGGAACACTTCTGAGGCAATTGGGACCCTCAACTTTCTCCCCGTCCATTTCCAATTGCATATTATTGATACCAGATAAAAAGGTAGAATCAATCTATCACCAACTGGTGGCGATAACCTCGTTAGCAGCTAGAAACCTCATAGCGACAAATTGGAAAAGCACAATATGCCCACCCAGGTCACAATTAAAGGATAAATTGCAACAATATTATATTTATGAAAAAATGTCCCTAAGCTCCCCCTCCCAAGCCCTCAGGTTCCGAGAAACCTGGTGCAAGTGGACCCAGCTGACAAACCAGCAAGCCACGTGAGATGACATTCTGGGTTCCAATACTGACCTCTAGACCCCGAAAGGATTGATCAACAATCTTGGGAAATGTGCCACCAAGCAGATTACACTTTGTCCCCCTGTTCTGTTTCTCCCGTCTCCTTCCTCATACCCGTCCCTTCCCTAGTTTACTACTAACCCCTTCTGTCTATGCTATACACAGATGCATGCGGGACCATCTCGCAACCACTTGCAGATATATGGTATGCCAATTGGCAAGTTATTGAACTACAACCTTATGATGACTATGTTAGACTGTATTAACTACCTACTTATGTTGTAAGCAAGCTGCGACTTGCACTACTAATATGTTATGGTATGTGTACATGCGACTGTGTACGGTGTTTTGCCCACTTGTTGTAAAACCAATAAAATACAATTTGAAATAAAAATAATACAAATATTTCCTAACATTTTTAAAGGGTAAATCTGTGTCATGTCCCATCCAAATTTAGTTTTAGCAAAGTACATATATAAGAAAATTGATGAGCTGACAGTCACATCTCTACCTAATATAGAGTATCCAAACCCAAATAACATTACAGGCAAGAACATAGAACATTAACCACCAATATAAGAGAAGATCAACCTAACTACTTCAAAAGCAGAGAGGCAAAAAATTATTTCACCAAAGAAAACTGTATCTTACAATGTATCAAAATCTGTTTATAACCTGGAAAAAAAACAAAACCTGAGACACAGCTTTGGTAATATTCTTAAATGACACAAAACACAGAGTTATACAGAATTGAAAACTGAATTTCAAAATGTAGGTAAATGAAGCAGATTCAGAAAAATTCTTCAACTCCGCTATAGTCACTGCTGAGCAATGTTTGCAATTCACACAAATTTGGGGTTTGTCAAGACATTTTGAGGTTATGATCAACCTTTAGTAAACTGGATTTATCTCTTAAGGAAATGCTACCTTTTCAAGTGAGGCAAAATAATTCCTATCTCAAATCAAAATATACATAAAACAAAAACAGCAATATATTTAGCAGGAGACAGTAAAGTGCTCTCCAGAGTTTTCCATTAAAAAAAACAAAAAACACAGAAAACCGGTTTTCATTTGTAATATTCATATGATGCTGAAATGATAAACTGTTCAGAATGGTGACAAACAGGACATTGCGTGAATAGTCTTTTCTGTCATCCATACCTGCTTGTCCTGTAACTGCCGGATAAGGCCTTGAGCGCTCTGCAGGTTCTCAGCAGCTGTGTAGTATTGTTGTTTAACCACAGCAAGCTCCCGCTTTATAACGTAGTTCTCTTCTGCCTCCTGGGCGCGGGTCACCTGACCCTGTGTAAAGGGAAACCAGAAAACAAAATAGCATCCATTATTATTCCTCAAAAGGGAATTAGTCACCAACCATCCCTCACCAAATTTTGCTCATCAACTTGTGGATTTGTCTTTTCAGCCCAACAAAGTATCACAAAGGACAGATATATTTTCCTAGCTAGGTACTCTGAATAAAGAATGTTGCACAAATACATCTAATCTGAAAAGATTCATGGAGAAAACTACTTAAGAGAGGACCAGCTCTACCTTTCACTCTCCTTAAATAAATGCCATATTGCTTATTCCTTTCACCTCTCCTGATAGTCCCTGCTGCTAGAATTTAGCCAAGAGAAAGATGCATTTTAAGCCCCAGCAAGGCACAAGACAGCTGCATTATATCTCCCTATGGTGTATTCAGTGAGGGACAGCAAATCCCTCATACTTCAATATGAGGGATTGCTGAAGTTTCCTTCTTATAAACTCCCCATGTATCATTTAGTGGGTTTGCACATCTTTTCTACCACTGTATAAATAAAAGGTGCACGTGGTTTAAGATATGTCTGACCATGACTGCCACATGGATAACATATTCTTATGCACAATTCCCTGTATCCAAACAACCTAATCACACCCTTTTAATTTCGAATTTCATTCTCTTATATACATCATGCTTAGTCCCAAACTAGTTTCTCCCCCCCCCCCCAAATATTTTCCAATCATCTGTATTTCTATGCAAGTGAAGGGAAAAAGGAAATGAGAGGTAACTGTACCTGTATCAGCCTGTCCGCTAAGGCCGCACTTTCCTATCAGATCGCAGACGATAGTCCACAGAGAACAGAAGAGAAAGGGGGAGGGGGAGCCAAAGATGATGGAAATAAAGATGGAAAGGAAGGAGAGATGAGCAAGAAACGGGATGAGAGAAAACACATGGGGAACAGGGAAAGAGGGGTTGATAAAAGTGAAGGAAAGAAAAAAAGATTTGAGAAGAGGGAGAGAGAAAGAAAGAGGTAACCACCACCGCACTACAAGAAGCAGGACAGAGTTAGACAGGTGCAGATTCTTCTATAAACATCATTCTGCCCATTAATTATGAGCAACAACCAACATTCAACGTTCTAATTGAAAGACATCACTAGAGGAGAATTAAAAATGGCCATCTTTAGACAAGTAGTTCATGGATGTTAGTATGAGAATTTTGTTTTTGTAACCTTCCATGCTAAGAGTTAAGGGCATATTATGGGTAATTGGCACCAGATCCTTAAAAGTGCAGCCATGTTTAATGATCCAACGAGGAAAGATTAGGAAAAAAGAGGAATATGGCTTAACCATATTCTGTGTGGTAGGGGTTAACAAGTGTTGAAATGTTTCATGATGTTAGAATGACAGCAAATTCTTACCTTTTCTAGTGTTTCAATGCGCTGCTTTAAAAGTCTGTTTTCTGTCCGTAGCCGCTGCATTGTAAGAAGATAGATAAGAATTGTCCAATATTCAGACAGATAGCCATGTAAAGGAAACATGGGAGCACACAATTACATATATGTTTATACATCCAAACAGCAGTGTTCAGTGTCAAACTAGAGTGCCCCTTTAAAACAAACATCATGGGCTTTTTCATTTTAATTTTGACAGTTTTAAAATCCAGTTGGACTAAAATCCTGGGTTTCCCCACACGTGCTTGCAATATATCTGGTTTCCTGAGGTCCAGGTACATCCTACAGTTGCCCTGACAACTTTATGATGTATTTAAGATGCCCCCAGTCTCTCCCGGTTGCTAAATTCCTTATGTTAGATAAACAACAAACTTACACCGAGGGGGCGCCAGAAAGAGAGCTCTCAAGTGAAGCTCCACTGTTGGGCTGAAACATTGAAATAAATAACCGGGTGAACATTTAAATAAAATAATTGAACTGGAAACTGGGGTATGCCATTATAGGATGAGATATCCAATCAAACAACACGATCTGGAAAACAAGAGGGTACAACCCAGGATTTTGTGTGGCTGGCTGGCAAATGTTTACCATTAAAAAATGTTATGTATAAATACCATTTTGTATACCTACAAAGGCAATTCTCTGACTCATTACAAGGTTAAGGTTTGTGAATATCCTTAGCACTTCAAGTATATTGGAAAACTACCCCCCCTTCATTCTCCCAGTAGATATATAATCAATACAGAGTAGCAGGCTACCCAGCAGTGGTAGGAAAGACAAAGTACCACCTGGAAAGCCTCCTGGTAGCCAGAGAGGGACTGACAGTGAAGTGGGATGGGTATGGATCCCAAGCCAGAAACCAGCCAACTTCATTCCTGCTAAAATAAAGTAAAATCTAGTCTCTGTATTGAGAAAACATACCATCAGATTCTACCTCAGTCTGTTAAGGTATATGGCTCGCTAGCCCTAATATTCTAGTTCATGTGTCTTGGTTCTAGGATATTCACCACAATCTGAAAATAGGAAGAGCGCACCTTAATTTCAATTTGTTCCTCCATTTCTTTGCTTTTAATCGCAGCATATTCTTTTTCTAGCCTGTAGAAAGGAAAAAAAAAAAATCCAATATTTAAAAACAAACATTGTTTGAGCCACTGTTTTGGAAATCTGCCTCTCATTTCCATCTGCCACACTTTACCAACTCAATTCCTGAGAACACATTTTAGAAAACGGAATAGTAAATGTATGTCAATTCTCCTGCTAATTTAGTTTGAACAGGTTTGAAAGGGGGTCATTCGTACCTTTTCATTTTCTTTGGGTTGTATTTGACTTGATAAGCCTTAAGAATCAGTTTGTCTGGACAGCTGTCAAACTGGTGTGGGATTACTTTCTGGAAATACTAAAAAAAAAACAAACAAAAAAAACCACAAAAATAAAGTCAAAACGAACATACATATTTATTCCATTCAAAAAATAAAAGTGCTATGTAAAATAACATAACCTAAACTTTGTCAAAACCAAGGGAACTCAAACTCTTTAAAATGTTTTCGGTTTGTTAATGCTAGTATTCTATATGGTCAATTAAAGGAAAAGACGGGACTATTCGGTTTGTGTTTGATGGCGGAGTAATAACGTGCCCCATTTGAGCATGAACACAGACACTTACATGCAGATGAAAGAAATATCCTAGAGTAACGGCGCCCAAAAAGGTAGATCCCAGATGTTATAGAACTACAACGACCATGGAAACTGTAGTTTTAAAATACCTGGTGATCTACCTTTTGGGCAGCCTAGAGTATAAGAATGAGACTAAGAACTGGCTCATGTAATCACCTAATAATTCATTGACACCAACCATTCTTTGTGGATTCAGGCCTACAATAGAATATGTTGAGGAGATTTTGATCTCATCCTCTAAATAAATAAACCTTACTGTAATCAGGACCAATAACCTCTTTTAGAACCCAAAGACTAAAAGAAAAAAAAAAAACAGAAAAACCCCAACAACAAGAACTTATTCGTCCCACATGTTTCCATGGCTATTGACCCATTTTTAGTTCTTTACAACAGTGAGGAGATAGTCGTGTACTAAAGTTTACACCACAAAAAGATCTGTATAAAATGGATACACCCTTTTTATCCTATATCAATCCAAAGATCAAGAATGCCAGCACATTGAACCCATGTGTCTGCACACAATCAAGAAACCTTGCTCTGCAAAAGTACTGTATTTTGTCTTGTGCTGAATATCAATAGTATTCAGTCAGTGGAGTGATCCAATGTCACTGAATCATTACTATAACAATAAAGCCAGTGTTTAAATAATACATATTGACAACAGAAAAATAAATTCATACACTGAGGCATTAAAGAGCACATACATACCCCTTCATAGCACATACACAAGACTTTTCATTGTGTTTTAGTGAATGTGAATTCCCACAAGGAAACTACTGTTTCAATCATTTAAGTGATAGACAGATAAAGAATATATTCCATGGGTTAAAAGACACACAATTAGGTTTGATATAGAACTACATTAGATAGCCTCTGAAGTGGACCGGTTCTGTACAAATGTACTGAAGGCAAATCTCCTTTAACCTATACATCAAGCTAGGAAAATTGAAAGTAAAATTACAGATTTCAAGATACAAATTCCTGAAGTTTACTTCCTACTTGATTAGTGGGCATGTATTTCATTATAATGCGACACAAGACATCCCATCATGCAAGGCTCACAGTCTAGTGAAAGGTGTTGAGAGATCCTTGACTTGGCATTGTGGAAGAAAATACATGCACATAGACCCATTGCAAGTAAGCGATAGTAAATAAGTTTGAAAGGTTTTCCTATTGTAATAGCAGAAAAGACTGCCTAAGCATTTAAAGGAACACTGTAGGCACCATACCACTTCAACGGATTGGAGTCCATGGACACCAGGTCTGGCATTACTACTACTCTGTTTACTCATCGTTTAGCAGTGATTTTGATCAGCCTGGAGTACAGCCTCCAATGATAATATGGCAGACGCAGAGCTATGCTTAGGCCTTGCGGTATGCCAACTAATACCAGGGATTGGGCCAGTGATTGACATAGAGATTAGCTGATGCACTCAGTCGGTCACTGCCCACTACCCTTTGCATAGTATGAAGTGGAGCAAGCTTCATCTCTGCAATTTAATCAATGGATGCCAGGCTGCAGGTGACCAAGAATCTCTACTAATGAGTGAGAGACAATTTAGTAGTGATGTAGGACCGGGCAGCCAGGCTCCATAATCACTCCAATTTCTTGAAGTGGGTATTATGGGATGCCAGACTTTATAATGTAAGAATAAAAAGCTTAATTCAGACAAGCAACTATATAATTACCCTCTTTCTTATGAATGTACAAGAAACAAAACCACTTAAGTAAGGATAATAAACAAAACAATGACTTAATGTTTTTCCAATCTTTCCACTGCTTATCAGGGCAATGAATGAAAGGAAGTTTACCTGGGACATGCCCTCCATGTCTAACTGCATAAGCTCAGTTTGGTTCACGGTGAGCAGTGCCATACCAACACGAAATATGACCTCCAGCCCCTATATAAAAAAAAAAAAAAAAAAGTCACAACAAGTAAGACAGATCTTATTGCAGAATAAGCATTTGCTGCCCACAGTGAACACAGTATTTCAGTATAATGTAGTTCATTGGATCTTATTCGTTTTCTAGGAAATAATAGAGGAGCACAATGAGAGCAAAATCTGTTTAAATGCAGGGTCTATTTGGTACACAGTGAAGCAAAGTTGCAAAGTTCCTGAAAGCTTAAGAAGAGGGATACACAGCTGTGGCGAAACCGGCCTCGCCACGTGTCCTTGGAGGGGGCTGCTTGCCCGCCTCTTGCCTTTGGACTATGGACCAGACTTTATGTGAATGTGTTAACCCAGATAGCTATGCCATGGAGCTCATTCGTGTAGTTAAAGACTTCGGCTCCATGGCAATTAAACTGTGTGAATAGGATCTGAGCGCTATTCGGTAGTTTTGTGCGCTCAGATCCCAGCTATCTGGGGTTATGTGACATGTCTGTGTTTTATGTATAAAATGTGACTGTGTATTTTATAATATTTTAATGCTTTGTGCTCACCATGTGCATAATGGAGTCTTGTGTCTGTCCTGGGAGATAATTGAATTACTTCTCAATTCAATCTCCAGGATAGAAGACTCTGAAACTGGTTTGGGCCGGAAAGCCATGCTTCATTTAGTCACAAAGGACTTTCCCTTAACTTTTGAACCCCTGGTCTGATTCGTGCCATTTTTTAATATGTTGTTCCCCTGAATGGATTGATTATGAAAATGTATGTTTTATGTTTGTGACATGTATATTTTAGAAGTTATAAATATTGTGTAAAAACTGTATTCCTCTGCCGGTGACAATGAGATTACCCATTGTGTTCAGTAATCATATCACAGGCAGAGGGGAGGAGTTTGTGTGGGAGTGTCTGGGTGTATTGTACGGATTGATTGGTTGTTTTGTAACGCCCTGTGGGTTGTACTATGTTTGTGGATTGGGAATAAAAGAGACTGTATGTGACAGTACAGGGAGTTCCTGCTTAAAGGACCACTATAGTGCCAGGAAAACATACTCATTTTCCTGGCACTTTAGTGCCCTGAGGGTGCCCCCACCCTCAGGGTCCCCCTCCCGCCCGGCTCTGGAAGGGGGAAAGGGGTAATAACTTACCTTTTTCCAGCTGGGCGGAGAGCTCTCCTCCTCCTCCTGGCTGAATGCGCACATGCGAGCTGCGCGCGATTCAGCTCGTCGCATAGGAAAGCATTCATAATGCTTTCCTATGGACGCTGGCGTGCTCTCACTGTGAAAATCACAGTGAGAAGCACGCAAGCGCCTCTAGTGGCTGTCAATGAGACAGCCACTAGAGGATTAGGGGGAAGGCTTAACCCATTCATAATTATAGCAGTTTCTCTGAAACTGCTATGTTTATGAAAAAATGGGTTAACCCTAGAAGGACCTGGCACCCAGACCACTTCATTAAGCTGAAGTGGTCTGGGTGCCTAGAGTGGTCCTTTAACCCTCAAAGTGAAGTGTCGTCTCATTATTGGGGGAAGGATTTATTGTATGCTGTTCCAGTTTGACTGCTAGGAGAGTAAACCTATTCGTATGGTACCTATTCAACTGTCTACAGCATTAATATGCTGCAGTGCTTGGAGTCCTCAGGAAGCACTAGGAGCATCCTTTAACGGAGGTACCCAGTCGGGGTGCCAGGTGATCCGTTACAACAGCCATCTCCTTGAGGTCACATTGCAGTTTAACATAATATTGGGGAGAAGCATAGTTTATTTTATGAATGTAACTTCTAATTAATAGCTTGCCACATTAGCAGCAGTATTCCTGATATGTTCAGCTGACAGCTCTGGTAATAAACCTGACACTTACATTTGTAAGACTAATGGGATAAATGACCCATAACACATCCATCAAAGCTGTTCCCCAAGTTTAATAAATTGGTCACTCACCTCATATATGAAAATATCAAAAACACGGGTGGCCACAGGCAGAGGGAATGTAGTGAGGAACAAGGTTAGAAACCAGGAAGAGGCATACATAGAGGTGTGGAAGCAGTGGGAGCGAAAGTGAAGGTTTAATTCAGGAAGTTGGTCCTGAAATTGAAAAAAATAAATAAATTTAAAAAAAAATACATGTTTACAAAAACAAAAACCACAAAATAGTAACATTCACTCCTGTTGAGATTTACCCCAGGGCTTCATTAGCATTAAATATGGACTAGCTCTTTGTTTAAATAATGCATAAGGTTCTACTTAATACTTCCCACCCACTTTTATTTATCATACCTGGCATTTTATCTATTCTCTGTATCAAGTTTTAGTACTACTTACTAGATCTCAAAGGTATATGATTTGCTAGAATATTTCCGGAAATGAGCTACCAAATGCCATAGCTTCAGAAAAAAACTTTTTTTTTTTGGTTAAAACATTTGCAAGTTACCTCTGCAGAATTAACTTGGATTAATGGAATTCATTTACCAAATATGTAAACATTGCACAGACAGGCTCATGCAACAGCTGAAAACCATTTGGACATGAATGCATCTAAAATGGAAAAACATTTTTACATATATATTCCTAAAAAAACATTTTAGTGAATGAAATGTAATTTAAATATATATATATTTTTAATTTAAATAAACCATTTGTATCCACCCTACTTCACACACAGTGACAGTAGTACCATTATCCATGAATAGCACAGCTTTTTGAAGTATAGGCTTAGAGCACGTGTGAACATAAGTGCACGGAGGTCTGCGCTTAATTTTAGAACCAGTTGGGAAAACATGCTTGAACAGTAGGAAGAAAATGTAGCCCTAGGATTACGGAGCAAAAATGTAGTCCACTGTAAAACGGCATCTGAGTGTAGAATAAGATATGATCAATATAATTACAGCATACCTGCAACATGTACTCCAGCTGGTATATACACAGGCCCAGCTCAGCCATGCTTGGTTTGAAGAGTTCCCTCAGTCGGTACTCTTGCATGAGCCGAACAAACACACAGAAGGCCTCCTCTTCTGGCATCTACATGAGGACAGAAAACAAATAAGGAAGAAATTACACAAAACAAAACAGAGGTGAACCAGATGTACAAGAAAAGACCTCACCTGCATTAGAAGTAGGCCCACAATGAAGGCACTGCCCTGACAGTATCCTACTTCTCGGTCTATTAAAGAATATGCCTAGCAGGAAAGAGAAACAAAAATAAATAAATTCTGAATTGAAAAGGTCTTGCACACTTCCCATCTATTCAGTTAATTGCTGCTCCACATCAGAACCACAGTAGAATAGCCTAACCATGTGTATGATGACAACATTTTTGTCGTGTTACTACATAACTCCATAAACAGACAACTTATATCCCATTTTGTTCTCTCTCACTATATATCTGGGAAAGTTTCAAATAGGTTTATATAACCTAAATCCATTCTTATTTTCTGCTTCAATATCTCTTCCCATTCCCAGACAAATTGCCGCAAAGACTGTGCACACTAACCTTTTCTACTAAGTACCCATTTACCAGCAGAGGGCATCTGTTGAGAGATGGCTGCTGAGGTAGCATGTTAAGAAGTGAAACTCGTATAGCTTTTCTCCAAATTGTATATTTTCTCATACCTGCCACTTTTTATGTTTTGTACATGACATTATTAATTAATTTAAAGCAATACCGCTTTGGACATGGACATAATTTCAAGTGTAGTCTTTTTTTTTTTTTTTATCCACAAGTCTCAAGTATAGCTGTGCAGAAAGAATTTGCTACCTTCAGGTCCTTTTCAGTATAAAAATAAGTGATGCCCTTCCAACGTGCTTACCTTCATCACATTGAACAATCCCTCTTGCCCCAGACTGTCCTGTCCTCTGAAAAAGTCATGCTCGGGGTAGGTCCGTGCAATATCTCTGCGGATGAGCTTTTCACAAGGAGAAGACATTCTCAGGAGATCTGCATACTGCTTCTTCACGGGCATGTCTGATGCGTTACACAGCATCTGCCATACCATGGCCCTAAAGTGATGTGGGATACCTTTGCGAATCAGCTCCTGCAGAGGGGAGAGATGTCACACACACACAAAAAAAAGACCATTCTAAAAGTGCAGCCTTTGCTATAATGAAAATATTTTTATTATATTTTTTACACTTACACATCGGTTCACAGTAAACAGTGCTCACAGAATAAAAAAAAATATTACTTTTAACCCTTAAGGCCATCCATGGTCTGAAGGGGTTAAATTGCATGGTACGCCACTAGCCATTCTTTGAAAGTTACTCGCCACTGCAAGGCTGGAGGATCAATGGCACACTAGCAATTGGTGGCAATATATATATAAAAATAGATAAAATTTGTACCATGTAATAGCTTTTTTTTATTGGACTAACAGAATCTTTTAATGACAAGCTTTTGTGAGAACCTCCATTTCTCAAGTCTGAAGCATTTCTCTTCAAACTATGCTCAAATAGTCTTCAACAGGCAGAAAACCCCTGGATGCTCTATCAATACAAGGGGAATACACACACACACACACACTCTATAAACAGTAAACAGACAACTTGCACAACACGGTGTGTGCCGCCACAATGTTTATGTGCAATTTTATATAGACAGGAATAGGACTTCAAAGTGGGTGGCAGTTTGACGCTTTCTTACGTGAAACTCCATAGATACCAAGCCCTCTGGCGTAGCACCAATGTAATGCATATCCCAACATGGTCAAATAGTGTTTAACCGCCAGAAAACCCCTGGATGCTCTTTCAATACCAGGGGAATTTATACTTACAAGCAGTTTGGGAAAGTCATCATCAGCATGTTTGTCAATGCAAGAGTTTTTTCGCTTGCCCTAAAGAATGTGATCTCATAGATATCATCATGGTATTTGCAAAAGTGAGAATTCAAAGTGAAATTCAACTGTAAGGCCAAAACAGCCAAACTAGAAAAAGTCACTTCCACTTCGGCCTTAAATTTGGAATTAACTTACTGTGTCAACAAGGAGCTGGAAGATGAAAATGCTCCACTATGAAAACTACCAAGTGACGCATGAGAATAACAAATACTGTTTGAAACAACTGACAGGTTAGTGATCACTACAGTCATTTACTGCACTGTGCAATATATTGGAGGTCTACACAGATCAATAATAATAAAAAGTGTTATCAGAGCTAATTCATGGTGTTGCATGTAAAAGGCATGTATATCAATGAAAACAACAAATGTTAGTAAATCATAGCAAGATATCTTCTTCGCAGAGTACTACGGGTCAGGTCCATATTAAAGCTCTGAAAACATCTACTGTAGCCTGCTGCGTGACCCAATTTCAGCATCACAGCCGCAAAGTCTCAGAGAATAATATCTGAAGGTTTAAATGACCTTGCAGAGGAAAAGAGTCGCTATACATGGGTATAGCAAAACAATTGTATGTATGATGCATTAAAACAATGATACATGTAGCAAGAGCCAGGATTCCAGCTATAATGAAGCTCTGCAGTATATTGTGTAATCCTCTGCAATACATGGTGTGACCTGTTCCTCGAGATTAGCAGGGGGCACACAGACAACAAATCACAACTGTGCCGGCTAATGAAGGGTTATGTAACCCAGTTCCTGATCAATAAAGTGAAGTTTGGAAGACTTAGCAATGGTGTACGGAATCTTTAGAGATATTGATGTTTGACGAATGGATGATTTATGTTCTTCTTTGTGATATAAGGATTAGGTTATCTCTCCGCTTTCTGGAAGTGTGGGTTTATTTCAAAAGGGAAGCAAGAAACAATGAATACTGCCACAAGAAAACAGTCTATATGAAAAGCAGGTAATCGTACTGACCATGTTTTAACAAATTGCACAAGGTATAAGTTAAATGTGATACGATACTCTCCAGAACATCCTTTAAAATGTAAGATTTCAGTGTATTTTGACGTATAACAAATTCTAAATGTTTATGAAATTACTTCACTACATTACAATGCAGTGTGAGGAATAGGGTTGATAGCCTGCATAATGGCGTGTTGTCTTATGAAGTTCAGTTCTGAAAAAACACAAGATTTTCACAATCCAAAGACCAGAGGTTTTTGTTAAATACCTTCAGGAGCTTCTCTTTCCTCCTTGTCCATTCCTCCCAGTGAGTAACAATGCGCCCCCACAGTTCCCAGCTGTCCTGATCCAGAGGTGGTGGTCCCGGGGAGGTGACACTGGTCCTGCAGGATCCTGTAACACTGCGCAATGACTTAGAATCTGCTTCTAGGAGCCTGTGAGAAGAAAGGACACACAATGTATTTGTGTACTATGATGCCTATTGTTAGTAGTGAGATCAGTAAAGAATGTCACATTTAAAGAAAATCTTAGCAGCAGATTTACTCAAACATATCTAGGTAATATCCTATTTAGGAAATGCTAATAAAGTAATACATCAAAACATAAATCATAAATAATCTTAAATGAACACGCCAAGCACCTCAATACCATAATATGATACCAAAAGTACTCTGACACCATCCCAGGGTATGTAGTGAAAACCTAAAGTAGTTGTCCAGTCTCCTCCTTTAGGAGAATCCGGATAGCTCAACAAAGCCAAGCAAGGCCATGCGGATCTAAGCTCACTGACCGAAAGTATCAACGGAGCTCTCTTTCTGAAACAATGGGCAAATTCCTAGATCGGCCATGTTTTATTTGGCTTTTCCTGCAGAAGTAGACTGGATGGGCACCAAGATAAGTTTTTAGGGCACTCCTGGCACCATAAACACTAGAACAGGCTGTAGTGCTTATGGTGCTTTCAGTGTTCCTTTAAAACCAGGTTATATAAAATACATTTAATAACAAGCAAATTAAATTAGGCTGCCCTTTATGAGTAAAACAACAACAACAACAAAAAAAAATTTATAAAAGGAAACACTAGGGAATTAATACATTAATAAGCTACATAAAGTAATATTGTGACCATATAAACAGAACACAAAGATCAAATCTGAAATAAAATGGATGTAAAAAATAAATAAATAAATAAAAAAAATCACTTTAAATGACTAAAACAGATACTGGGGAAATCAATAACCTAAAGCCAAACCAGTTTACCAGTTTTTCTTTTTTTTTATAAAATAAACCATTTATTTCTGACACTTTAACAAGTGAGTGGGAACAAAGGACCTTGCTCTTCATCTTTAATACAGACATTACACATACCAGGGCTGTGTAATCTGGAGAGAAAAAAATAAAAAAATATCACAAATGCTTTAAAAAATATTGCTATTACAATTCTCAAAGACATTATTTATTTGTACATTTTCTATTATGAAATCTGCTGGTTTACGAATATAATGATTTTTTGTTTGTTTGTTTTTGAGAAGTGATTGCAAATGGCATTCAATATAAAAGGGCAGGCAATTCATATTTTGTGGGAATGGAGAGATAAACTTAACTATTCCGGTTAAGCCTGCATGGAAAAAAAAAATGGTTTCACTTTTCAACAGATGTAATTTACCTTAAATAATTGTATCTCAATCTCTAAATTGAACTTTAATCATATACAGGAGGCTCTTGCAGGGTCTAGCAAGCTATTGACATAGCAGGGGATAAGAAAATCTTAATTAAACAGAACTTGCAATAAAGAAAGCCTAAATAGGGCTCTCTTTACAGGAAGTAAAATGTGATCTGATCATCATCTAAGTCACAACAAAACACAATCACAGTCTGCTTAAACTAATAACACACAAAGAATGAAATGTTGCCATGTTTTTATTGAACACACCATGTAAACATTCACAGTGCAGGTGGAAAAAGTATGTGAACCCTTGGATTTAATAACTGGTTGAACCTCCTTTGGCAGCAATAACTTCAACCAAACATTTCCTGTAGTTGCAGATCAGACATGCACAACGGTCAGGAGTAATTCTTGACCATTCCTCTTTACAGAACTGTTTCAGTTCAGCAATATTATTGGGATGTCTGGTGTGAATCGCTTTCTTCAGGTCACGCCACAGCATCTCAATCGGGTTGAGGTCAGGACTCTGACTGGGCCACTTCAGAAGGCATATTTTCTTCTGTTTAAGCCATTCTGTTGTTGATTTACTTCTATGCTTTGGGTCATTGTCCTGTTGCAACACCCATCTTCTGCTGAGCTTCAGCTGGTAGACAGATGGCCTTAAGTTCTCCTGCAAAATGTCTTGATAAACTTGGGAATTTATTTTTCCTTCGATGATAGCAATCCGTCCAGGCCCTGACGCAGCAAAGCAGCCACAAACCATGATGCCCCCACCACCATACTTCACAGTTGGCATGAGGTTTTGATGTTGGTGTGCTGTGCCTTTTTTTCGCCACACATAGTGTTGTGTGTTTCTTCCAAACAACTCAACTTTGGTTTCATCTGTCCACAGAATATTTTACCAGTACTGCTGTGGAACATCCAGGTGCTCTTGTGCAAATTGTAAACGTGCAGCAATGTTTTGTTTGGACAGCAGTGGCTTCCTCTGTGGTACCCTCCCATGAAATCCATTCTTGTTTAGTGTTTTACGTATTGTAGATTCGCTAACAGGGAAGTTAGCATTTGCCAGTGACTTTTGTAAGTCTTTAGCTGACACTCTAGGATTCTTCTTCACCTCATTGAGCAGTCTGCACTGTGCTCTTGAAGTTATCTTTACAGAACGGCCACTCCTAGGGAGAGTAGCAGCAGTGCTGAACTTTCTCCGTTTATAGACAATTTGTCTTACCGTGGACTGATGAACAGCAAGGCTTTTAGAGATACTTTTATAACCCTTTCCAGCTTTATGCAAGTCAACAATTCTTAATTGTAGGTCTTCTGAGAGCTCTTTTGTGCGAGGCATCATTCACATCAAGCAATGCTTCTTGTGAAAAGCAGACCCAGAACTGGTGTGTGTTTTTTATAGGGCAGGGCAGCTGTAACCAACACCTCCAATCTCATTTCATTGATTGGACTCCAGTTGGCTGACATCTCACTCCAATTAGCTCTTGGAGATGTCATTAGTCTAGGGGTTCACATACTTTTTCCTCCTGCACTGTGAATGTTTACATGGTGTGTTCAATAAAAACATGGCAACATTTCATTCTTTGTGTGTTATTAGTTTAACCCCTTCAGGATGGGTGACAGACGAGGTCCGTCATCCTGGGGATACCCTTAAAGGACCACTATAGTGCCAGGAAAACATACTCGTTTTCCTGGCACTATAGTGCCCTGAGGGTGCCCCCACCCTCAGGGACCCCCTCCCGCCCGGCTCTGGAAGGGGGAAAGGGGTAAACTTACCTTTTTCCAGCGCTGGGCGGAGAGCTCTCCTCCTCCGATCCGCCCCGTCGGCTGAATGCGCATGCGCGGCAAGAGCTGCGCGCGCATTCAGCCGGTCACATAGGAAAGCATTCATAATCACAGTGAGAAGCACGCAAGCGCCTCTAGTGGCTGTCAATGAGACAGCCACTAGAGGATTAGGGGGAGGCTTAACCCATTGATAAACATAGCAGTTTCTCTGAAACTGCTATGTTTATTAAAAAAATCGGTTAACCCTAGAAGGACCTGGCACCCAGACCACTTCATTAAGCTGAAGTGGTCTGGGTGCCTAGAGTGATCCTTTAACGACGGGTGATGCACCTCGTTCGTCGCGCGGTAAAATTAACCCCGCAATTGCTGCAGTGCCGGCGATCGCGGGGTTAATGCTGTTGCTAGGTGCCTCCGAGTCAGCCAGTCACAGCGGTCACAATACAGCTGGGATATCTGATCTGCCTCCCTCCACCTGTTGTGAGTTTGTGAAGTGGAGAGAGACGGATAGTTGCAACATTGTGTCCCAAAAGAATAGTGAATATCTATTAAAGGTTCCTAATCCCTTTCCCCTTTATATATATATTTTTTTTTTTTAAATAACCCTTTACCTGCTAACTAAAGTTTAGTTATTTAGTTATTTAGTTAAAGTTTTCTTAGCTGTGTTAACTGTATTAACAATGTTTCGAAAGTATAGCGCAGAGGAGGCTTATGCCCTGTTAGCAGCCGACTCAGAGGCGACCGACACTGCCTATGAGAGTGACGCAGGGGACAGGGACTATGTTCAACATGGCGCAGATGACTGGGTACCCCCTAATCATTTTTTGCCAGACATCCCAGAGTTCACTGCCAATCCTGGCATACGGGCTGACCTGTCTGGCTATAATGCGCTGGATTGTATGGAGCTGTTTTGGGGGGATGATTTTTGGGGGGAGGTAGTTACCCAGACGAATCTGTATGCAGAGCAATATCTTGCACGCAACCAAGACTCCCCTGAATCGCCAGGAGAGATGGTACCCAGTGTGCCAGAAATTAAACAATTCTGGGCACTGACAGTGTTAATGGGGATAGTTTAAATAAAACAATAAGGGGGGGGGGGACCTACTGTCCTCCCCCCCTGGCCCCCACCCCTGAGCGGTGGGAGCGGTGGGTGGGGGCCCTAATAAAACAATAAGGGGGGGACCTACTGTCCTCCTCCTCCCCCGGCCACCACCCCTGCGCGGTGGGTGGGGGCCCTAGTAAAACAATAAGGGGGGGACCTACTGTTCCTCCCCCGCCCTGAGTGGTGGGTGGGGGCTAATAAAACAATAAGGGGACCTGCTGTCCTCCCCACCCCTGAGGTGGGTGGGGGCCAATAAACAATAAGTGGGGGACTACTGTCCTCCCCACACCCTGGCGGTGGGTGGGGGCCCTAATAATAATAAGGGTTTAAGCCAATCAGGTGCTTGAGTCATTTTACACAGCGTGGGAAAGATTCAAAAGAACTTTCCCAAGCTGTGTAAAATGACTCAGAGCACTCTGATTCGCAAACCCCAATCAGAGTGTTCTAAGCCTAATTGCAGGGCGGGGCAAGGCTTTATAAGCCTTGACCCGCCCTGCGGAGCTCAGTATGCGGCGTGCCCTCGAAGGGCGAACATGGATTATTATTTTCCTTTTTTTTTTTTTAAAGTGCGACGGGTGTAATGGATTTTTATTTGGCCTTTTTGGGGGCTGAAGAAAGAAGATTTTAGAAAAAAGAAGACGTCAAATGGTAAGTTTAATTTTTTTTTACAGGTTAGTTATTTTATTCCCCCCTCACTATTTGTAGGGTGAGGGGGGTAGGTAGGGGATAGGTTTTTTTGGGTGGGGGGTTGGTGACTAGGGGCTTGGGACCCCTAGTCACCTTGATTGGGGCATTTAGGGCCCCCACCCAGCTCGTGGGGGCCAGGGGGAGGACAGTAGGTCCTTATTGTTTTTATTAGCCCCACCCACCGCTCAGGGGTGGGGGCCGGGGGGGAGGACAGTAGGTCCCCCCCCTTATTGTTTTATTAGGGCCCCCACCCACCGCTCAGGGGTGGGGGCCGGGGGGAGGACAGTAGGTCCCCCCCCTTATTGTTTTATTAGGGCCCCCACCCACCGCTCAGGGGTGGGGGCCAGGGGGGAGGACAGTAGGCCCCCCCCCTTATTGTTTTATTAGGGCCCCCACCCACCGCTCAGGGGTGGGGGCCGGGGGGGGAGGACAGTAGGTCCCCCCCCTATTATTTTATGGCCCCCACCCACCGCGCAGGGTGGGGGAGGGGGGGAGGACAGGTCCCCCTTATTGTTTTTTAGGGGCCCCACCTGTCGGTCAGGTGGGCGGGAGTACAGTGTCCCCCCTTATTGTTTTACTAGGGCCCCCACCCACCGCCAGGGTGGCCGGGAGGACAGCAGGTCCCCCCTTAGCTATTTGGCCCCACCCACCGCAGCGGGTGGGGGCCGGGGAAGGACAGTAGGTCCCCCTCATTGTTTTATTATTAGGGCCCCCACCCACCCATCAAGGCAGGGCCCCACGGGCATGGGGGTTATTAGTTTTTTTTATTTTTGAAGCACACTTTGCTGGTCAAGCGGAGGAATCCTCCATAAGGCAAAGAGTCCCTACTTTGTCTTATGATTTTAAAGAAAACTAAAGAAGACAGGAAGAAAAGAATAACAGATCCTGAGAGAGGGGGAGAAGAGGAAGATATTGAGGAAAGGTAAGTTCGGCATGACAGTGCCGCTTTAAAGCAGCTCTGTTACTGCCCTATTACAAATACTCAGATTTCACTGAAATTCCAACCCAGTTAAACAAAAATACAGAAACAAAAAAAAAAAAAGGAACAGCTATTTTACTCCACTTGAAAAAAATGGCAAAGCAATCGCTGTCAAGCTTGTGTTTTATAACAGCTGTCACGACTGTAGGGAAACTAACCTTTTTCTATGGAAGGTCTCACAGGATCCTCCATAGACCTCAAAGCTGTACTCTCGCGCATGTGTTAAAGTACAGTGCTGATATTGGCTTTTGGCAGATTAAAGGACCACTATAGGCACCCAGACCACTTCAGCTTAATGAAGTGGTCTGGGTGCCAGGTCCAGCTAGGGTTAACCCCCCCCCCTTTTTTTTTTTAAATAAACATAGCAGTTTCAGAGAAACTGCTATGTTTATAAATAGGTTAATCCAGCCTCTAGTGGCTGTCTCTTGACAGCCGCTAGAGGCGCTTGCGTGCTTCTCACTGTGAAAATCACAGTGAGAAGACGCCAGCGTCCATAGGAAAGTGAATGCTTTCTTATGGACTGGCTGAATGCACGCGCAGCTTCTGCCGTGCATGCGCATTCAGCCGGAGAGGAGGAGGAGAGCTCCCCGCCCGGCGCTGGAGAAAGTTGAGTGTTTAACCCCTTCCTCTCCCCAGAGCCCGGCGGGAGGGGGACCCTGAGGTTGGGGGCACCCTCAGGGCACTATAGTGGTCCTTTAAATGCCAAGAGCTGAAAAAGAGCAGAAGGAAGAGAATGGAGACGTCTCTGCGGGACAGGTTTAGGTAAGTAAAAAAAAAAATCACCTTTTCCTTCCCCCCTGCAGCGGGTTTGTCACCATCAGGGGTCTTTGCAAATTACACGAAGCCCCCTGATGGTGACTGAGCCATATTAACAGAGCTGGTGACAGAGCTCCCTGTACCCCGGCTCAGTACCTCCACCTGGACCTTTTCATAGCTGAACTGGGGAAATTAAAGCGCTTCTGCCCCAGTAGTCGCAGCTAACTGGGATACTTCTGGAGCTTTTCCACCGACCAGGCTGCAGCTCTCCCCTCTGCCTATACCACGGCAACCGTTCTTCCAGGCAGATATACAGGGAGTGCAGAATTATTAGGCAAGTTGTATTTTTGAGGATTAATTTTATTATTGAACAACAACCATGTTCTCAATGAACCCAAAAAACTCATTAATATCAAAGCTGAATATTTTTGGAAGTAGTTTTTAGTTTGTTTTTAGTTTTAGCTATGTTAGGGGGATATCTGTGTGTGCAGGTGACTATTACTGTGCATAATTATTAGGCAACTTAACAAAAAACAAATATATACCCATTTCAATTATTTATTATTACCAGTGAAACCAATATAACATCTCAACATTCACAAATATACATTTCTGACATTCAAAAACAAAACAAAAACAAATCAGTGACCAATATAGCCACCTTTCTTTGCAAGGACACTCAAAAGCCTGCCATCCATGGATTCTGTCAGTGTTTTGATCTGTTCACCATCAACATTGCGTGCAGCAGCAACCACAGCCTCCCAGACACTGTTCAGAGAGGTGTACTGTTTTCCCTCCTTGTAAATCTCACATTTGATGATGGACCACAGGTTCTCAATGGGGTTCAGATCAGGTGAACAAGGAGGCCATGTCATTAGATTTTCTTCTTTTATACCCTTTCTTGCCAGCCACGCTGTGGAGTACTTGGACGCGTGTGATGGAGCATTGTCCTGCATGAAAATCATGTTTTTCTTGAAGGATGCAGACTTCTTCCTGTACCACTGCTTGAAGAAGGTGTCTTCCAGGAACTGGCAGTAGGACTGGGAGTTGAGCTTGACTCCATCCTCAACCCGAAAAGGCCCCACAAGCTCATCTTTGATGATACCAGCCCAAACCAGTACTCCACCTCCACCTTGCTGGCGTCTGAGTCGGACTGGAGCTCTCTGCCCTTTACCAATCCAGCCACGGGCCCATCCATCTGGCCCATCAAGACTCACTCTCATTTCATCAGTCCATAAAACCTTAGAAAAATCAGTCTTGAGATATTTCTTGGCCCAGTCTTGACGTTTCAGCTTGTGTGTCTTGTTCAGTGGTGGTCGTCTTTCAGCCTTTCTTACCTTGGCCATGTCTCTGAGTATTGCACACCTTGTGCTTTTGGGCACTCCAGTGATGTTGCAGCTCTGAAATATGGCCAAACTGGTGGCAAGTGGCATCGTGGCAGCTGCACGCTTGACTTTTCTCAGTTCATGGGCAGTTATTTTGCGCCTTGGTTTTTCCACACGCTTCTTGCGACCCTGTTGACTATTTTGAATGAAACGCTTGATTGTTCGATGATCACGCTTCAGAAGCTTTGCAATTTTAAGAGTGCTGCATCCCTCTGCAAGATATCTCACTATTTTTGACTTTTCTGAGCCTGTCAAGTCCTTCTTTTGACCCATTTTGCCAAAGGAAAGGAAGTTGCCTAATAATTATGCACACCTGATATAGGGTGTTGATGTCATTAGACCACACCCCTTCTCATTACAGAGATGCACATCACCTAATATGCTTAATTGGTAGTAGGCTTTCGAGCCTATACAGCTTGGAGTAAGACAACATGCATAAAGAGGATGATGTGGTCAAAATACTTATTTGCCTAATAATTCTGCACTCCCTGTAGTCCCTTCTACCTATTCCTTTTCAGCTTTCCTTCCAGGCAGTTATTGTCCCCTCTGCAGATCTGCTAACAGTGTTTGCTATTGCCTTTACAAAAGCACATGCTGCTCTCAGGCCTAGCTCTCTTGATTAATCTCAGGGCTAGAGAGATCATGCAGCCAGCCAATAGGTCTGAAGACTCTGTGAGCTAAATAAGTTATAAGAGCTTCCAAATCACACACAGAAGAGAAAATAGCACAGCCAATAAAACAAGGGGACAAAACATTTTTTTAGATACATAAATGAGAAAAGAAAAGGAAAACAAGGATTAGTTAGATTAAAAACAAAAGGAAGGAAGGTATGTAGAAGAGGATAAAGGTCTAGCTGACTGCCTCAATTAATATTTTTGTTCAGTATTTACAGATGAAAAAAAAAAAAAAGGAAAGGGGCCTCAGTTAGGACAAAGGACAAATTAGTAATTTGTTACATGTGAGTTTAGAGAGGAAAAGGTTCTATTTCAACTGTCAAAAGTAAAAACAAATAAGTCAATGGGACCTGATGGAATACACCCAAAGTTTTTTTTAAAGAACTTAGTGGTGTACTAGCAAAACCATTAACAGATTTATTTAACCAATCATTGTTAACAGGAGTAGTCCCAGAAGATTGGAAGTTAGCGAATGTTGTGCCCATTTACAAGAAAGGTAATAGGGAGGAGTTGGGCAACTATAGGCCAGTAAGCCTTACTTCAGTAGTGGGGAAAGTGATGGAAACCATGTTAAAGGATAGGATTGTTGAACATCTAAAAACACATGGATTTCAAGATCAGAGACAACATGGGTTTACTTCAGGGAGATCATGCCAAACTAATCTTATTGATTTTTTTGATTGAGTAACTAAAATTATAGATCAGGGTGGTGCAGTAGACATTGCTTACCTAGATTTCAGTAAGGCTTTTGACACTGTTGCACATATAAGGCTTATCAGTAAACTGCAATCTTTAAGTTTGGATTCCAATATTGTTGAATGGGTAAGGCAGTGGCTGAGTGACAGGCAACAGAGGGTTGCAGTCAATGGAGTATATTCGAAGCATGGTCTTGTCACTAGTGGGGTACCTCAGGGATCTGTACTTGGACCCATTCTCTTTAATAATTTTTTAGGGATATTGCAGAAAGTCTTGATGGTAAGGTATGCCTTTTTGCTGATGATACTAAGATATGCAACAGGGTTGTTCCAGGATGGATAAGCCAAATTGCAAATGATTTAGGTAAACTAGAAAAATGGTCAGAGTTGTGGCAACTGACATTTAATGTGGATAAGTGCAAGATAATGCATCTTGGATGTAAAAACCCAAGGGCAGAGTACAGAATATTTGATAGAGTCCTAACCTCAACATATGAGGAAAGGGATTTAGGGGTGATTATTTCTGATGACTTAAAGGTAGGCAGACAATGTAATAGAGCAGCAGGAAATGCTAGCAGAATGCTTGGTTGTATAGGGAGAGGTATTAGCAGTAGAAAGAGGGAAGTGCTCATGCCATTGTACAGAACACTGGTGAGACCTCACTTGGAGTATTGTATGCAGTACTGGAGACCGTATTTCCAGAAGGATATTGATACTTTAGAGGGAGTTAAGAGAAGGGCTACTAAACTGGTTCATGGATTGCAGAATAAAACTTACCAGGAAAGGTTAAAGGAACTTAACATGTATAGTTTGCAGGAAAGACGAGACAGGGGGGATACGATAGAAACATTTAAATACATAAAGGGAATCAACACAGTAAAGGAGAAGACTACATTTAAAAGAAGAAAAACCACAACAAGAGGACAGTCTTAAATTAGAGAGGGACAAAGGTTTAAAAATAATATCAGGAAGTATTACTTTACTGAGAGGGTAGTGGATGCATGGAATAGCCTATCACCAGAAGTGGTAGAGGTTAAAGGGAAACTCCAGTGCCAGGAAAACGATCAGTTTTGCTGCGCATGCGCATTAGCGCTCCCCATAGGAAAGCATTGAAAATGCATTTCAAGGCTTTCCTTTGGGGAAATGAGCGACGCTGGAGGTCCTCACACAGCGTGAGGACGTCCAGCGATGCTCTAGCACAGGTTTCCTGTGCTAGGGACATGTTAGTGCCCTCTAGTGGCTGTCTAGCAGACAGCCACCAGAGGTGGAGTTAACCCTGCAAGGTAATTATTGTAGTTTATAAAAAACTGCAATAAATTACAGTTGCAGGGTTAAGAGTAGTGGGAGTTGGCACCCAGACCACGCCAATGGGCAGAAGTGGTCTGGGTGCCTGGAGTGTCCCTTTAACACAGTGAAGGAGTTTAAGCATGCATGGGATAGTCATAAGGCTATCCTAGCTATAAGATAAAGCCAGGGACTAATGAAAGTATTTAGAAAATTGGGCAGACTAGATGGGCCGAATGGTTCTTATCTGCCGTCACATTCTATGTTTCTATGATTGGAATCCCTAAAAATCCACACAGAACACTCAACTCAGTGAAAGACTGCATTTTCCATCCTGCAGTGAAACACCTACCACTCTCAGGTACTGACTGAAGCTAGTAGATACTCTACCTCCTGTATTCCTGGATTGCTAACATTCTCATGTGTTACTATAGATTTGTAACCATTTTTCCTGTAGTTTGCATGTAGTTTGTAATATTCTGTGCATGCAGTATGTACTATAGTCATTTAATGTTTCTGACCAATATTTCATGTAATGACAGTTATTAATATTTTGGGTGATAGAATGTGGTTGCTAAACTTTTCAATAGTATATAACACATGGATACTCTACCTACCCCCCCCCCCTCACTCTCCTTTTCTCCTCCCCAGTTGTAAATACCTCCAAATAACTGTTCAATCCCATTGTCTGTTCTTCAGGCCTCACTCAACTCAGTGAAAGACTGCATTTTTCTCTCCACTTCTCACTCACCCAGGCTCCCCCTAAATATATATCATGCTCCTCCAGCTGTTTGAGATTCTCATTCAATTATCTCTTCATTCCCCTAACATCTTAACAATAGCTGCTTCTCTGTTAACTCTTCCAGCAATCACATCCAAACTCCCCCTGCTACCTCTTGTCTCAAATCCCCATGGTATCCTTTAGATTGGAAGCTCACAGGCCATCTAGCCAAGTACTTTGTATTAAAGAGCTCCAATTGCTAGATATCAGCTTACGGGCAGGGCTCTCTCTACCTCTAGTATTTGACTGTGTATATTGTACGTTTCTCCACTAATTGTACAGCGCTGCTTAATCTGTTGGCGCTTTATAAGTAGCAGTAATAATAATAATAATAATAATAATAATATAATAAAATAACATATTTAGAAGGGGGAGGGGAAGACAATATTTAACACAAAATCTCTCTCCTGCCTGCGTAATTGGCAATATGCAAATCTACCTGAAAATGCAAATTAGCAATCCTTGTCATTCAGGTAGTGCATAGAGCCGTTGCTAGATCACTGCAACCAACAGGTGATGCTGTACAGGCTCCACAACGAAATCTCTATTTTATGAACAGAAAAAAAAAAAAAATTCAAATTCAGCTTCAGAAATAGGTTACTGTACAGTGCAGGACATTCAACAGAAAAAAAAATCATGCAGATGATGTTTCTCTTTTATGTAGTGTCATGATTTGGACTGATGGGACTCTGAGGTGCAATGTTGATGCCAGTCTGCTTGACAGGGGGTTATTACCTGAATCAGGGCCCGACATCCCGGGAATTTTTTTTAAATGTTGAAATTTTTGTATTAATACACTCAAAACATTTAGGAGACTTCCTGGCAAATGTGAAAGCACAGTCTATGTTTTACAACATTTCATCAGAACAATAAAATGATAACCTAAACAAGTCTTCTCCCATTGCCATTCTAGCTTGAATGTATGCAAGAGATTACAAAAAAGTTATTTTCTTTTTACATATTGGAAAACCAAACTACCACTGAAAGCAGCCACCTTAGTTTTGCAGAATAACTCAGCTTTGCAATAATGTTGCACTGAACAAATCTGAAGTAGGTGTAGCTAACAAGTAGCTTTCTAGAGATCGTTGTGGTTGCAAGTCAGTATGCTCAGACAAATAATAGAGATGGTCATCGCAGTAAAACCACAGCTGGAGAAATACCAGTGAGCTAGGTATTCTCCCCAAAAAAAGTGAACAGTCTCGTATGTGAACAATACTTATGTCCCGAACGGTTCGCCGCAGACGGCGAACATAAACTTTGACCCAGTACCTCACAGTCAGCAGACACATTCCAGCCAATCAGCAACAGACCGTCCCTCCCAGACCCTCCCACCTCCTGGACAGCATCCATTTTACATTCATTGTGAAGCTGCATTCTTAGTGAGCTGTCCAGGAGGTGGGAGGGTCTGCTGCTGATTGGCTGGAATGTGTCTGCTGACTGTGAGGTACAGGGTCAAAGTTTATGTTTATGTTCGCCGTGTGCGGCGAACCGTTCGGGACATCACTAGTGAACAACTATTAAATGAAGGGAACACTTTAGGGTCAGGAACACAAACTTGCATTCCTGAACCTATAGTGTTAAGAAAACCACAAAAATAAATAAATAAATAAATAAAAAAAACCACTATGTAGCTCCCCTAAATATAGTAAAAACTTTTATTTTCCTTTATCCCAGTCTGCTGCTGCTGGCTGCCCCTGATATGCCTCCTTGGCTGACATAATCAGAAGTGGTGATCTCAGCCAATCAAAATGCTTTCCCATAGAAGCATTGGATAGGCTGAGATTGTCAAGAAGGCAGATCAGGGGCAGAGCCAGTACATGCCTAACACAGCCCTGGTCAAACAGCATCTCCTCAGAGATGCATTGATTCATGAGGAAATTTCAGTGTCTCCGTGCAGAGGGTGGAGACACTAAATGTCAGTGATGCACAGTGTGCAGCATTGCCCCAGGAAGAATCTCTATTAGCCATCTGTGGAGTGGCCAGTGGAAGTATCCCTAGGCTGTAATGTAAACACTGCCTTTTCTCTGAAAAGGCAGTGTTTACTGCAAAAAGCCTGCAGGGACTCAGAATACTCACCAGAACAACTACATTAAGCTGTAGTTGATCTGGTGACTATAGTGTCCCTATAATTTAAAGGGATGCTCTAAGCAAAAACCACTACAGCTCAGAGTCTGTGAACACACTGGGTGAAGATTATCTTACCACTCCAGGTTGTACTTAAATAGACACTCTATGCACAAAAGCAACTTTGGCTTAATTAAGCAGTTTTGGTGTTTAAATGATACCATACAGACTCACTGCTCAATTATCTGCCATTTTGGGGTTAAATCACTTTGTTTATGCAGCCTATGTCAGACCTTCTAAACACTTCCTGTAAAGAGAGATCTAATGTTTAAACTGCCTTTATTACACATTCTGTTTAATATATAATTTCTCATCTCCTGCAAGAACCTCCAGTGTGTGATTAAAGTTCATTTTACGTCTAAGGCAACTTAACATTTGATTGAAAATTAAACAATTTTGCATGCAGTCTGTGTCAGTTAAAGCTAGAGTAGGTGTGGCTGGGGTTCCATGGACAGAAACAAAAAGTTATTTAACCTCCCTGGCGGTCTGATAATGTCAGTATTTTTGAATGTTAAAGCGGTACATTGTTTTGTATGTAAATTTGTTGTTTCATATTGTAGGCTTGTAATTCTTAGGAATAACTCACTTAAATCTGTCCAAACAAGAGTCTAGTAGACATCCCGGGTATGATAAAGATTGAAACACGAAATCATAAATAATATAATAAATAATTATACTGTATTACAATATATTGTGTGTATGTGTACTTTGTTTTTGAATTTCCCGCCTGATTCCGCCAGGCAGCGCTCGCAGGGAAAGGGAACCCGGAAGACGGATGCTGGCATCGGACACCAGGGGCTCGTAGGGACAAGGTAAGTGATAATACAGTGTAATTCCGAGCGTGAAAAGTAACCACGAGCAACGCTCAGGATTACCACCAGGGAGGCTAAAGGAACACTTTAGGAATAGAAAAAAAAACCAAAACAAAAAAAAACACACCTTTCATTCACTTAACTGGTTACAGCATGGTTGTGTTCCTCCAGCCAATGACTCCCACTAGAGACGGTCTTAACACTGCAATGCAGTTTCTCAAAAGCTGCAATGTTTTACACTGCATGATTAAAAGGGACTCTCCAGTGCCAGGAAAACATATCCATTTTCCTGGCACTGCAAGACCCTGCAGTGCCCCTCTCCCTCCCAGCCCCCATCCCATGTTGCTGAAGGGGTTAAAACCCCTTCAGTGACTTACCTGAATCAAGCGCCGATGTCCTTTGGCGCTGGGTCAGGCTCCTAAACGGCATGCGCGGCAATGGCTACGCACGCGCATTAGACCTCCCTATAGGAAAGCATTATTCAATGCTTTCCTATGGGTATTCCGGCGACGCTGGAGGTCCTCATGCATAGCGTGAGGACGTCCAGCATTGTTTAAAACACTTTTCGTGTTCTAAGAACATGGTTGACCCTCTAGTGGCTGTCTGATAAGACAGCCACTAAAGGAGGACTTAACCCTACAAGGTAATTATTGCAGTTTATAAACACTGCAATAATTACACTTGCAGTGTTAAGGGTGGTGGGAGTTGGCACCCAGACCACTCCAATGGGCAGAAGTGGTCTGGGTGCCTGCAGTGTCCTTTTAAGGGGGGCAGTGAGACTGCACACAGACCACCACAGTGAGAAAAGGTGGTCTGGGTTCCTATAGTGTCCATTTAAAGGGATACTAACACAAAGTGCCCTCTGGTCCCCCTCCGGTAGTCAAAGGGTAAAAAAACCCTTTAGTCACTTACCCAATTCCTCTGCCTTCTCCAATGTTACCTGACGAGGGGCTAATGCGCACGCACAGAGTGCGCATCAGGCCCTGCTCCTAGAAAAACATTGCTTCAGTGCTTTCCTATGGGGATTTCATTAACACTGGATGTTCTCATGCAGACCGCGAGGACGTCCAGCGTCATTTGGGGGACCTAGATTCCGGTAGCATCCAAGAAGTGCCTCTAGTGACTGTTTGATTGAAGGCCACTAGATGCAGGGTTAGTCCAGGAACGTAATTATTTCACTTTCTCAAAACCTGCGATGTTTAAATTGCAGGACTAGGTGGGACAGGGACACTGCACCCAGACCACTTTAAAGAGACCCCTAAATGGCAGAGAATTGAGCAGTGAGACTGCAGGGACATGATCTATACACTAAAACTACTTAATTATGAGAAAGTGGTTTTAGTGCTTATAGTGTCCCTTTAAAGTGACATTTCCATATTACTAACAACAATTATCAGGAGCAATGAAGAAGGGATGGTCTCCGAATACCAAGGAAAGCATGTTTCATAGATTGATTTGCTTGTTTATGTCTTTTTTTTATTTTATTTTATTTTATTTATTTTCTTAAATTGGAGTGTTGTGGCGAACTCAGAAGCAAATTTAAAATTTGATGTCAAAAGAAAACCTGGCAAACAGATTCACAGTTTTCCCACTTATGCAAATTTTGACTATAAATTGTGAACATTTGCGTTCAGATACATGCCCACAACACAACGCAATGCCATGCGTATATTACTTTACCTATATTTGGTAGTTATGATTCCAAATGTTGGACATATATACAACAAACCCCAAACTTCAGTGGGTTCATGCTTTGAGTTAGCATCCTTAACAGACAACAGCCCAAGATATTTCAAAAACTTAATGCAGTCGTTTTTCCACCATCTACAGAAAATGGTTTTCTGTTTTTTGAGACATGTGGCACGGTGGCTATGGATTTCCTCTTATTAAAATCCCACAATTTGTGTTCAGCTACATTCCCCACTGTACAGTAATGTACCATAAACATGTAATAAGCAAGATACAGGGCTACATTGGGGATCCCTTACAACATTTCCCATATTCCATAGACCCATGTACCATTTGTCTATTAAAGTTATTTCCACAACATAAAAATTAAAGAACAAAAATGCACAACATTCCCCAGGATCTTTTAATAGGGTCACTAAAATAATAACGCAGTTATTGTACCAGCAATATTATATATCTCCTCACACAAAAAAAATAAAATAAATATAAGATTTACTGTGTATTACCCACCTGTCTGCCAAAATACTTTAACCATCAAACTTACTATTTAAATATCAGAATGCATTCATTAATGCGATTATGGAGTTAGTGAATATCGGTATATGATTAGGTTTTGTCTTTTGTCAAAAACACGAGGCATACATTTTAATTAATGATTGCACTAATTCTTACCTTTGACCAAAGATTCTTCCTACATATCATCTTTTCAATGTTTGTATAGTCAAAGTATTTATGTCCCAGAATTGCTCTAAGCAAGCTTACCTCCTGAATTAGAAACTTGTACTAGAAACATGGTTAATGTTCACTTGATGCAACCAAGAAACAAACTGAAATTATCACAAAAACTGAAAAAATATGGTTTTATGCACACCGAATGGAACAAATCTGCAGCAAACTAGTAAACACTATATACAACCAGTTTCTACTTTAGAAATGATTTGAGAAACAACCTCCATATTTTTAACCACTGTATCTAAAGCTGTTGCCTAGTAGTAGAATAAAGATACCTGTTTTGTTCCTCTAATTTGCTCAGCAGCTCCAATTCATCAGGACTCAGATTCTCGGAGTCTGAAGGGGAAATGCTCACTGCTGCAGACATAGACATAGAAGAGTCATCTGGACTGAGGGTAGGGCTGGCCATGTCGCTGAGACAAAGTGGGGCCAATGTGCTCATCTGTAGGAAGATGGATGAGTTTTCGAATTTGTAGAAAATGTTAATGTATATAGGAAATATTACTGTAGATAGATATCAATATAGAAATATATACAGTGGAGTTTGTGCCATGGGAACCAATGGAATTGTTGCTTGCTCCATATTTAGTATTGTATTCTGAAATTGCTCTTTGTACACATCTCCCAGAAAACAGATAAGAATGAATGGAATGTAAAACATAATTGCATTTAATTAGTAAGCAACAGAAAAAAAAAGTTGAAAACATGAGATAGAAAGAATGCAACTAGTCTGCTTAGGTTTACACTTCCATAAAAACAGATGTGATGCACATACAATTATGTTAAATCACCTGTATAACAACAATTCAGGAAAAAGCGAGGTGCTTAGGGTAACGGAGTTTGCCTTCTTTAAGTCATGCTACAGAAAGCAAAAAAAAAGCATAAAGGGGAAGAGAGAAATGTTTGGTGGCAACTATTCAAAAATAGAAATGTGGAAAAAAGGCACACTGACATGGGGTATCGAGAAAAATGATTAATTAAAGGGAAAAAGCTTGTGCTGTGGATGGAAATATAGGTTAAATATAATAGAAATCAATAATGTATGCCAGTTGGAACTGCTCTAATTATCACAGTATGGCATTGTCTGTCTGGGAAGTGCTAGTGACACCAAAACACCACACTTAAAGGGACACTATAGTCACCAGAACAACTACAGGTGAAGACAGTCCATGTAGGCTTTTTGCTGTAAGCACTGTCTTTTCATAGACAACTATGCATTGTTTTCATTGGGGGTTTATCTAAAACAGCTTGCAAAAGATGCCGGATATCTTGTCTGCAGCATTTCCCAGCCTTTCCTTCTAACCCCACCCAGACTGCCCAATCATAGACTTCTCAATGCAGCTTAATATGAAATCTTTGCAAGCGGAGGCGCTCTGAGCAATTACTGCCCCTAGAGGTTAGCTCCATTGAGCTAAACAAACTAGTAACAGGACTGGTTGTCTAATTGACAACAAAAATGTTAATTCAGAAAAGTGCCAATTTCTGTTAAAATCTGCACTTTTTTGTAAAATGAAGAGAACACAATTCATACATAATTTAAAGTACTTTAGGTGTCTGGAGTGTACCTTTAAGGCCAGAGCAACCAAATTGAAATTATAGCTGACTTAAAGATTTTTTTTTAGTTTGGCTATTCCGACCTTAAAATAATAAAATAAAAAAAATAATGCTCACTTCAGTGAAACTGTAACTCACCATTCACTTGCAGGAAGTATGACTAATTACTACTTTCCAACCTCCTACCCTTACACAGGCCCTAAGCAATTGATTTTCCCAAGGGTTATTTCACTGCACCTGTCTGTCTATCATTACTGTACTGCCTTTCCCTGACTGGAAGTGACCATAAATGGCTGAATCTCATGTGAAAAATAGTCCAAAGCATTTACAATGTCATCAGTGGACTATCCAGGAGGTAACGCAGAAAAGGAAAACCTATAGTTAGCTAATATAATACACAGAGAGGGGGACATAGATACAGCAAATGGTTCTCGCACTGAATGAGGGTGTAAGCAACCTTTGACACTCCAGATGTTATGGACCACATCTTCCATAATGTTCTTACAGGTATAATGCTGGCAAAGCATCAGGTGTGATGTCTACAATAGTGCAGTGAGTGGGTGCTCAGTCAGTGAGTGTGTGGGGCAGTGACACAGTGAGTGTGTGGGGCAGTGACACAGTGAGTGGATGCTCAGTCAGTGAGTGTGTGGGGCAGTGACACAGTGAGTGGATGCTCAGTCAGTGAGTGTGTGGGGCAGTGACACAGTGAGTGGATGCTCAGTCAGTGAGTGTGTGGGGCAGTGACACAGTGAGTGGATGCTCAGTCAGTGAGTGTGTGGGGCAGTGACACAGTGAGTGGGTGCTCAGTCAGTGAGTGTGTGGGGCAGTGACACAGTGAGAGGGTGCTCAGTCAGTGAGTGTGTGGGGCAGTGACACAGTGAGTGGGTGCTCAGTCAGTGAGTGTGTGGGGCAGTGACACAGTGAGTGGGTGCTCAGTCAGTGAGTGTGTGGGGCAGTGACACAGTGAGTGGATGCTCAGTGAGTGTGTGGGGCAGTGATACAGTGAGTGGATGCTCAGTCAGTGAGTGTGTGTGGGGCAGTGATACAGTGAGTGGATGCTCAGTCAGTGAGTGTGTGTGTGGGGCAGTGATACTGAAATCTTTGGCACCTCATCTGTTGCAGACCGATGCTCCCATTTGGCTGGCGGAGGACAGTGATAGCCCCTTACCATTATAGAGGAAGGCAGTAATATTAATGTATCATTATATTCCCTCCCGGGGCTGCTCACTGTGTATCTGCCATCACTGCCAGCCAGCCCCGGTCTGCAGCCTCACAGCCAGCAAGGACTGCATCACCCGCATGACGTCACTGCCAGCCCATGACGCCGTCTCAGGGCGACACACCCCGGGAACCATTACCTTCTCCGGGGTTTATAAGGCTCCGCCATCAGCCTGGCCCACACGGTGCCATCCTCCAGCCGCCATCATACCGGAGACACGGGGGAGCCGGGGGGGGGGCGGGGACAGGCACTGTGACAGCGGCTCCTCCCTCCCCGGAGCTAGACAGCACCGAGCGGGGGAGACATCAGACACACAGGAACAAGCCCCGCCCACTCCTCGGCACGTCAAAACACAACCAGCCAATCAGGACGCGGCATCCACGTGATTGGCAGAGCCGCCGGTAAATCAGAGGAGAAGCCGGTGACAGGAGTGAAAGGCAGGCTCCGACTCGTCCTCAAGGAGCGTTCGACCAATCAGAGCAGCCGAAAGAATGACAGTTAGGCGGGTCTTGAGGGTTTGGCCGAGGAGGGCGGGGACAAATTGAATAGATATAGCCTATCACAGGGGGAGAAAAAAATTGAGTGGCTTTAGAATCAGCCAATTAGCGCACAGGTTGCCAGCATCAGTCTTGTTGTGGAAACAGTTCCAGGACACTTGGAATAAAACAGCATAGTGCCAGGAAATGGATCCACAGATGGAGCTGTGTTATAGTACTGATATAAAATTAAAGATATATCACATATACACATTAAAATTACATTATAAATCAAGCTATATTCAAATATAGCTTTAAATTCACTTCTATAGTGTAAAGTATAACACTGAAGCTGTATTATTCAACAGGAATTGGAATTTATAGACAGTAAAACTATTTTACACTTGAAATAAAAGTAATAATAACACTATTTCAATGTACACTTTTGATAAAGCCTATCCAAGGAAAAACGCGTGAAGTGTATTGTTTATAACTTTTTTTATCACTATTTTATTATATATTGTATTTCTTTTATTATATATTTTTTAACATTAAAGTACTTTTTTAATTGGACCTAACTTTGCTGCTGTCGGATAGTTTGGAGCTATATCCCTGGTGGGGATCATACCACCCAAGCACTTTGGATTGAGCAAACTGGAACTTGCTCATTAGCATGTAAGTAGGCTTAAATTATTTATTTCTGCTTACACACCTTTTTTACGGTGTACACTATTGTGGTTCTGTTTGTTTATCTCCACATATACACGGAGGGAAGAATTTGCATTTACACCAGTATCCTTGAGTGGGGATCATACCACTTCAAGCATTATCAGAGGATCCAGGTTTTACGGCTCCATTACACGTGAGTGCACATTTTATAGTTTTTACCTACCCTTGCCTCATAGCTCTATATACTTCACCATATACGATTTTTATTTGTTTGTTTTTTATGAGGATACCCCCTACCACACCTACAACTTGAAGAATTGCCTCTGCACTTGATCCATAGGCGGGGATTATTCCGCCCAGGCGCATACACTGGAGCTGTATTGAAGCTCCAGGAAAGTGTGAGTGCACATCTTTTATTTTACTTATCACCACTACAGTTTTAAATACTACACTATTATTCCTTCTCTGGTTCTCTTCACATTTACCTCGTGAAGGATTACTGAAGCACTGCACCTACCCCCTTGTTTTTATCCAATTTTTTAATCGGAAAAGAGAGACTCCGTATTGGTGTTCCAGCTGCTTTTGGACTATTATCACTTTGCTTCGGCGCTGAATTTATTTTTTGTGTAATTGTGTAGCTGTCAGTGTGTGTCTGTGAGTGAATGTGTGTGCCTGTCAGAGTGTGTCAAATCAGTGAGGATGCAAAAAAGTGTAGATCGGGGATATGCTTCTTTTATTTGTTGTTTTAAATTGTGTTAATAAATTTTTTACTTTTTTTCACCGATCCTGGTTCCCAGCACTTCATCTAATACAGCAGGGAGTGCAGTCCCAAATCTGCACAACGCTTAAGAATTGAGTCATTATTATATGGCTCCATACTTGTAAGTACCCACTTGGGATCCTTTACTTTACATTAGAATTATTATCAACAATACTGCGCAATCGTTTGTGCCTCTATCTTTTCTACAGAACAAGATTCATATCGGTAATAGGGGTGGGTCGCCTATACGGACCCAGAAACGATTCAAACCAGAGCTGGGTCCATAGCTCTCCGTTTGTGAGTGTATATACATTAGAATTAAAACATATTACCCTGTTATGTATGATCTATACTATAGATAGAAAAAACACAGGTGTAGGCGCTCTCTAAAATGTTTAAGTGGACGGCAGCAGTAAACCAGCAGGACTTCCCAATACCTGCTATTAACCAGAAAGTGCAGCAACAGAGTGGTGAACGGCGCCACAGGATAGTAGAGGATAATTAAATATGAATAACAACATATACATACATACGGGGTATCCCAGTAATAAGGTAGTAAATATAAGCCTTAAAAAGATAAAAATAGAGACAATAATAGTGCAGTATATCAATGCAAGGTCATAATAAAATAAAATATTGACGAAAACCGGTAGAAGAACCAACTCACACTTTCCAGAGCTGCTAAGAGCTCTGCTGTATAGCGCCTGGACGGTATAATCCCCGTCTTAGGATATAGGGGTAGTGGTGAGATCTGGCTTCCAGGGCTCCACAGACGTGCATAAAATAAAAGCACAAAAAAAATCCAATAGTGTAATATGTACTAAAAATGTTAAATATAGACAAAGGGTAAATACCCTACTTACAGTTTCCAGAGCACTAAACTTGCTCTGGTGGTGAAAGCTTGTGGTGGTATAATCCCCACCAAGGGATATAAGCAGGATCCAAAGTGCACAGGAATAAGGGGTAGATCAAGGATGGAGGTAGTAACAAACTACAACTTTATTGATAAAATAAAAAAATAAAATCTATATTTAGATTTTTTATTTTATCAATAAAGTTGTAGTTGTAGCACATAAAAAACACCCCAAAATACATACAATATCAATAGGAACCACCAGAAGTATTATATCCCCCGATAGCCCGGATCTGAGCACCCAAGTTGTCCAAATAGCACTCAGATCCATGTACTATAGCCGAATCGCCACTGGGTTAAAGTTTTTACACGTGTGGCTGCTGCCTAAAATAGTTCCAAGGGAAAAGAGGTATCGGTTGGTCAACTTTCGGGAGTTCCTATGTGAAAATAGACAAAGGTTCCCCCTGGCTCGTAGGGAGCGAATGTTCTCCCCGTTCGGGAGTGTCTTTTCCCCAAAAAGTGCTCTCCTGTCGTGTCTGGAAACGGAGCAGGCAATGGTACGATTTTCCTGGGGTTCGCAAGGCCAAGTATCCAATATACAGTTCCACGCACTCGACGACCAAGTCCCGCGCCTGTGTTAGGGAGACAAAACAGGGTTCGGTACAACGGGAAAAGTGAAAATAGGGAGTATAGGATAAGTCATGGCTTCCATGACAATTATGTATGCATACACACAACACTCATAGAAACAGAGCCCAGGACCCTAGGAGGTGCCCCAGTCTGACAGTTTGCCTACGGCCCTGTGCAAATCTTAATCCTACTCTATTCTAAGCAGCATAACAACTTTGTCTGACTGTGATGAGAGGAGACCCCATAGATCAGAATGAGACACACCTAGTTGGTAAGCCTCTTCCTGGTGATGGTGGGGTCTGCCTGCTACAGAAACTTGCTGTGCAAGTGCCAGTAGCATTTGGTATGTTATCAGTAGCATAGCACATACTAGAGAGACCACAGCACACATCCATTCCACACTCCCATAACTGACTGGCGTGTGGCTTCTCTTTAGCTGTTATGCGTGGCTGCGGTCAAGGTGGCGAGGAGGCTGCTGGATTCACTCTGTATTGATTTATCAGCTCCCACGCTCACCTTGTACTGATGCTTGAGCTGGAATGCGATGTCACCCCAGCCCTGGCTCAAGTACAGAGCAGAAGGGAGCTGGGCAATCAGTACAGAGACTGATCCCACCAGCAAACCACTGAACCCCATGGATCAGGGTCCACTATAGCTCTATGTATAAGGAAAATAATAAAAAATAGAATGTGTGTATTTGTAAGAATCTGTGTGTGTATGAATGTGTGTTTATGAGTCTGTGTTTGTGTGTAAGTCTGTGTCTGTTTGTGTAGATAACTGTATGCATGTGTATATGAAAGTATGTGAAGGTGATTTCCCTGTCAAAAGAAAATTCTCTAGTTTAAGGGGGTGACATGTATCTTGTCCTGGGTGACATGTAACGTAGGTGCGCCTCTAAATATTCATTGAAAATCACCTAATTAACTTGTGTTAAAACTTTTTTTAATGGAACGCTTTAACATTTCTTTTAAAATATACCAGAGTGAGGCATTATCGCAGGACTTGTCAAATTTCTAGAGATTCTACAAGTCAAAAGAAAAAGTTAGGAGGCAGATTTTTTTCTTTTTTTCTTTACTTATTCACATCTCACACAAGATAAAATAAAACTACTTAATATATAATACATATATTTAGTATGGAATGAGTGTGTGTGCTCCATATAATACACAAATGAATAGAAATGTATATATGCATGTTACACTCAGAAATCACATAAATATACATGTACATATACAACAAACAGTTAATATTTTCTAATAATGCAGTTTTCTCAAGATACCAATGTAATTGGGCATAATAACTGTGTTCTGTGGAACATTTCAGCTTTAAATAAAGTTGTTCTTTTGTTTATTTATGATGACATTATAGGGCTGGCATGACACACTTTCTTTATGTGCACCCACGTTGCCAGTAACACTATTTATTTTAGTGGGACCCTCACGTGTCACCCCTGCTTTCCTTCCTCTCCGAACACAGGACTGACAAACGTGTCTGATCTGAATTATCTGACATAGATAACTGTAAATACGTTGCAACTGGGGCCTACATTTTATAAGCTTTCCATATGTTTCAATACTGTCCAAAACACTTTTCAAATGATTTATCTACAAAAAAAAAAAAAAAAATTCCATAAACTTTAATAGTGACTTTTGCAAATAAATTATTTAGAAAGTTTTTTTTCACAGTATCGAATCATTTGGAAAGCTTATTAAATCGAAGCCTATGGTAGATATATATATTTTGGCAGAAGTGTGACTGTGATTGCAAAATGAACCTAGTGATGAGGTAAATCGACTTTATCACAGGCTAAAACTGTCTCTAAGTGTTCATGGACCAGCTGAGCAAAGTTTCACATCCTATTTTTGGTAAGCACATTCATATTGTGGTTGAAAACACCCAACCTCAGTCTGTTTATTTTTGCAATCTCTCTGTCACCA